ACACATCGACTGGAGTGGCGATGAACTCTTCATCCCAACCCCTGCTTCAGTTGAGGACAGCTTCAGGGTATCTTCTGAACTCCAAAGTAATTCTCCTGTAGAATAAATTCCTTCATCAGTAAACAGAATACAACCACTCATAAGAATCCATATAGCTGGAACTCGAACTCACTGAGTTGACCAATATGGAGACTTCGAAGCTGGAAGAGGCATTTAGAATGATGACCGAAACACCGCAATCAAAAATACTGGAATCGCTAGAGTGCCGGCAAAATAGGAGCTTTTCTGTGAGCAACCAACCTGGTCCCGAACCACAAATTAGAGACTAACAAAACAATCGAAAATTTCTTGATAAACTTACAGAGAAATGGATCCCTAAATTGGACAGCGACATCGCTAGCTGTTGGACATATTTGGATACAAGTCTTGCTTGATATACTAAAACATTATTCATTGACTTTGAGCACTACCTCTTTCATTTCATCAGGAGTTTGGAATCCATGAATTAGTTGTGACTTACGTGCGTGGGGGATCAAATACGCATGTTCAACGTCGCACAATTCAGAAACAGGATGATCGACCTGAAAGTGAGGACTCAAATGGTGGTATAGTGAATAGCATCAAGGGCATAAAATGGTGGGACGGGATCATCATAAATAATCCAAGTAATAAAAAAGGTGGCGATGAAAGTAGCACTGATAAAGTCTAATGTACAACAAACTGGTTAACTTACATCAATACAACATGTAGTAGGCGTATGTCATGTACTAGGTACAACAAGTGAGATCATCAGAAGAGCGCAGATGCATCAGAAGATACAGATGAGGTCGAACACCAATCTTCAAACCAATAATCAAACCATTTGGAAGAGTTGACAGGTAGACGTGATTCGAATGTTCCAGCAGTTCCAGAAGAAGTGCACGTCCCTAAGGTCATTTTAGTGCGAGACAACCGAAGCAAAAGTTGTAAGCAGACCATCATCACTGTACTGAAATCCAGCAGTGCATGCTATGACCTCAGAAAACATGTCTACTTCAGCCTGCGCATGTTGTTTCTTCGACTCCAGAATGGAAAAGTCGGACTTGAGTGCATCAGGCGTTTTGTTCTTCTTTGCTTTGAAGCTTTCGGTGTTATCGGTACGTAGAGGCTTGTATTCTGCAGAGGATGTAGTGATGTAGGTACAATGTGTGACACGACCAAACCAAGCTTCCATCAAAGGGGAAAGAAAATAATTGTCATGCTGCATAGCGTCAGGACTGCGAGCTTCAACTATAAATAGCACTCACCATTGAGAGGTGTTCATAAAGCTCGGGAACTTCATGAGCTTGTGGGAAATCTACTTCAAACTGCCATGATGTAGCAAGCCATGCTTCGCATTTTTTGTGAGTAGCAGTTGAAAGTTCAAAATAATCGCAATTGGCCGGCAAAAGATCAACATCAGCTGGCTGAGTCACTGGGGGTGTAACTAGATCCTCGCCAGCCTTCTGTATAAGCTGCATCTTTAACCATGTAGCTAAGAACAGATTTAGAGTGTGAGGCATGATTTACAAACAACGTGGCTCACATGGGCAGCATTTGACCTTCAGTTCTTCACACAAGTTCGCAATAGCTTTACTAAATAATGAGACCTCCATCTGAGCTCAATACATCCTCTCTTCCATCAAGGATTGCCCTCCTCGCACAAGGAATGTAATGATAGTGTTGTGTTATTTCAGTAGCCGTCTCTCTATTGCGGCCACCCTCAGGCTCACTTGGAGGACAGCTATGAGATCAAGGGGGTCGACCCATCCAAATAGCACGGAAGTTGTGGTGAAGAGTGGGTCTGGAACCTGGAGTCGGTGTTAGAGAAAAAACAGTATGAGAACACATGGACTGACAATTTCATCTCCCTGATTCTGGAGCCAAGATTTGAGGGCGTGCTTGGTATGCTCGATTTCAAGAAAGTGCCTTGTCGAAGGCGTGAAGGATGCAGATGCAGAAAATAACCCTGAATTAATATTTAACATGTTGAAGTGGTGGATGAGTAGTAAAGAGGCTCAAGGGAAACTCACACAATTGTTCAGGGTTTAGTAGTTATCCAGCGCTGGCCAGCTAGCGGTGGCTGTGCGGTGGCGAAATTTATTTCAAATAGCCAAAAATTACGTCACAAGACTGCACTTTGTAAAAAATCTATCATTATGCAATTCAATGGTCGGAGGCTCGAAGATCCCTATGCAACGTTTGTGAGCATAATATCAGTTAACTATTTTGGTATCTTACATTGACAGATGTACGTCCATACTTGCATTTGCACGATTCCCATGTCCACACACTATGGCACCTGCTGTAGTTGAGCGTCTGAATTTTCAAAATAGGTCACAACACGGAGCCTGATGCACATTTCAATAGACCAGTACAAGATATCAAAGGTATCAACTTCTTCGGAGTGCTTAACTGCGTGTAATCCTGCAGACATCATACTTGCTGCAGGTTGCCATGAATCAGCAGTACATCGATGAATTTAACTCTGGCAACTCACTTGATGTTGCACAAACTCACAAGCACTTGTAGGAGGTCTGGGTATCCTGGGTCATTTGTTTCTCCGAGCAGACCCAACAGTTGCTGCAGTAGTTGTGCATAGATAGTAGAAACTGGGAAATATAGATACCATGATGTTGACGGGGAGCCCTAAGATTCTTATCACCTTGACCAACTCAGTGAGCCGAGTGAAGAGGGCGCTGTACCACTAATTCAAAACAACAATTTTAAGTGAATGAGAGCTCAACGAAAATAAGCGACTTACAGTAACGAGGACAAAGACTACCGTCTCCACGGGTGGGAGTGCAGCAGTCCTGAAGATAGCTGGTTCCTCATCGCCAATCACGACTCGGGCACCAGAAGTCGAGCTGGCGCAGAAAATGAGATAGTAGACCAGCGACTTGACGATCTCATGTTTCAGAAGCCACATTAAGCCATTGGCCTGCGTGATATATAAGAGCTTGACACTCAAGGAAATCCAAAAGACTAACTGAAATGGGGAGCAATACAAAGTGTGGGAACATGAAGCACCTAAGGAACTCCACACACTTGTTCGCTAATAGGCTCGGATCTGCGGCGGCCGAGTCATGGAGGCCGAAACCAAACATTGGTCTGGTGTCCAAGATAGCCAATTTGGCCATATGCTTCACTTCAGAAGTAAAGCCTGTAAGCAATTTCGACACCTATTCTAGGTTAGAGATGCCGATAGAAACAATGTGGGCAACATACCAATGCTAACATTTCATTTGTTGTAATGACAGTTATCCCGTCATTGGACACAACTGGAAAGGGTCAGTATGTCCAGAAGATATTAGATCAACGAGTTTATGACCTTGTTCCAGGTCCTCGTGAGCTATGTTAACCACAACAAGACTCTCCTCAAAGAGTGTCTCGAAAAAATGCATCCTTTGTTCAGTAAAACTTGGTTGCATGAGTAAAAATGGATTCTGGACCTCCCCACAGCAAACCGCGAGTTTCATCTTGAGCCGCAGGCAGACCAGGGTTTGCTTCCATTGTGGAAAGCCCGGGAGAATCGTATGCAGTGTGTCTGCATAGGAAACAGCCTTGGGCACATCTGGTTGCGATGCATCATTGCCTACCTGAATGCTGCTAGCATCCTTAGCGGAAGACATCATCCACGACTCTGGTACAGAGTCTATAGGAGAGTAGAGGTTCACAGAAGAGCCCACGGGAGACTGTGGTGCTGACAAATACACCCCTGGCACGACTGAAGGTTGTTCGCATGAAGTTAGAGGTTCGGCCATTGCGAAAGTGTTACCGGCCACAACTTCAATCCCTGATGATGCCAAAGGGTTCTCGATTGAATCGAAAATATTCAAGAATTGTGCCAACACATGGCTATAGTCAGACAGGGAGAGGAGACCAGGAGAGAAATAGAAAGCAGGCGGGAAAGGGGAGCAGACCGGAAACTAGAAGCAGAAGTGCACACAGGAACGTGTCCCATAGGATAATCAGCGGAATGGGCAAGTGTGTTGTAGTTACCCCCATTGTCTGTGTCATCCTGAGGCTAAGGAATTGTTACATGAGATCACTTCAATACTACAAAGTGAGCTCACCCATTGATAGACTCGATGAATCTTATCAGGCCCTTGTTTGTACCAGGCAATGTCCCAATCCAATGTCACCCCCGAGACACGGCGCTACAAGACTAATCAGTGGGAAGGCACCACAGTCCAGATGCAAATTCATACATCAATGTAGATGGGAACCTCTTTGCCTTGTTGGCCGGGTTCGTAAGCAGGATCGTGGTCTTTGATGCTTGATACCAGATAATCGAGTAATGTAATTTCGAGCTTTAGCTACAGGGAACATGAGTGTATAATCCCCACAAAAGCAGCCACCTACAGCGTCAAGCTGGTTACTGACACACTGCGGCCAGTGATGAGATACTCGAAGTCTTAAAGAAATGGGAACCACCTACATATAATGGGTAAAGGACGGGTCGTGGGGGTATCGCCAAGTATCCCGTGAAATGGAACCTTTCACTTCGACCAGTTATACCTCCCTGAAGGGACTAAGTTAGCAACATTGTTGGCAGGGCAAAAAAAACACATATGGCGAGAGGCAAAAACGTTGGATGAGTCTTGCCGAAAAAATAACAGTTAACGTTCTGGGGTTCCATAATGTTAGACAGAGCAAGACGTGGTGGGTTCAATACATGAAAATATCCACCTTTAAATATAATTACTTGCTTCAGGTCCCAGTTCTGTTCGCTTGCGGTCGCCTAAATGTACTGCTAATCCGGTGGAATTAGGTCTTTTGGACACTAAAAGTGCTAAAAAGGGCGAATATGTGTAGAGCATCGGCGTAGCGCTAGTGTGAAAGAGCGGAATAGCGGTAACATAGTCACATTCGCCTGTACAGTAGCAGTGACAAGTCCGTTGAAAGGCACCGCAAGGCCTGGCCATGACTGATCCTTTATGTACTGGCTACATTGGGTGTTACCCCAATATTTTCAAGACCTAATTCTCATAATATAGATCAACTTCTCTATCATACATCTCATCGAATTGTTCCAACAACAATTCGTCGCTGGAACTGAGCGACTCTTCAATATCCAGTCCATTCTCAGTACCCTCATCTTCATATTCGAATTCATCGACTTCCATGTTATCTGCGGGTTCTTCAATATCAGTCAAAAATGGATGTGATGGTGTGTCTGATTGTTGAAGCCCAGCCTGCATAGCGTGACAGTGAGAGTACACGTGGCCGACACCGAGCCCAAAGTGAAAGCGCATGAGCATGTCGCGATCTACAAACCTAACATGATAAATTGAATAATGCTGACTTATGATGTGATACAACTGACTCACCGATTGATATAGTATTCACACCAATCATTCTTGTCCCCCGCACATGCCGATACTCCCAATCCATCCTGATGTCTCCTCCCGGCGGTGAAACGAGGTACAATATGACACCCACGAAGCACATCTGCAGGATCAAGGAAGTCAAATGAGTGTTCATCCGTCAGGGGGGGAAAGTTCACTCGATCTAGAGTCGAGGTAGACCAGTCGGAACGCTGATCCAGCGGCTTGTACCAATGAATCCATAGGAACTCCATTCTGATTGGAGTATAGTTGACCATTGTGCGTCCGGTAATGATCACATTGATGTGATATACACCCAATACCCTGCTGTAGATATATTTATGATCTTGGCATTCCATGTCAAGGTTGGAACAAACAACCATGACGTTGTGATGAGGAGTTCTTGGGTTGATGACGTCTTGGGCTCTGCGAACATCATATGTTGTATAGTTGAACCTGGCAACGTGATGCTCATACATCCGATCATCCTTGATTATGATTGTGTTGATGTTGTATTCATTTCTCAGCCCTAGGGAATCTTTCGATGCATTGGTTTGATGCAAAAGATGGTGTTTCAGTTTGGAAAAAAAATGCTACACGGGAGTGTTAGAAACCACTGAGAAAGGTAATACTGCACTGACTGCTATCGCTGGATCGCCTTGATGATCGATTAGATATGATCCTATGTGGACAACGTGCTTCTGTGTCAATCCAATATGGTGGTGAGCCAGGGGGCTTCGTGCTATCTCGGAAATTTCGACGTCAGGATGATGATCAATATTGTGACCAATACGACGGATGCGAGCCTGACGGCATTCAACCCAAGTTAACTGTTTTACAAAGGATCTGCAATCAGTCCAACTGTATCTGGACTTCGGAGAACGATGTTCGAGTTCACCCTGTAGAGGCCAAATGAGTGAGGTTCATAGTCAAAAGTAGCACGAACCGGTTCAGTACTATAAGAATCAGACGTGCCATACCGGCGAATCATGGAAACATAATCTCCCAATGCATGGAACTTGTACGTCTGGAAATTAAAGACTTTGCATCGCTTCACGCTCTGTTCTAATTTCAGCGACTCCCCTTGCTCTACAACACCAGTGCGTTGTTTGCCTTTATGCGCTGCCTTCGGTTTCAGCGCCTGCCTTGCATGGCGTCGGGCACGACACTCGACTTCCTGACGCAGTTTGTGGGTCACGTAATCAGCGCAGACTGTAGTTTTAAATTGACAAAATTGCTGGCCAAGCGCCGAGGTTACTTGGTCCATGATCTCAAGAGTCAAATCAGAATGCATCTGGAGTTTAGCAAGTCCATGCCAATGGGCCATGGTAAATAACAACTGAAGCACAATGCTATTATGTGGCTCGGAAAGAAGGCCATCAAAGACAGGGATAGAGCACTGTAGATCATGTTAAGAACCATCCCACTTGATGGTGAACTCGTACCTGAAGTAGATCTTCAAAGTTTCAAGCAGCCATACATTTCATTTCGGAAAAATTGGCTGAAAACTTTCGAATGGTGGCTGCGCCAAACGTCGGAGTGAGCCTGTATCTGAGGACAGGAGTTAGATGAATCAAGACAGCAACGCATTACAATACATCTTACCTTTGGTCCAACTGATGAATGAGATCCTGGTCATGTGCTGAAATGATGCGCAGCAGATGAATAAAGAGCATCTTCCATACACCGAGCTCAAACTCATGTAATAGATCTACTACAAGAGCTCGAAAGATATTCAGACCCAAATGACCGAGGCGGTCTGAGAATGCATTCTAAGGATGCGGTTAGCCTCGTTAATGATTGAAATCTAAGTCTTACAGAGGTAGGCACCCATGACTGCGGCTTCAAAATGTGTTCCACCGCTGCACTTCCGACCGCGAAGTTCTGCTCGTAAATGAGTGAGCACGCAGTGCTCACCATCACTCCTCTTCTCTCATCATTGCGAGCCAGAGTCTCGCGTTGTTGTCTGTCTTGAAGTCGACCCATATTCTGAATTCGATCCTTAGGGATAAGGCAGCAAGGGCATGGACACCCTCCCAGGTTTCGGACAGTCGCTATAAGTACTCTGTTGGAATTGAAGTCAATGACACTCAACACATGATGAAAGTTCATATGTACTTCTCTGGATAGTCTGCAGAGTAAGTGAATATCCTCGGGTAGAATCCATGCTTGACACTGTCGCAGCAGCAAATCACGACGCCATGCTCGTATGCCTCGATAAACTCATCATCCAACAAGATTCTCCACTGTTCGTGAAAGAGTTCTTGATGACAGTGTGTTCCACACTCGCTGCTCATGCCTTTCTCGCCCGCTAAATCTTTGAATGAATCCGGGAGCTAGTAATAGGACATTGAGTACTTATGACAGCAAACACTGGGAAGGCATACTGTTTCAAAGTATGCGACGTGATTACTCAAATTGCACGATGGCTTGCAGCGGCGATACTTCGACTCGTTGCCGAAGTACATGTAGGTGGGCCACAGCTTGGCATTGCCAAACGAAGTGAGTTGTGTGGCGTCAGACCAGAACATAAGGCCAGCCACCACTCGGGGTAAATCACAGTCTAGTTCCCCCGGTGAATTCTGCAGGTCGCTGTGAGCTTCATGGAAAGCTGCGGACATATATAAATCCCCATAGATAGAAACTTCAGCATCCAGGTGGGGAGGAGCCCAACGTAGCTGATATGGCTCGTAATGAAATAGCTTGTCGTCTCGAGTACTGGCAAGCTTCTCCTGAAGAACAGCTATAATAGAGCGATGGTACAAATCTGCTGCATGATAAAGCCGCAGCCCTGGCACTTCAGTGGTGCGCGAAAATGGCACCTCGATAGAGACAGGTGTCCTTTTCCATCCGGCGTCTTCGTCTTCCCATTCTTCTCCATCTCCTCCGTCAAAATTGTTTATGCCGAGCCGAGAGTTGATTTTCTTCCAGTTGGTGAAGCTTACGTCGGTAGCCTTGAAGGTACTGCTACCCAAGATATTCATCAACTTCATGTAGTCACCTTGCGATTTTTGGGCCCCTTCATTCCAGTACCAGTCACCCAGCTCGAAGGAAGAGCGGTTAGGATAGGGAAGATACCGAGAGTCACTGCTCGATGCGACAGGTGAAGGTGGTTCATCACTGGCTTGATGGCTACCTTGTATGAAGGAGAGGTCTGCGATGGTGACATGCTCTTCAGGATCGTGAGATGGCAGTTTGGAGGAGAAGTATTGGCGAACTAATCCAAAGAAATTTGGGGGGGTGCGGAATCCGTTGCGCACTGGTGGAGTAGGTCGTTCATCTGAATTAACGACAGACACCACGGGGTCCATGTGTTCAGGTACGAACTTCCAAAGGAACAGTAGGAGGCGGTTGTGGAAGTACATCTCTAAACCTCATTGGCAGCCGGTGGTTCTGACACCTTGATCGGCGCTGTGCCAAGCTCATATTCTCTCCTTCATTTTCCCCACCCTCGACGTCGGGTGTGACACCTCCTACATCAGGAAGCGATGAGTCTGGCACAGATGTTGTTCCTTGAAGAGATTCCAACATTGCGAAAGTGTTGGCTTGCCTGGAGGACAGTTAGTGAGTGGATGATACATGCAATGTAAATACTTGCACAGGCACAGCTTCATTGTGAGAGGTGCATGGTTTTTTTTTTCCTCCAGAAAACAAGCTCCCTGAAAGAGGATATTGCTGATGACAGACACTTTTTTGTCTTAGAGCATGTCCGTTGATGTTGGACAAAGTAATTCTGTGCTGTAAAAGTGCACTTGCAAACACATGTATAACCAGACTGACATGAATGCATGAAGTAAGGCTGGGAGATGAATTTTACTTACCAGTGTCACCATTGCTAAGTACCTTGACGATAGAGCAGGTATTACGCTAACTGAATGGGGCAGATATTATGCTAACTAAATGGGGCAGATATTATGCTAATGGATTGGAGCGATCACGCTAGCCTGAAAGCATAAGGCCGAAAATGGCAATGGTGTGAAACGAATAGTGCGGGGATGAGCTCACATAGCTAATATATATATTCAATTCAAGACATTTTCGATCTGTGCTCCAGATGATGTCCCCACCCTCTTCTCCATTGTCTGCATGCTCAGCACCTGAACTGCCAGAATTCAAAGCTGACCCTGAAGTTGTCAGGATGCTAGTGCAGATCTTAACTGCCCACCATGGCATACTTTATTACCATGGGGAAACAGGAGAATTGGCGACCTATCAATGGTAAATCATGTGATTAAATAGATAGCTAGCTTACTCACCCGAGCTACAGGCCGACTGACCGATATGGGCGCAAAATCCACCCATCACAGTTTGAGATGTATCATGAGACACATGTGTTTCACTACCCATCTTGTCTTTGTTCCAGGGGTGGTAATTATGTCGAGGCTTCAGTCTTTGAGCAAACTCGTGGGATATATCGAGGACAGTACATTGCAGAATGTGCAACCAGCACTTGTGCCTACATGCGTAAGTTGGCGACCTTAAAGTCAAACTTGGCGGATAGCTGATGTTCAGTTTAGTAAATGTAGAGAAATTCTTCGGAAAGGCCTACGTACCGGCTATGCATTATCCTCGTCAATGGTATTCATGTTGTATTTTCTAACGCTCCTTACAAACTCATACTTTCAAGATATCATCACCACGTTCTTGACCGTCATCCGGAACGGTATCGTTCACACAAGCACAACCTGTGTCATGACGTTCGAAGACACTAAGGGGATAGTAGTTCTTTGAGGCAGGGTAAAGATAATGAGTAACATACTAGTACCATCAGTATCTTATCCTGAGATTAATAATTTAATAACTGGAATTCATCTTGACTTGCACGATGATGATATCCTGCCAGAAAGGATGCGAGATACTGGTTGAGGATTGTGTCACAACCTTCGAGAAAAACCCTGGAGAATGTTGCTTATTGTAAGCCAACATCGTATTCTCCATATGGTTTCATACCAGTCGAATCGCCAGGCTACATCTGAAAAGTCAGCTTAATCCAGTGGTCGGATACACTATACAAGGTCGTACCTCAAAAGAAAGCAATACGACCGAGATGGATACATTTCTAACAAATCTCGGGAGTCGGGAACATCTGAAATCAGGGTGAATTACATATTTACAGACTAATGTGAGGGCGTGCTTACGATTACCATTGAGTGGGAAACGGGCACAAGCACGTCGACGGGATTCAGTCGACGATCAATCTCGAAGACCGAAGGCCAAGATTCTTTTGTTTTGAGCCTTCAAGGCCCCAAAGTACCATTTACATTGCTCCCACTTCTGGATAGCATTGTCAAATTCTCAAGACATATACATCAAATATTATCAGTAGTATGGAACAGCTATAGTATTATATAGGTAATGAAGACAACTAGCTTAACGAACTATGACTTAGAGGATATGTTTTGGCAAGAGATATTGGGAAAACAGAACCTTAACGTGCCTCATAGACTTATATACTGAATGAGACACAAGTTCAAACTCAGCTGGAATTCAGCGCTTAATCGGGCTTTACCGGTGGGGTTTGAATGTGTAGTCATTCTGTATATCAAGTGCATCTTCATGAAATGAACTACTTTCTGAACTACTGGTATGGCACATGGCTTATGTTGGTGTTAATAGTTAGGGTAATTAAAGTATTTAGTAGTCGCCCATCGTTTTGTTATCGGGCAGGCGAGATTCTGCTCATAATAATATTGACCAGCACCAGTCAGTGCCGTCGGTCCACAATATGTACAAAAGAAGGTGGATTCTAAGTTGGCTCCATTGTGCAGTGTCCACAATTCCCAGTCCACCTTCCTGTGTCGTAGTAGTTTCAAAGTGCCTCCACAATTAGTCATTCACTATAAATGCTGGGCATGCCCATTGCCAGATCTTCTTTCCACCATCACCACCTCGATACAATACAGAACATAACATAGTAGTAGGCCGGCGCATAGACTATTGAGAATATACAACTCATACTGATCTCTACGGTACAACTACATACAGAATCATGGCCAAACGCGCGGCATCTGCTGATGATCAACCTGCCCCGAAGCGTGCCAAACATAATGAAAGTGAGTCGTGATAAAATATCAGCAATATAGATAAAGTCACTCATGACTGTTTATAATATAGGGAATTGTTGGACAGTGCCATCACCATGGGAGGATGTGAATGCCTGGCGCATTCTGGAACGGTTTCTCACTACCGACATTACATACCCCGAGATGGAAGATGCGTTTTCATCGTACCTTGGCGATCAATACTCACCGGACGATTGGAAGGACACCCGAGTGGCATTATTCTCTGGTGACGGTGATGACGTCCTTGCGCTGTCAAATCTTTGCGCCTTGATGGCTGTGAACATACCTCAGTGTTTATTGGATACGGCGAGCACGGCGAAAGATTTACCCGTAGCAACCTCCACATCAAGACAGAAAGTTCGAGGGATCAAGAATGGTCAGTCGCATAGGCCATACAATTTCAAAGTGTGTGAATCGTTCACATCTGATATAATATCTACACTGAACAACATACATAGCGCTTTATCGACGACGAAGCAGGGGATTCTGAAGATGAGGAGGAGGAGGAGGAGGAGGAGGAGGATGGAGATGGGTCCTCCGTGCGATCACCCAATATTACATGTTTGCCAGGACCATCGGCCAAACATAGATTGGCTGCAGCGATCGATGATATTTTCAACAAGTATGAACACACCCCACAGAGTTCTTCAGCTTCAGAACAACGGGCCCCTTACAAAGCCGCCTGGTCCTCCGGCACCATTGAAAGCAGGATGTATCTTCTTGTAGTTCACAGTACATTTATTTTTTTAATTGCTCAGCATGTTAATCATTTCATCTCAGGAACTGCTACACATTATATCGCCGAACATCTTCGCAACAAGGGATTTCCCGTGACTGTGTCGGTGTGGTTACCTGGCCAGCTATACATGGTTTTGGATAGCCCCAAAATGATTGCAACATCACTTCCGCCCTCTCATAGTCTCTCCATATCTCGGAAGAAGAACGTGAAGCGGTGGAACGTTCAAACATCAAACTTCCCAACCCATTGTGGGTGAAGATTAAACATGGGAAGTACAAGGGCGATATCGGCTATGTCTTCGATCCCGATCAATCGAACCTTTTCATTACGGTCTTGATCCCTCCGCGGGAATTCCCCTATAACATGCCTCAGGGGTCTGTAGCACTCCTCGACTTCCAAATGACAACACAGTGTCTGATATCCTTGATGGGGATGTCGTAGGGTATTTGTACAAAGGACAACGGTACTACAGGGGGCTTTTACTCAAGAACTTTCACCGCTATCTCGTAGAACTCGTTGCCTCCCCTCACACTGATGACATCCGACTGTATACCCAATCCAGATGGGACAAAGCCTTTGTGAGGAACACTATCGCAGTGTTTTCAATGCAGTTCTTGCACAAAGGCGATGCAGTTAGGGTCATCAAAGGAGATGTCCGCGCAGAGATCAGTACGGTCATCTCGATACACCATGCGTCTGGTACTGTGTGCCTAGAGTTCGATTTTGATGGCCATTGACAAGAAATGGATGTCCGATTTCAGGATATAGAGTGCGTCTTTTGGGTGGGAGATACGATTCGAGTTGTAGTGGGGTTGTACTTGGGTTTAGAAGGGCACATCATACAGACAACTGGCGATATCTTTGACATTTGTCAAGAGGCCACTCAGGAAGTGGTAAGTTTCTGGCTTATATCTTGCAAAACTATGTAACATCCGTTGTATAGGTTTGGGTGTCTAAGTACTACTTAGATCGCTGTCCCCCAAATTACACATATCAATCACGGTTATCTATTCAACAACATTTCGAGCATCGCCCTGACGAATCTCTACAAGTTGGCGACTACATAGAAGTACTCGTTGGAGAGCACATAGGCAAATGTGGGGTCATGGCATGGTTTCCTGCGGGAGAAATGCAACTGTGGTTCCGGTATGCGAACCCCTGGACCAAGGATGACACTGGGTACAATTCAGGACCACCGATTTTCCAAGTTCCCACCACATTTGTTCGGTGGACGGGCTTGTCACAGACATTGAAGTACACGAAGGAAAAAGGTTATGATGTGAGACCTGGAGACGTTGTGAGAGTCGCGCGGGGGCCGGAATATCAGATGAAAGGCGTCGTGCAGAGTGTTGACTTCCCAAAGGCTCGGTTGACACTGTTATCTGAGAGTGATCGCTCGCTCGTAAGTACCCTTCGATATCACTCGGACATATCTGACCTGGCACAGATTGACGTTCCAATCGATTTCGTGATGAAGATACGTAACATATCCTTGGATTCCTTCAACGATGTCATCGGCCAAGAAGTGTTCGTCATTGGAGGTGACCGAAAAGGTTACTGAGCTACGTTATATAGTATACGGAGCGAGTCTTGCACTGTTGCTGTGCATGGGCAGGCCCGTACTGAATGCAAACGCCAAGACATTGCCACCAGGTGAGCAACACGCACATTTTCAAGGTAGGACAATTATTTATGACAGTTTAGATATGGAATGAGGTTAAACGGTGCGATGCTTGGATTATCGGACTTGGCGTCATTCTGTGACATGCAAAAAAAGTCATACTTAAAGTCAACACCACAAAGATTCACCACCCCTCCTCCAGACCCAGTTCCCTCCAGCTCGTCTAGTTCTACCAGCGCAGATCTCAGCTTGTCATCATCCACATGGACTAACTGGAGCGCCAGCCTTACGAATATCAACACTACACACGATCCTTCATCAACTGTCACTTCCAGCTCAGATCCTTGGACTTTCAATGTACAGGACATGCAGGATAACATCTCTGCCAGAACAAACCAACCTAAAGACAACGGCGAGTCCTCAGTGGAGCCATCACACCATGTTGCTCATTTGATTACAGGCCCGTTACCTTGGTTGATGAGCAAAGAGTTTTCTTCGCTGTTACTGACATATCACGCAGTATTCAGAGTCTCACTGAGCTTCATGGGAGGGAGGCTCCACAAGCGATTTGTATCAATGGCCTGTCCTGATCCATTCTGCGGCACGAACGGACCCGCACCCAAGGATTGTGTCGCAGTCTTTTGCACATCCAGCAACATAGGCGCTGCTATTCAACACTACCATATCTCTGCCAAGGATCTAAGCCCAGCGCCTCCATGCAAAAAAAACCAACGATGTCTCGTTCTGGACGGGAAATCTCGTAGTCAGATACTGACTATTTCGAAGTGTAACATGAAGCGAAATATGGCTGAGGCTGTGATTGACGGTGCCACTAGTATTACCTTGCGTTTCGATCAAATGTGTCTCGTGGAAGAAGCCAAACAGATATGATTATTAATGTACTATACGATACCATGATAATCACTGCAGTCAGCCATCTAGGCAAATATGTCACGTGGGATGTCGGATCGGAGTTTAGTTGAAAGTCAGTCAGTATATCAAGTGCTCTTCCTCCTACCTGTCTACTTTTTTCTCCTTCAGTATTTACCACAACCTTCGTTATAATGTAGTACTACTTCACAGAAATATAACATTGTAGTTGACATCGGACGTTAGGTTTGAGAATTTGATGTATCCTAACATAATACAAGGAACAGTCTTTGCGTGACCAAGAGTTAGCCTTGATAAAACTTGCAGAGCTCTAAAGTGAGTCTTGCAAAGTCTGTTGTTTTGTGCAAGCCTCACTCCAGACAGAGATGCCAGTGGCTTAGCGCAAGTCATCACACTCTCGAAATCATTCATGTCTTCAACTGCCAAGGCAAAGACTGCCAAGCTGAGTGAGTGCCTTCTGTTTTTGACCTGCTATACTTCATTAATGTCTCCCTGTAGTCCGCACGCTTCTTAATTACTTTAACTCTATTCCTAACAGCCAGCAAACCCAGATCGATGTCCTAACCAACAACATTGAGTGGTCAAAGCGCGAAAAGCACATATTCCTTAATAGCTTGGAAATCCGACTCATTTCCCTGTAAGAAACACTTCTACTTCTTACGACAATGCTGACCATTGGTACAGGTAGCTTGACACACTGCAGCATAAGTTAGCCTTAACACAAATCGACGCACTCTTGACAGAGTTGAAAAGGTTAGATGACAAGATGATTCTTACCAAAGTACACTTGCTTGAGAGTCGCGTCTACCGTGGCATTGGAAACCTGTCGAAGTCCAAGGTTAGTCCTTCGAGTGCCATCCCGATATTCTCATCATGTGCCCTTACGTCCATGAAATGCAAAGGCTGCCATTACTTCTGCCAGGACTGCTGCAAACTCAATATATTGTCCTCCTCATCTTCAAGCAGCGTTAGACCTCCAATCTGGTGTTCTCCATGCCGAGGACAAAGATTACGCTACTGCATACTCATATTTCTATGAGACTTTCAAGAACATGTCATCGCAGGATGACCCAGCAGCGCTGAACGCACTCGAGTACATGCTTTTGTGCAAGGTCATGTTGAATATGGTGTGTTGTCACTGATCTTGACTCGTCAGTCATTTTGATGTGTGTTCCAGCCCGAAGATGTAACATCACTTCTCTCTATCAAGCTCGCGGTGAAATAGCTCAGCTCCGCAAGATCGAGAGCATGCGTGCAATAGCGCTTGCGCATCAGAATCGGAACTTGTCAGCCTTCGAGAAGGCCCTTCAGGATTACAAACATGGTATATTATACTCCATTTACACAACTTGTTGTTTGACTTGTCATTGCTACACAGAACTCTCGTCCGACCCTACTATTCTCTCACATCTCGCAGCGCTTTACAACACCCTTATTTACTGTGTATCGTTGAGCCGTACTCGGTGGTAGAGATTGACTGTGTTGCCAAACAGGTCGGGCGAGAACCTCAGGACGTTGAGGCCAAGTGCATATTGAATTGTCTCTGTGAAAAGTAGCTAATATCGTGTTTTAGGCTATCTCAGATGATCTTGGACAAGGTGTTCCATGGCATGCTGGATCAGGGACGAGGATGCCTGATTGTATTTGATGAGCCAGAAGCTGACATGTCCTCTCTTCTCACTCTTCTCATTCATGCTTATCCTTTTTTTCAGAACACATATGGTGCAGCAATTGGGACCCTGGAACAAGTTAGCAAGGTCGTAGACTCGTTGTATGCCAAAGTACATCTGTTTATTGTTCCTGGCCGCTGGTCTATGCTTACGAATATCATTCAGACTCACAGTTGACACCAAGCCAACGGCAACTCGTGCTTATATATGTTAGATAACTTTCAATGCTGCGATAATGAAATATGTCTACTGAAATGTTGGTGAGATATTTTCGGCACATTGTGATCAAACATGTCTAACGAAGCCTAGCACCGCAGTATGCATCTCTCCATCGTTCCACTCTTCCCGTTTTCAAGCTTCGTCTTTGCCGTCCCATTCCAAAAATTCTGGAGAGAAAGCAGGCGAAGGGGCACCTTCTGCAATTTGAGCAGGGTGGGGAACACAAACATCATAGGGCATATGGCACTCGAGGTTCTCTGCGCAGTAGTATTCCTCGAGCCATTTATACCTGTACGTCCCCATCTTGTCCGAAAGGTACGCAACAGTATCTTCTGTGGCTCTCAATTTTTCCTTGACTGGATCCAGCTCAGATTCCACTTCGCCAATGGATCGGTTGTCCATAACTAGGTGAAGATTTCTAAGTCTTGTCGTACATGTTGCAGGAATCTTACCTGCAGTCTGCATTCCTCTATTGACCAATTGATTGTTTGAATGGAATTTCCTGCAGGGTAAGTTTTTTTCTGAGTTGCTCCATAATACATTATTACTCACCTGCAATCAGTGCCGATTGGAGGGTCGTTCGCATCACAGCTCATTCCACATACCGAGGAAAGTTGGAACCTCGAGGTAAATATGCTGCGTTTGTTTTAAGCCAGTGCTCAAACTGAAGCAAGCTTACCTTAGCGTAACTTCATTTCCAGCGTGAATGCATCATGGTGAATACCTCCGAGAGGGTGAGTCGGGTGCTCAACGTTCAACAGCTCTATTACTGAGCATTATAGTGTTGATAGTTTCCACAAAAGTTGTTGATTTATGTATCGATGTGTGATACCATGCTGTCAGCTGAGGTAATGTGGCACACTAGCAGCTTAGCACTAGCGAATATTAATATCGCTGGCGGCTTAGCGCTACAGCAGTGCGAGATCACTAGTGGGTATTAATTTGATGTCGGAGGTAATAGTGCATTTGTACGGGGGGAGGGGGGGGGGTTATAAGTGTCTCGTTTGCTTCAGGTATTTCAGTTACTTGATCCCTTCAACTTGCCATGAGTGATGACGAAATTCAAGTTGGCGATCCTTCGCGCAAACGGCATAGTACCGCCCTTCATTCGGGTCCACGTAAAAAAGTGTAAGCTAGATTTCACCTGGTTGACTATGCCTTTCTCACTTGTCTTGTACAGGACTTCATCTAATCCCCTTGTTCTTCACGGCTGACATTTTGGCCAGACAGTATTCTCCCTATGCAATTTTCCTGCTCTTTTGACTTCCGGTGTGCTGCGACTTGAAGAATTACAGAACTCTCCCATCGAGGATTATCCAGCGGAGTGAGTGCGCTTTGACAATTCTCTGTCGCCAGGACCTAAAGCATTTTCAATGGAGTGTTCGACGCTGTAGGGATTCATTTCTGGCTGGGCTTGCAGAGACTGTTTTTACCTTAGTGTTATGTTTGCACTTTTGTAGCTTACATAATCAAGTTACCTTTTCACCAGTTCTACTATGAGTCTGAGTATTCAGCAAGTTTCTATCATATTTCCTCTTCTCTGAGCCTTGAGCCTGGTCCAGAAACCCTTTAGGGTCGAATAGCAGCTAGGTTCTGCAAGACCCAACATTGTTCAGACTCACCATCTGAATTGTTGTACCTTCAACGCGAACATAGGGTGTTCATGGAGCTAATAGATTCATATCCCGGTCTTTTAGCTCGTCTAACGGATGGCGATGAGGAGGATATCATCAACGTGGGAGAATTAGTAAGTTTTTATTCTGCAATATCAGCGTACTCATCATTTGCAGCTGGGTAAAGGGGCCTCAGGTGTGTGGGGCGACGATACCAAGACCCTAAAATCTGCTGTCCTCGAATGGCTCGTGCCCAGAGGACAACCACTCATCCCGCCTCTCTCCCGGAACATCAAGTCGGACCATGGCTTTAATCACGAAGTTACCGGTAGATTGCTCTGCCCTGCAGGCCTTGACTGGTCAAACGTAGAGTAAGTTCTTACACCATCATACTAACCATCTAATAAAATACTATCCAGAACCAAGCAAAGTCTGAAGAGCGGTGAAACCGCAGTTCATGGTGACCAGTGGCCCATGTTCTTATATGCTGGGTACGACTACGATCCCGATGATCCATGGAAGGGCTTGCTAAGGAGTGAGATACTAACTTTGTAAGTTCATTTCATTGCCGATGAAGTTCTTACTCTAAGCAATACATAGGGTTTCAAGCATGTTTTCACGTCTCCAAGCTCGGTGGATAAAGAGCCAAAGGCTACGCGCTCCGGCAATGCTTACCTACATGGTATGAAATCCATTACTAAAGGCTCTCTAGCTTATATCGCAACGCAGGCACGCAAATTTCACTATGTATGCCTTCCCCTGCTGACTATTTCTTCAGATCTGATTTTCCTTGACTTTGTTGTCAGTGTTTTCGTGCACTGACATGGTCACGGACTCCGAGAATTTTTATCATAGCATTCTTGACTTACTGGAGGATCCTGATGAGATTGAGGAAGTTACTGACCTTATGACGTGGTGGATGCGGTTTGTAATGCATTTTATCAGCTCTAAGCTCTCTAAATTTACATCTTTAATAGTTGGGTTTTTCCTAATTCTTCTTCTTCACAGCACAGTATCAGCAAAAATAGCACGCTGTCCAAGATTCAGGAAAAATGCGCTGCCTTGCAAGAACTAGTCAGCGCTGCTGACACTAATTAGTTATTCATTTTTCATAAGCGTAGTATCTTCTAATATAGTTAATGTTGGCTTCCTATATGAATATATATGTGATGGAAACACCCCAACTATCTGTAGTGAGATTACTGAGTGTTAATTTGGTGTCATTGTTAATAGTTTCCAGCACATGACTATACCCCTGTAATGGCAGATATGCTCTGTTGACAGAGAGCACCTTGTTGTGTCTTGATAATGTAGTGCCAGACCTTGACTCACAGTCAATGATTGTTCTTTTCCCCATTGGAAGCTGCTCCTGTAATGGCAGATATGCTCTGTTGACTGAAGACACCCTGTTGTGTCTTGATAATGCAATACCAGACCTTGACTCGCAGTTAGTGATGATGCTTTCCCCCATTGGAAGCTTCCCCTATAACAGTAGATATACTCTCTTGACAGAGGGCACTTTGTTGTGGCTGGATAATACAATGCCAGACCTTGACTCACAGTTAGCAATTGTGGTTCCCCCCATCAGAAGCTGCCTATCTAAAACTAGACATACTTGATAGAAGATCAGCAGCTTCATAGGGCAATGTAACTCAATGCCATACCTTGGCATACTGTTAATTATTGTAGAACCTGTCACCAGAAAACAGCTTGCTATGGCATGATAACTTGATATCATATACTGGCACACTGTCTGTGAATGTAGATCCTATCATCAGAAGCTGGCTATGTAAAGCCAGACATATTAGATAAATAATCAGCACCTTGCTACAACATGATAACCTGGTATCATCCACTGACACACTGTCAATGATGTGATAACTTAATATCATGCCCCAGTATACTGATATTGATGGTGGCTTTCACAATCAGAGTCTAAGTATTTAAAGCTAGACATTCTTGGTAGAAAATAAGCAGCTTGATAGGGCAATGATAACTCAATGTCATGCCCTAACACTCTGTTATCAATGGTGGCCCCTGACATCAGAAGCTGACCATTTAAAGCTAGACACACTTGGTAGTAAGTTGGCATTTTGAATGGGCATGATAATTCAATATCATCCTGTGGCACACTGTTAGCAATTATACACCTTGCCATCGGAAGCTGCCCCTGTAATAGCGGACATGCTTGATAGTACATCAGCATCTTGATATGACATGATAACTTAATATGATCCCCCAGCACACTGTCATTGATGGTGACTTCCACAATGAGAAGCTGCCTATCTAAAGCCAGACATACCTGGTTGAAAACTCGCATCTTGATAGTGTATCATAAGTCAATATCATTCCCAGGCATAATGTTAGTGATTACATATCCTACCAGTGGAAGCTGGCTATGCAATATTAGATACATCTGGCAACAACAGACCAGTGTGCTAGTAGATCACAACTTTGTACCATAGGCCTATCAATATCATAGACTTGGTAGATCCCACCAACGTAGTCTACCTATCTATTCCTTTATCATGTGATCTACAATTTTGGTATATATTTTCAATATTATACATCTAGTAAAGCTAGCTAAGTCTTTGTCAAACTCAGGTAAATTTCCTGATGTGAGTCGCCACTCGAAATATACATGAAAACCACGTGAGTTGCCAAAAAGAGGTTTAAGCGAGGTAAGCGATGCAAGCGAATCTAAGCGCATCTAAGCATATCTATGCGAAAGCCACGCGAGCTGGGGACTCCTCCTGAAACCGTCGCACTTTACTTCTTAGACTAGTCCACACCCGTTCTGCCTTCAGCACAGGAAGCAAAAAAGAGTGCGAAGCACTCTTTTTTTAGCTTCCTGGCCTCAGCTTCATCCTAATAATTCTGCAAGCTCCTGATGAGCATTGTTCCTTTGGCTTCCTGGCCTCAGGCTGCATCCTAATAAATTGTGCATTTTGTTATGAATAAGAAGTACATTTATAAATTATGAGCAGCAGTTCAAAAAAAACTAACAGTACATAGTACATAAAATCAGTCAGTTCTACATTCTTTGAGCAGGATTCTGACAAAAGTAAAAAAAATACAATCTACTACACAACATAAAATTACAAAATATGTAACAGTATTGAATGTATTTATTTTCTCATTTTTCCCTGCCACCCGTCTCCCATCTCCCATCTCCCGTCTCCCGTCTCCCGTCTCCCGTCTCCCGTCTCCCGTCTCCCGTCTCCCGTCTCCCGTCTCCCGTCTCCCGTCTCCCGTCTCCCGTCTCCCGTCTCCCGTCTCCCAATTTTCCTGTCCTCACATTCTCCAGTTTTTGAGTCTGCATTGTCTTTGTCTCCTTTTTTTATTTGAATCTTATCTCCTGTTACTGCATTTGTTATCTCCCTGTCTGTGATTGTATCATATGTTGTTCCATTTATGTACATATACTGCGACAACTAACAATTACAGTAGGCAAAACACTCAAATCCCATTGTCCCCCTGCTCAAACACCATGTATTACCAACATCGTGCTAAGTTTCCAATGGGCGACGTTATTTGAGTCGCCGCTCGAAATATACATGAAAACCACGTGAGATTCCCAAAAACAGGTTTAAGTGAGGTAAGCGAGGTAAGCGCATCTAAGCGCATCTACGCAAAAACCACGCAAGCACGCGACTCCTCCCGAAACTGTTCTCCCTTTCTTCTTAAGATTTCAATGGACAACTCATTTGAGTCAAACCAGCGTTGAACCTGCTCTGTAATAATGTCTTCATCGTCATTCCCATCATCACCATTTCCTCATAATCCTTCAGGTTCCCTCCATGAAGCCGGAAGTATTGGGTCCGCCAACAATGATGCAAACCAAGAACAGCGCCAACATGAGTTGTGGTCATATTTGGTACGGAGTCCTTTCAATATTAACTTATCCGCAAGCACCGAGTAGTTTGACATAGATGTCTGTCGACGGATCAGACCATGCAATTGATGAACAGGATCTGTTGTTCACTCAGTTCACCGTTGACACTGTATTCACAAGTTATGCTGCAGCGAAGAACTGTGTTCGCCAATACACCCAACTGTTGCGGCTTCTGACACGGGAGGAAGCTCTATGGGCAGAGAGAGTTCAGAAGGCAAAATGTGTAATGCCGGAATACCAGTCTAGATTCGTGTTCGACTCACAGCAGCCTTGAACCCTTCTACTACCCTTTCCATCTACCATTGCTTCCTCCGAGTCAGGGCTTGGTTAAATTTTATACTTCCAGTGTACCGCTATTGATCTACAGCGCATTGATGAATCGATGACTCCTCGAGGCCTTGCCTGTGCTCACCATTCATATCATTCAGTGAAGCTTGGACGCTGGGCGAGAGAACATTGAACAAATATAGCAAGATGCCTGACTGAAGATATCACAGACAATGCCAGTTTGCTGCTGAAGGTTATAATTTCCGATTGATCGTCACTTGAAATGTGAAGTTCCCTTGGAGGGACCTGGAGGAGTGATGAGTGCCCTGTTACTGTTCCGACGTAGATCGGTTCCCAAAAGCTTCCACAAACAAGGTACGTGCAAGCATCAAATTATATAACATACCAGGACTCCAGTCACCGGTGTTTGACATGTAAGGTAAAAATTTTAGGAAACCATACCACAGACTATATAAGCTTCAACTCTGCAGGCAGGTGAGGATGTGTGCCCACAATGCACTGGCTGCGAACGTTCTCTGACAGCCTTCACACAGTTCCAATAGTCCAATATGCTCGTACTTGGTGATACCATTGCCATCAGCCAGCGAACTGCAGTACTTTCTGTTCTGTCAGTGCCGGACTTGCGAGCTCATTGACGAGAGGGCCGGCCTGTCTGCGGAGATAGTGGGTGATTCATTGTTGACGCATATCTAGAATGATAGAATTAGTACCTGTAATATGTATTAACAATGTTAGTCTCTCGTGCCTTGCTAAGATTCACTGAGAAAAGCATCAAGATATGTCCAATACACAAGTAGAGGGTACATACACGAGAAACCACACATGCTAGGAGACTGGTGGCAATAAGCCATTGCATGACCGCAACAGTTGGTTTCGAAGCAGACTGGGGTGCAGTGCTCCGTCAAAAGTCAACAAAAGCATTCCCATGCTATATTGCGACATCGGGTCCAATCCTTGAGGTTATGAGAGATGATGCGCTCCCCAGTAGCCCGGTTGACTGGGCTAATACAAGTCAGCGACAAAGGGGCAAAACATGGTGTGTGTGGCGCTACACATACTATGCTATCACAACTGTCTCACCCAGCTCGCGGGAGAAAATGGTGAATTCTGTGCCGGCACATTGGAGCGCACGAACGACATGAAAAATTTCGGGATATGTGGGCATGGTGTTGGTTGTAGTAAAGCAGTAGAACACTATGGGGGAAGACGAAAGGATACTACTAGTGAGTGAGTGAATTATTGCACATACTAGCTTTTATATACCTGGTTCTCCGGCAGCATCACTCGAAAAAAAACTTAGATATTTCCCGCTCCTGGATCATTCTCAATTCGACATGGATAACCGATCCTTCTGAGACACCGCTAATGTTAGTTTGCATCTTGGCAAGGACTTAGGCTGTGATTTGGTGAAATAGAAACTCTTAGCAAGGATAAGGCATGTGGATTGAGGGACAATCGGTGTGCTTGAGCGTTCAGAAGCAGAGGGTAAATGACAGTTGCACATGGTCAACACTGTGAAATCTGTGACAATCAAAATGTAGGCTACTTAGAAGCAAAAAAAAGCTTGGGATTAGTGACGGTTGCTCACCTGGTGGATATTTTAGAACAAAAGGCAAGCTTAGACTCAGTGACGGTAGGTCCTGCTTGGTTTAAGCTAACCGAAAGCGCTGATGTTTTCCCAAACCAGGCAATACAACTTAGGTGTTGCGCTCAAGCGTCATAGATCTCAGCATTGATTAATGTCCAACCTAGCCGATATCGACAGTATATGAAGAGGTCTGTAGAACAGCTAAATATTGTAGCTATGTCTTTTCTTACTGACTTTCAGCGCTCTGCGGTTCAGAGTGCACAGATCCTCCTTGAAAATGCTGGTCTGTCTCCACGAGACCTGGATTCATTCTCGTCGTCGTCATCATCGCCGTCACCACCGTCATCATCACCGTCACCACCACCATCACCTTCATCACCTCCTCCTAGTACTCTGCCTAAATTCTGCCCTGCTTCTCTATCTACTCGTAATACCTGTCTAGCTGTTGCTGGCACCCGTTATACCCCACCTCCTGCACAACCTTTTACAGTGGAAGATCGTCTGCAAGGACGGCATCGTGTCACGCGCAAGACTTCTGCACATGCCATCATCGAGCACCCAATTGGTGCCACAGTTGAGTACCCACAGACCGGATGCCATGCCGACGAATCTGTTGCCCATATCTTTCATATAAACCCTTCCATGTTTACTTCTACCTTGCATCCTAAGTCGAGCTTCCAGTATTCCTTGGGTGACGGGCACGGTGGTCAAATCATTGGGAAATGTCTAATGCTCCATGATGCTGGAGGGCAACCAGTTTCGTGCGCAAAGCTCAGAACATCATGTAAGTAATTTATACATCATCTTTGGGTGATTCTCAAATGTTCTTGCAGGCAAGGGCCTCAAAATTTGTTCAGGACGTCAGCATGATATCTCTGCACACCATTTCACCAATGTTTCTGAAGTTTTAGCTCACCATCCATCTACCTTGCGACGACGAGGTCCTGCTGGCACTGCTGACCAAGAACTTTTCAAGAAAACTCTTGCGTTTTTTTGTTGCTCTTAGTCTTCGTGGCTGCTCGCCTCATTCTCCTACTGATGGACAGAACAACACAGACGTAGTAGGAGATAGTAGCATAGATATTGATGATAATTTTGAGGGTCTGACAGCTGACCAGTATCTCGACAGCATCTCTACCAGTTCTGATACCGATCTCCATATTGGCTGCATACCATCAAGTCGTCGACCAGTCAAAAAAAAATGTAATGGAAGACTTGTCATGCATTTTGATGCATATAATCAACCATTTATTCGGTAAGTTTTTATTTATCTACTATTGTTCACATTTATCTCACATTCCGCATCACAGATGCAGCCTGCATTCTCACACTGCACGCTCGCATTTATTCATACAAAATTTGCAGGAGAGTGATACCTGCTACTTGCAGGCACTACTGGATGACGACCACCACATGATTACGAAGTGCGAGCAACTTGCAAAGTCACAGGGATATGGTCCCCTGATGCCGTGTAGTTTTGTTACTGGTCCATCATCACAAAAACAAGTGTGCCATATGTTTTTTTCCTGTTTTGTAGCTCGTTATTTTCAATCATATCCTTGTGCTTCAGCACATTGGCATCGCCGGGCTGATGGTACATTGAAGCAAGGTGTTCTACGAAAATGGGCACACAACTGTGCAGCATCATTTGACATATATGTTCCTGAAGATCTATTTGCCTGCCCTCAAATACTTGTCCTTTGCACCAACCCTCATTCACATCCCCCTCCTCTACCTGTCAAAACTCTGCCTCCCCTCATTGATGTATTTCATGGATTAGTTTCCCTCATGAAGTGGAAACTTGCAGATGCAACACCACGACGAATATACCTGGATACGGCCTTTGTTGAGGGTCTTCATCGAGTGCTCGACTGGCAATTTCCTGATGGCCACGATGCAATGCTTCAAGACCTCCATCCATCACTCGCTAATCTTGACCATGTGCGTCGCCTTATTAACATAACGAGGTCTATGAAGTACCCAAGTGGAACAGGATTTGAAGGTATGTTCATACAATATTTGAACCACCTAGTACAATCCCTGATTATCATTTTTTTTCTGTTTAGGTGCACGTCGTCTTGCAAACGAACATGCATCCCTGCCTCTGGAGCAGCGCTATGTCCGCTGTGCAGAAACACACGTCATTGAATGTGGTGTGGAGTTCAAACTGGTCGTGTGTATGACATCACAAATGTCATCACATCTCATACAAGCCAAATGTTTGTCTATTGACACCTCATTCAAACAAGCACAAGGATGGCAGGAGTTTGAGATTGAATCATGGGATAGTGAACATTGTCGCTGTGAGTGAAATAGATCACTACTTGTACCCTTAGGTATTAATGGTTCTTCAGCTGTTGTTAGCACTCGTGCCTTCACCACATCACAAAGTGCGAAGGCACACTTAATTCTCTTTCAGCAAATTTTTGACATTGCATCTGCAGACACTGGCCAGTCTTTTTCATTTCGCCACATTCATGGCTTCAGGTGCGAAATTGTTATTGCTGACAGCCACAAAGGCCAAGGACTTGGTATGTTTGATTATCCTCATCCGTGCATTCACTGATGCATGAGACATAGGCTTAGGAATGTACTGTGTGCAGCTTTCACATTCCATCTCAACATCATGCACACATGAACCTCACCGACGTGTGTCCGACTTGGGCCCATATGATCATCTTCGCCGTTTTTACCGGCTATGCGTAGCTCACTTTAAGAGAAATGTTCATGCTCTTCACACACATGTTTCGGACAAAGTTTACTCGGCAATGCTTAGTTTAGCGACATGTGAGGAACACCCAGACATCCAGAGAACATTCAATACTATTCATCGTGGTGGGCCAAAGGCTGCAGGTAATTATTTACAATCACAGGAATCGTTAATTTTCACTGACATTTTTACTAGCATGGTTGAAAGACAAACTCGAAGGAACAAAATTCGCACTTCCGGCACTGTACCAACCTATGAGCTTGATTCCTCTCGCATTATGGAAAGCATCACCTTCTACGACCAATGGGAACGAGCAAGCTCACCGCAATGCGTACCGCGAAGGTGTACACTTGACTCTGTTAGCTGGAATCATGAAGGGCATGAAGTTCGATCAAGGAGCAACGAGTAGCATGAATGTCCATGCCACATTTGGAGTCTCAACACGAGACCAAGAGGCAACTCAAGTTTATCGTGCAACAAGATGTATTGTGCGGCAAAGTACGAGCTTTATCTTGAATATTGAATATAACTGAACATTATTTTAGCTTTGGCACAAAAAAAACACTACAAGTCCTCACAACCTACAGCCACGCCACGACCTCTGCAACTTCTTACTGTTCGCAATGTCACGATGCCAATACAACCAGCCACCAGACACACTGCCACCACATGCGCCATCACAATGCCACCATATGACACGGTTGACGAGGATTCCGTCCTGACCACTTTCAATGAGCCACCATCAGTCTTGCTTCACCAACCACTGATGTCATCACAAATCAGCACATTCAACAGCCTGTCATTTGCACTACAGCCAGGTGCACGAATCATAGACTACTCACTGACCAGTGTTCCGTCTCCGTCATTAATTATCATAGACAACTCAAAATGGCGCATCTCGACATATAGCTCCCTGGCAGGAGCACTTGATGAACACTTTCAGCACACTGAAGGGCGCAGTTGACGAGGCACGATGGCGCTGGATCTGTTGAATTATTAGATAAAAGATTGTTAGACAAGGTCATAGCACCATAGATGTAGTACTTACTTGCCACCCGATCGGTCTTAGCATTCGTGTGGTCGACGTTCGCCTTCGAGTAATCCAACACACGTTGTTCGAGGAAGTTGGTCTTCCCCTGTAGTGAGATCATGTCCATGAAGTCAAATGGATTTGTGTCATTGCACACCTCATCAATGCCTAGCGACACCAACAAACGGTCTGCGACAAACTCGATGTACTGGCACATGAGCTTGGCATTCATACCAATGAGGCCAACAGGGAGAGCATCTAGCGAGACAGTCAGCATAAGATAGCATAATGAAGAGCAAGCAAAATTGGTGTGCATACCTTCATCACGACTGATGAGCTCGTTGGAGAACGTAAGACCAGGTATGAGACTGCGCTTCTTGAGCCAGGAGACAGACGTGAAAGAATCCAAGATATCCATAGTACTGGGCAGAGGGTGTCGATGGGAAGGTGAAGCAAAGTGACGTCCATTGTCATTAAGACGGTTGGTCCAGCTGGTGAATTGTTGAGACGATGTTAAGTTGAAGATGAATTCACAAATAAAATTAAGCCACTCACTTTCAGGTAGGTCAATTTCACCGACAAGCCTCTGGCAAAGCTCTTCAAGCTCGTCTTCGGCGTCCTCAGAGTCCGGCGAGACTGAACGCTTACGATCATTGAGCAAAACAGGATCGGGTACGAGAACAACAAGCCTCGAGGAAACCTGGCTAGCACGTATCTGATGAGGGAGGATGATATGGAACATAAGACCGCAACCGAGAGACTTACTAAGATTTACTCGGCTTAGGAATACTTTGGGAGGAGTTGCTGGGGTCCATGGATGACAAAGGAACGTCACCTTGCACGTACCTTGTTTGCGGAAGCTTTTGGGAGCCGATCTACGTCGGAACAGTAACAGGGCACCTACGACTCACCTGGAGGAACTTTTGAAGCTCTAATTTGAGAGATCAACGCTAACTGCTTGCAGGTTGCTCGGACAGTCAAATGGAAGACACAACACTGATCTTGTCCTATTATATATAGTTCCGTCGCATTGAAAATTAATTATGAATGCTGATCGATTTATTCCATTAATTGTGCTGCTGATCCAGTGTGCCGGTATTGGCTGAGAACCCTGCATCATGGGGCCTGCTCATTCAACAATTAAATTCTCACGGAGCTGCTAGATTCAATATCTCACAGGCAACCTTGACGCCCAGCTACATATCACATCAGCAACCAAATATAAATCATACAATAACTTGTTTAATCCTACTTTATGCGCAATGTCCCTTTTGGGCCGAACAATAGGCTATCTCATCCTGGTCATACAATTACATCAGAGGAAGAGAGAAAAATCAACGAGCAAGAGAGCTATTTGCACGCATACGTTCGCCAGCGTAATATATCCAGATGGGGAATGGTATACCGATGACGATGGCAAGACCTGCAAGAAGGGAGTTGCCTGGCCCATAATCGAGTGCTGCGAACATTTGCTGTCCAAAGAGAGGGAATGCGAAGCCAAATAGTGAACGTAACGTCTGATGATATGTTTAGAGGGTGCCGACAAGGTTTAGGGTAGGCGCAACTTACAGAAGCTGCTGCAGTTGCACTTGCAGCATATGTAAACGTATCTACGAGGTATAATTGAACAGGAAGGCTTCAAAGAGATTAGCTGCGAATGGTGGTCTGATACGAGGTACACCCACAAAGTTGTCATTAGTCCAAACGAAAAGATGGCGGTACCGATGATGGGCATAATAAAGTTGATTTGGGCTTGTGCAGACCAGCCATACCAACTAAACGTAGGTTAGAGTTGGAACAACAAAAGTAGAGTGTATGCATATCTCACAATAGTCCCACTGGGGCGAACAACGAACCAAATATCAGAGCGGGTATGCGCATCTCCGGCGTACCAACTCCTCCATTTTTTGCAGCCAACTACATCATGATAAGATACACTTCAATCAATGCGGCAGAAGTAAAGGCAGTCTTAACGTACGTGAATGTATATCTTGTCGGAAAGTTTGGCACCGAAGATGGCGGCGCTTACGAATCCAACGCCAAGTCCAATGTATGTCAGACCTCCGATTCCGACATTGAAGTGGTATACTTCCGAAAAGAGGGCTAAACGCAAGTTTTTAATGTTCGTTCCCGTGTTACTGGGCCAATATGATCTTACTTGGGAACGTGGAAAACATCAAGTAGTAGATGCCTGACAGATGATTTCAGCCCACATTCAGCATAACTCGATATAGGATGCAAAGCACTCACCATAAATCCTGAACAGATGGTATCAGTTAGCTGCGTGATATACTAGAATAAAACTTACAGAGCAACGTATAAGCTGAGGATGAAGCATAGAAAACTCCGCGTCAAAAGTATGACGGGTCGTTTGAGGTTGATCCACAAGTAAACCCATTTATTCATCTGGAGTGCGGTGAGGGTAGGATGTCCTTCAGGAACCTTTTCAAGATCCGTAGCTATTTTGTCACGACGAAGCCTGATGACTGGTGCATAGGATTCTCTTAAAAAAGCAATGCCGATCACTGCTGCAACACCGCAGATCGCGGCGACGACATAGAAATCATATTCTATGCCGAGCGACTCTGCGATGAAGCCTCCTATGACGGGCCCGACAACAGGGCCTAACGAAATGAGTATGAACTTGCGTCAAGATGGCAGACAGTGAAACGCACCTATTAAGGGTCCGGAATAGCATAGCGCCATAGCGGAGGCACGTTCGCGTTCGGAGAAGAGGTCGCTAACGACACCTCCGCCACATGCGATGGGTGCACTCCCCGCAAAACCAGCTTTGCAAAGACTAAGTGAACTCGTAATAGTAGTGGTTCCATAACGTACCTAGAAACCGAAAGGCGAGGAAAGCTGAAGTGTTGGGTGCGAAAGCACAGCCAAGATTAAACACGAGGAAGGAGAGGTTCGATAAGTGGAGGACCTTGAACTGATTCAGGCAAACTGTTCCACCGGTCTTAAAGAGAAAGACGCACCCACACACGACCATATACTTCAGACAAGGGTGCGGCAAATAAAGGACCGATGGCCAGTGACAGAACAAAGATGCTGAGAGTCAACGCTGTGATTGTTGGATCGGTTATACCATATTTTATGGCCACATCTGGCAATCCGGGTGCCATGATGGAACTTGCTAATGGAGTCACAAAAGTGTAGAGTGCAAGCTGAGCCAAAATTAGGCCTCGTGATTAGATATCCAATTCTGATGAAAGAACCGACGATTGCAGTGGCTGTCCATTTTCTTGCCTGAGACCAATTTCTGGGGTTGACGGGGTCGTCTTGCCATTCATCCTCTAACTGTTGAAGGTAATCCGGAATTTTTTCCTCGAGGTTGTCGTCTGTAACCGCGGAGGCGCTGTGGAGCTGAGAAAGATGAGGTTCGCCTACATCATCTCGATTTGGTACGCGAGTATTGGAGTTCTCAATATATACCGTTCGTGGAGGAGAGCCTGGAGAGGCCGACATTGACCAGCGCTGTAGATGAGAAGAGCTTGGACGGGGGGGAGATAAGACGTGTTCCGGAACATACTGTTGATTAAATAGGTAGTGGGTGACTGAGCAGGTATTACACAGTGCTGTAAAATTATACTTTGATGACAGGCGCGGTAATCGGATCAGGATATTAAGCTGATCCCCGCTCCATTACTCAAGCTAATTGTACGATTTCGTCATAACGCCGGCTGTCATCGTGGTCCTGTCAGGAGCAAACTATACGCAGTTAGCTCAGCTGTTTTCAATGACATTGTGGCAATGATGAGCTTACCATCGCGCCTCTTGTGCACTGTCCTCGTAGACCTTTCTCGCTTGTCACCACAGGTGCATTGTGCTATGCAAACCTTTACAGACGAAGAAAGAAAGTCGTTACATACAAGTTCGGAACTGAAGACAACACAGCCAAACTAGTCCATGAATTTCATACTTTATAAATAAATAGGCGTTCAATGGAACTCTTCTGACCGCTGCGCTCGGTGGACGCCGTCGGTGGCTTCAAACTCCGCGACAGGTGATTTATTACCATATACAGACATTGCCGTCTCGTTTAATTATAATTTCTTCAGACTCGGAACACCCAAACCGTTCAAAATTTCCAGAGACATCTGGCGCTTCCGAGACCGGCGGAACTCACAACTATACTTAGACTTCAGAAATCAGCGATGTCTCGGATTAAGTTCAGGTTCTAGTACATAGAAGCGAACGTTCTTGCCTTTCAGTGCGTACTCTATCGAGACTAGCATAAGAGTGACTAGACCGATACTAGTAGCACCTCGCCGCGCACGCTGTGGGTCCTTCATCAGGCTACTCTGAAACGGATGCACTTCTACTGCCTCCATCCGAACCCCGGGCACTTGTTAGCGTCCAGTATTGAACAGACTCATGGAGGCAGCGCTCCCACTAATTCCCCGCTACACATCAAACCCATGGTAGGGTGCCTCCTGTCCTTCAATCAAAGCGCCTGTCAACTTTTTAACCTCCGAGTGGGATTTGGGGAAAACAATGATAAACACGTGCCCACACTTCAATTGTTGCAGGGAGTATAACATATTTGTTCCAGTAATCGTATAAAAATCAGAGGAAAAACTGTCGTGTGCTACATCCAACTCAGTGAGACTCCATGCGATGACAGTAGATGACGAGCTCACACAACGGCACTGTATGGTATCTTGAGGACAACCAGGAACATCAGTAAATGGAGGTATAGGCCAGTACTAGTGGCAGCTCGCCGCGCACGCCGCGGATTCTTCATCAGACTACTCTGTCCAGGCCAAAATGGTGCACTTCTACTGTCTCCACCCTGCTGAACCCAAACCCGGGGCACTTGCTAGAGTCCAGCATTGAACAGAGACGATTCCCCTCGTGGAGGCGGCACTCCCACTACACACCAAACCCATGGTAGGGTACCTCTCTGTCGTCCAATAAAAGCGCCTGTCAACTTTTCAACCTCCGAGAGGGATTTAGTGAAAACAATGATCAACAAGTATCTACACTCCCGTTTTTGCAGGGAGTACAACCATATTTATTCCAGTCATCATATGAACAGCAAAGGAAAAACTGTCGCATGCTAGATCCGACTCGTTGGGACTCCATGTGATGATAGTGTATAACGAGCTCACCCAACGGCACTGTATGGTATCTCGAGATCATACTAACAGTCTCGAGGACAACCAGGAACATCAGTATATGGAGGTACTCACCTTTTCCTAGAACCTACCAGTGGATCGCATTAATCTTTTCTTCTCTTGTCCAGGATGCAGCATTTGTCGATACTGGGCAGTGTTTTTGTCAAACCGAGGCGAGCTTACTCGTGCAGATGACTTCGGCTCTTTGAACCTCTTGTCGCCGGGGAAGCAGACTTATTCATGGCGATACCACGCCCAGACCCGGCGGGCACTGAGTACTGAAGGGCGAACGGGATGGAATGTTGACACTGCAACCGGATTGGCTAAACCACTGGGCCTCGTGCCCCAGGTCCCAAGCCACCACTAGGTCCCGACCTGAATACCACCCCCTGAAGACGGCGCGATGTCAGCGGCGGGCCAGAAGATTTACCTCATTATCTCACGCCCGAGCTTACTAAAGTTATGGGAGTACTGAGCTGACGTGGGTCGGGTTGCCTAAGTCATGGTGCGGGCCGGTGCAACCGACTAGAGAGATACTGAGGCCAGCATGGTAGAGAGAAGTCAAGCAGCTGAGAACCTCGGCAAATGTGGTCAAGAAAAGAGGGTCAGGTCCCAGGTCCCAGGTCCTATACACTGTGCTGTTCACGCCGCGAGCAACGTCTGTGAAGGTCAGCAACCGAATTGTATGATTCTCTTGCATGTTCACGGCGTCTTTAAATCGTGGACCTTGGTGCACGCTAGACGTTTCCCTCAAAACCTGGGCGTGTTTCGAGGTCACTTAGGAGACAGGTAAGAAGGTGGTGAAAACAACACATACCTGTGGCGTCTGGTGAGGACTCACTCTTGATGGCAGTGAAAATCAAGGCAAATTAGTTGCCTCACGAATAGAGAGTATCAAGCCTAGCTCAAAGAACAAGAACCACCGTGGGTCGTCGGGCGTTCAAGATGAAAGGCTAGCGGCGAAAACATGAGTGTCAGTTGGATACCATGTAACAACGAGTCTGAGTTGCAAGCCACATACCTTGCTCAAGAATCCGGATTAACGTAGTGATGGAAACTAAGCACTGTGAGTATGATAGAAAAGAAGAGAGAGCGCACGAAGGGCTGAAGGGCTGAGTGTGTATATAGTACGACAGCGTGATGGGGCCGCAGTTAACATTATCGATTACAGACTGAATTGACCACCATGGAGTTGCTTTGAAGGTAAGTAGGAGGCGTCATACACTAACCGTACGTGCTGTTGGCGTCACTGAAGCTTGAAGAGCTGCTATGATGACTCGAGAGAGATCAATATTTCCACCGCGTGAAGCACACGTCAAGAGACAAGGCGTTGATTGTTCTGAGCCTTGCATTCGGGTACGACTTTAGTAACGGTATATATATCGCACGTATAGACGCAGATACACAAACCGTTGAATGAAAGTTATTCGACGCGTCCAAGACATATCCGTCACGTGATGCAAACCTTCTGATCCTAACAACGTTAAACACACACCAAGCCAAGGACATGTTCGACCAGTACTATAGTACTAGTCACATTTTATAAAATTGTGAACAGGCCCATTGGAAGGCAGAACCTCGATGATGTCCCAGGTTTTCTTTACAACCGAATATTCATTCATATTAATATTGTGATAGACATCCGATATATATACCCAACAATTATAGACTTGAGTGTCATAGCCAAGGAGGCTAGTTCAACCTCTCCCGATGCGGAGCAGCGCAGAGGACATAACCCCCACTTTTGTAGGTGGAATTATCCTATGGATTCTCTTCTTGCGTTGCGCCCGCATCCAACTCACCGAAGAATCCGCCAATGTACAGATTTGATGCGATAATGCGGTGTAAAAGCACAAATGGTGCGAAGGGGCTGTTTCGAAGCGCAGAACCACCCAGTAAATGAAGACATGGGCCGAGAGCAGACAGAGGGATTCCATTTTGGATGCGCACCCGATCGCGGCGAACTTGCCCAAGAGCGACGCAGATGTCCTTGTAACTTGTAACTTGTGGCATGACCGAAAGGAATCGTTCTGGTGAAATCGTACGTATACTACTCACTGATGCGGAGTGACGCGCTGGGAAAACCATGACAGACTAAAGAACAGTCTTGGGCAGTATCAATGCATACTTCTTGCCTTGCCGTCGCCCGTCTTGGAAGTTTTGCGTCCGTTTTCGTTCAATGGATGATGTATCTTGCCTGTAAGGACAGTTTCATGAGAATTGTATGGCATAGGCTATGGAATCGGATGTCATACGCGCTTACGGTCTGCTGGCAGGTCCTGCATGTCCTTCCCAACTACAGAAACCTTCGAGATCGTTGCCTGGAACCCTTCAATGAATGCAGTCGCGTCTTGATGCGGCAGGAATTGTTCCACGAATGTACACATAAACACCAAGGTGATACCAATTACAAGGACTAGGGCGACGCCAGCGTGAGTTCTTCGACAAGACGCAGACTTTGATTCAGGGCCGGCATGATGGTGGCACGTCCAACTCGGCGCTGCCTGCGATATTTCATGATATGGAAACGAAGCAAATATCTATCTAAGGCGTGTCCCTAAAGCCCATCAAGTACTGCATAATCTGGAAGGCGGCCTGAAATCATTGGTTCCTGCATTAGGACGTATGTGCACACCAGCATTGTCAACTCACCACTGGCGCAAACTGTGGAATCCTACGGAAGACATCAGAAACGAGACCCTGTGAATTGCAGCGAACTCACATGTGTCCACTCAAGGCTACTTCGTAATATGTGAGTCCCCGCTCCGAGTGTGTGGTGCCATAGGCACCCACGCCATCGACAATGAAGCTGTCGTTAGCGATAGGCGTCTGGAATCCTTGCAAACCATTCCCTTAGAATATAATGAGTGATTCGTAGCGTCAAACATTACAAGTCACGCACAGGTCATGCTACAGATGAATCCTATCAATGAAAGTGATACAGTCACACTCAAGAACGCACTTACTTTTGAATGGCAATTCTAGTTCTAAATTATGGAACCGTGCGTCAGAATACACGAAGATTAGAGTCGAAAGTGAAGTCATACCCATCAGCAATGAGAATGAAGTCGGCGAGACCGTGCACAATGACGGTCCGCTGGTTCTTCTCTATAACATTCGGTAACACAGTGAAGGCAGGAGGCAAGCTGCTGTCTCCGTTGGGAAAGACATTGATATTGGAACATTCCGACCACTGTGTCTCGACAGGCGCGTGGATAGCTTCCTTGACGTCTATTCGGTTAAAGTAGATCGGAGACTGCGTCTGTGGGAATGACCCTCTAAGTCTTCGTCAGCCGGGTTGCATTCAGTCAATGATTGAATAGCCTACGGGAAACCTAAGACATCCCATAGAATCGGATACTTGCATGGAGAAGAAGTCAATATAGTACTCATTAAAATCCTCTTCGACTCACAGTATCCCAGATGCGATAGATATCGAAAGCAGGGTTGATAATCAATGCATTATAGAAAATGTCATCCCAGACATCGCAGCCTTCGGCAAACTCGATAGAGTCCTCCAGGTAGAGGAAGAGGACCTGTTGGAGGGTATGTGACGTACTGATCCATGTAGCCAGTGTAATTGCACGTCGCGGCCTTCTCGTTGAGGTAGTCCATGTACGTTTGACTAAATATCAATCGGTCAGTGACCTGCAACTAGATCCGAGTGAAATGAACGGACTTGAAAGAAAAGAGACCGGCGTATTTGTTCACGAAGTCCACTGCAGGGATCTCCTCTTGCACCACATCCCACGATATCGAAGCTGAGGAGTTTCGTGTATAAGCACTTGGGAAGAGACAGAGCAAGTCAAAATGTTACTTACGATCACTGATCCATATTCCCTGCAACGAGAGGTCTAATTGAGTGGGGTTCTCGTAGATATAGTTAGCAATATCTTCATTGGTCTCTAAGTCACGTTCAAAGAAAGCGACATTTGACTCACAAGGCACGTATGTTCCAGCGTACTGAACGCAGTCAATACAACGTTTACCGGACTCTCTGAGAACTTACACTTTCACCCGTTAAATACAGCTTTTTGCCTTTGAGCTCCGAAAAGACCTCAAGGAACTGCTGCAAGAAGCCGACGACTTGAGTAGCAACATCATCCTCGTTCTGTGCGTCTGGGATGCCTTGAGAAAATCCCGTTCCAACGGGTTGCTCCACCCAAAGGACGGAGGATAGGTTGGTCCAGCTCTGTTGATTCACCTGTCGGTTTTGCCTGACCCCAAGACCAACTGAAAGGCTTCAAACATTTCAGCTATAATGAGTCTTGTCGTCAACAAGGAGGCTTACCCCATTCTCTTGCAGCAAACCTTCGAGGGAGGAGCAACCAGGGCCACCGTTTGTCCTTCAGATATAAGATGTATGGTCAGCAACGAACATCACAGCACTTCTGATGACGCACCAAAAGATTAGATCATCAAGACTCCCTTCGGGGCCGGGAGGAAACAACCAGAAATAGAGCTGATGTCCTTAACTTCAGCAAATGGTGTGCATAGGCTACCCGTGTACTCGCCTGACGAGTCTCGTTAGGGCTGTTGCTGATAGGTAAAAGACCTGCCCAGCTAGGACCGACGTCGAAGTCGACTAGAGGAAGGGATGTGCCATCGACATAAAATTCTAGACGAAAATAGATCAGACTTATTAGATGTCTACTTGTAACACGTTATTCACCTGAGGCCTTTGGATTCGTGAATGTGATATTCTGGACACCACTGCGCTTCACGCTCCGACTTTGAGAGCCGCTAGTTTGCCAACGCTTTGCTGCCTCCAGTTGGTATTCGCCAATCTCGCGCTTGGTCATCTTATGAGCACTAGCGGCGACCACTGCGAGCAGAGCTGCATATATGGCGAGAAGACGCATCACCGTCAAACAAGCGAACTTGAGTTTGTGAGGGGGAAATAGGGAGTCGTCTGGTATCGTGCATGGGGCTTTTATTTAAGATATGGGTATTTCTGTACTGGTGGGAACGGACAATTAAATCATTGAGTACACATGCATATCGAGTGATGATCATGGCGGCACCATGTGTTCTTCGGTCGCGCACTGGCAGCTATTCGTAGCCCGGGTCGGATCAATTTGGCTGATTAATCGTGATTAGCACATGTGTGATACTACTCACGGTCCTTGGTGAAGCCTTCAAGACGAGTCAAGTTGGGACATCGGGCAACCCATGCATGAGTTGCTGTGTTCAACGTGCGAGTGCTCCGAGTCACTGCTGGTTGTTCGTTTCTCAAAATTTTCACGAGTTGCAGACGCAGTGCGAATGTATCCGTTGCTTTTCCCGCATTGCTCGGTGGCAGATCCATCTGTCAATTAGGTGAAGTGATGGCGCATGTACAATGTCGGGATTCTGACCGGCCTTAGTATTGCAAGTGTCTGGGTACCCTCGGCAGGCTCGGCAATGTCGGAAATTTCCCACCTGCATTGCAATGACTAACGATTGACATAAGATTTAAATTGAATATTGCAATACACGTGACCTGATTGCATCGCAGCTCAATGCATTGCAAATGTACCTACGATTATGATAAGATTGATATAAACTTTACAATTTGTAAGCATGATCATGATCAAACAGGGCGCAAACACAATCTAGATTGTAATGTGACTTGTCATCGTCACGTGTCAAGCTTTCAAGTCCACAGGCTTTGATTTATGCATTGCAATCGCATGTCAACGCCACCTTCTGCCACCGACGTCTATCATCACTGTAAGTACTCTACTAGCTGTATAACACTTCATAATCCTGTCAGCATCACACAGAGCACCAACGCAGCATGTCTGCAAATCTACAATATATTCTGGATGAAAGACAGCAAATTTGTGATACCTGTGGATGCAGTTTCAAGCCCAAAGGCTTTGATAGTCACCGAAGAGCCTGTGAGCAACGCACGAGAGACTCAGAAGAAGATGCAGAGCAATGGGCCTCGATCACGGCCATGTCAATTCAAGGTCTGTGGGTTGATTCACTAATAGTATGATTCTACTAACATAATATCAAATTTCACAGCTGTTGTGCCAGCCCTGACCGTACAAGCTGCGCATGATGATGGTGAGTTTTATTTATATTTTGACTTGGACATCTTAGATCAATCTATGGCATGCAATAGGGCAAGCCTGGCAGGACTACGACTATGATCACGACAACGGCCATAATCATCATAATGCTGATATTGACATGTCTTCAGGTAAGTCGCTGCGTCAGCCAGTCATTATACAGTGTGCTGAGTCTCAACTGTTTTTATTAGATCATTCCGAGCCTGAGGATGCCCCTGGACACACTATCGATGATATCCGCATGGAATTTCACCCGCATGCGAGGATCACAACATGTGTTGAAGCTTTCTCCGACTTCACACGACACCACCATTATGAGCCACCCCGCCCAGAATGCCAGCCTTGGCTCCCATTCAGGTGTCAACTCGACTTTGAGGTTGCAGAGTTGGCGCACGAGGCTGCGCTCACCCATGAACAAACGATGCTGGCTCATCCGAATGGTTCGACTGCAGCATGGACCGAAGACTTCACCCTTGCTAATTATGCGGATGTTCAGAATATGTGGGAAGCAGCATCGCATCGCCTGACGCCAGTAAGTAATGTCTCTGTGTTACTGTTGCATGGGATCTAATCCATTCAGTTCGAACAGGACACTCTTACGGTACCGCTTGGTGACAAAGACATGGAATACACTGTACACTTTCGCCCCCTTTGGGAATGGGCAGTAGATCTTCTTCGACATCCTATCATCGGCCCTCATTGTGTTTTCGATGCTCAGCGATTATCGAAATTTGATGGAGACTCATTCGTTCGGTTCATCGATGAACTGTGGACTGCGGATGCGTTCTGGGAATGCCAGGTGCGTATTACTGTGTTGTATTGTGATATACTATTGAGGCTATACTATCATGTAGTCTCAAATGCCTCCAGATGCGAAACCATTAGCATTCATCTTATATGCCGACAAGGCGAAGTTGTCGTCATTCGGGCGCGAGAAGGGCTATCCTGTAATCGCTCACTTAGCAAACCTTCCCGTCGCCATCAGAAACAGAAAAGGGTTGGGTGGGGGACGAGTTGGATGGCTCCCACTGGTAAGTTTCGAGACTGTTTCTTACATGTTTATATTGAGAATTAACTCTCACTTTATAGATCAAAGATGACCCAAAGCACAAAGGTACACCACGATTTGCTAATTTTAGAGCAGCTGTGTGGCACACGGCCTTCAAGAAGGTACTTGCATCAATTGTACTGCCTTTGACAAGTGGTCGATGGGCGAATTGCTGGGACAACATTGCGAGGCTCTTTTACACGCTTGTTTTGATACTGTCCGCAGACTATGAGGAACAGTAAGTTTTCATTATAACTTCATTTATATGTCATATCACTAAAGCTTCATGTTCAAGGGCTATAATGTCACTCACTCATGGCGTTATGAGCAACTTTCCATGCCCGATCTGTCTAATTCCTGAGGACAAATTATCTTCCATCATGCCGCACAACTACCCTCTTCGCACAGGCCAAGCGACAAGCACCCTTTTAATCGAGGCAAGGGCAGAGCATTGCAAAGGAAGGAGGGAGGCGATACTTAAGAGCCAGGCCGTTCGTGATGTTGATGTATGATAGTGTTTTAGTTGATTTATTTAAATTGTCTCACTTAACTGACTTTAGAATGCATTTCATGACATGAATCACAAGACTACTGATGTGCACCGCGCACTATCTCATGACCGCTTGCATGTCAACATTCTCGGTTTCTTCAAAGACCACATGTGGTCTGAACTACAACTACTTATTGGCCTTTTGGGACGTGACAAAGTTGCACAAGTTGATGAGAAGTAAGCTTTACATCGAGTTTTGCTTTCGTCTCACTTAGATATAGTTTTGATGCACTGCCACGCTGGTGGAACTTAATTCATTTTGATGCCGTGATGGCCATAACATTCACCGATGGAAGTAAATACGAGGTTATTTTCAAGGTAAGTGATTTAGACGAGCTGCTGTCTTTTACTAATAGAGTTACATGTCGTTGAATCAGTTACTCGCATTTGCAGCTCATGCTGTTCTGCCGAATGCTGGTAAAAGTAAACTTGCCTACCTTCTCCTTTGGTGCATTCGTGCATACCTCGAGGTAGACCGGTATGCTGTGCTCGAGGTACATACCACAAAGACCATTGCCGCAGGATGAGAAGCCCTTCAAGAATTCTCAGAGCTAATGGATGTAAGTTATGTTGGACTTTCTAGCGCTTTCCCTTTCAAATGAATTACTTAGAAATATATTAAGAAGTCTGAAGCTGTATGACCCGATAAGAACTGGTCCTTCCTGAAGAAGCATCTAGTTGCCCACTTGTTTGATGACATCATGGCCAAGGGAGCGACTCGCAATTACAACACTATGCCGAATGAAAAGTGTCACGGTCCCCTCAAGGCATCATATCAATATCAGACTAATTTCAAAGATGTTGCACCACAGGTATGTTGTTTGATTTTTGATTTCACGAGTTCTAGTTTTATCTAATAGCCTACATGCAGATTTTACGTGCAGACCACTGGTCTCTTGTTTCTGAGTTCATCCGCAGTCGAGTGGATGAACTAGATGCATACAACACTCAGATGGCCGAAGACGAGACCGACCCTGATACTAACATTCCATCCAACTTCCACATCAGATTCGGATCGAAGCAACCGAAAAAGTCACTTGAGACAATCAAGGAACAACATGTCGACAATCCTTCTTTTAGGCATTTCTGCAGGAAGCTCAACACATTTTTAAACGCTTTGCCTGCTGTTACACAGCATGTGAATATGTTACCGTTTGACAATGTAAGTCCGATTCAAACATCAGCACTCACACATGACTCATCCTGAGAAGATAACAGAGTTTCGATTCCTCAAGGTCAACTATGAGTCACTGGTTGACTTCTGCCAGACCACGGACTATCTTCGTTGCAGCCCGAGCTTCCACAATCTTCCCCGATACAACTGTGTCATCGTCAATACCACAACTGGTGTTTTTTTTGCGTGACTCTTATTCCTCTTCACATGTGACATTAACAACATACCCTATCCCATTGCCCTCATACGCCCATATGATGCACCAGTCGGAAGGCATCTCCAGAAGGACAAACACCTGAAGTGTTGGCGTGTTAGACAGAGGGAAATGGCTAGTGAGTTTATATTAGCAGAATCGATCATTTGAGGAGTTGCTCTCGCTCCCGATCCCACTACAGTTGGTGACTTTCTTGTTATGGATACAGTAGACAGTGACATCTTTCTGCGCATGAAGCAAATGCACCTGGCAGCTGGGCACTGATCATTTAATTATATCATTCAATTACTAGATATTAGTCCTATCTCACAATATCATCTAATCCTGAATGGTACTTCTGAACTTCACTCTTGATGTCTGTTCATTGGCACTACCACTGTCTTTTTGCGCTCTCACCACTAATAGGAGTGTCCGCCCTACCAATGGACAGGTTTTAGTAAACATTGATGTGTTGACAGCGGTCATGTAAGCAAGCCTGCCTCAATTCTTACACATTAACATTCACATCAATCTCAGGTTCAAACAGGGTAGCTTTCAGTCCACTGCTCTTGCTGTTTTAAAGCAGAGGGATGTTCGCACGCTGGATCTCCAGGCAGATTCCCCCCAGTTCAGGCAGTTGAAGAGCTTTTTCAAGGGCGTTTCCGTCACGCTCATCCACTGGCCAGGGCTAAAGAAGATTCGTGGCTTAGTGCCCAACACTGGTAACTAAGAGTTCAAGAATACTACGGTGAAGGTAGGTTTTGTTATGAATCACATTCATGACGACTTTCTCACAGCGAGTGCAGGAATCCGAACATTATTGGCATCCAAATTGGCTCTAAGGATCGCGACGAAGTCATCCCTGCAGAGATGTGTGTTATCGCCCCCAATCAACGATACACCCTGAAAACTGCCTCCTGAATTCTCGTTGTTAATGGTCAAGTTTTCTTCAAAGAACCCCCAGGATTTCCTGGCACTTATCAGTGCTGGAATCAACAACCGCGTCACGGCTGACCAGCGCTCAGTAAGTGACATGTTTATCTTTTCATGGGTTTGATTGACTGCTTGTACAGGCCCTGGATTATCAGAATTCACCTTTCTTGCAAGACGCTGGCTGGAATCACTGTATCCCCCAACCCCATCTTATTCACCGGGCTCGTTCTCCCAACACCTAGAATTCATTAGGTGTATCCCCCGACCCCACCTTAACCACGATTCACCGGGCTCATTCTCCCGACATTTAGAATTCATTACATGACTATCCCCCGACCCCATCTTAATCACCAGGTTCGTTCTCCCAGCACCTGGAATTCATTAGGTCACACGTGCCATCACTGACCGCACTCACACCGGCAAATCTGGTTTTGGTGGATTCAGACGAGAGTAATAACGCAGCACCCTCTGGATCATCTAACCATAAGTATGAGTCCTTTCTCACAATCTGAGTCTCATGCTGCTCATCTAATGTCACTCAGCATGCATCAATTTATGTGCATTTAATGTTTGGTGTTAGTCGATATTAACACTCACTAGAAAGCACTTAGACTGGCTCTTGTTATCACATCACCAGTGGCGCATCAAGTTTCTGAATACTTCCTAGACTGTTTCCTCCACATCTAAGTAATACCAAGCACCATAGCATGCACTTACCTGAATCACATATATGCTGGCATTGTCCTGTCGGTACGAGCATCACTCTGACTTTGACTGCCACTGATCTCGTCCATTCCTCTTACACTTGCTACCATGTCTCGAGGAACTCAGCATCGTTATGCCAACGAATCTTCATCATATGATGAATCTTCAGACTCTTTGTCTGACAAGAGGACCGCATCCATGCACAGTGTTGTTCAAGGGTCGATTTCTAATCCCGTTCGACGTCGGGATGCAGTTGAACCAAGACAGTGTCAAGAGGTAAGTTTGAGAGTAAATGATACTACCAGCACTAACAACTGAGGCATTGTCAATGTCTGCAGGGGGTCAAGAGTGCGCAGCTCAAAAACCAGGCCCTGAAGGAAAGACTCCGCACCATTGAAGAACAGAACAAGGTACTTTCCACCAATAGTAAGGGACGTCGCAAGCAGGACAACAAAGTTTCCGAAGATATTTTAGCCTTCGGAGCAGAACTAAAGATCTGCGCGAAACGATATGGCCTCACGATCAACATGTTCCCTCCACCAGCAGCCCTGCTCAAAGTGACACTTCCTAACCCTGTGCCGCCGTTCAACACAGCTGCTCGGTATGCCACTACAGGCTCGCAGGAGATTGCAACTCTAGTGGAATTGTACGACACACTCCCTCAGCACCTGCACCACCTGGTGCCAATGAACCGTTTTTCACATGTGGTAATGCACATCTCTCATTTTCATGCTTTATCTTACTTAATACTGCTATCTACAGTTCTCGAAGGCGCTTTGTGCTGGCCATGCCTCCGAGCTGAACAAGCTGAGGAGTGCAGCTGGTCAAATTTTTGATTTACCCCAGCATTACTTCGCGATATGGAACCCGAAATTCGCCAGCTACTTGGCATCACTGGCAAGGCTGGCGAGTTGTACCCCCTTTTGCCACCTATGTTGTTTCCAGGGAATATCATCGACTGCAGTCGCAAAACATTATTTGGTAACTGGCAGCCTATTGCTAAGGTACGTGCTATTCAGTTCATTCAATTTCTATGTTTAATCTGTACTAATAAATGAACAGACACTGAGCTGCTGCCTCAAGGGCAGGACATCACTCTCTAACCAGGGCAGACGACAGGGCGGTGCTCCACCCAATGCAGTTAAGTGGGGTGTCACAGCGGTAATGCCTGGGGCTGTGGCTTGGGCTATCGTCACAGTAAGTCCAGGCCTTTATTCATTAAGTCTAAGGCTCGTCTTGATTGATTCGGTTTCAAACCCACGCTCTAATAGAACATATTTCTACTATCACCCGACCAATAATTTCCTCAAGAAGGGAAGGGGAAGACCTTGAGAATCAACTACGGCACAGTCTTTGTGTTCTTTAAAGAACTTCTCATCTGCGACTGGGAGAAGCCTTGCCTGCCTAAAGGGGGTCATCAAGAATATCAATAACTTCGTTTTTGAACGCACTTCTCGCCCCTCTCACGATCTTAATATCAGAGATTCCGCTGAAGATCTTGAAGAAGAGATGTGTCTCGCTCGACTTGGATTGGCAGCAGAGGCAGGGGATTCAGAAGATATGTCTGACCATGAAGAATACCAAGGGGACAAAAATGGCGCTAGTATTGATGTCCTTACTGAAGCTACAGGCACGATCACTATACGTGATCCGGATGAGGCTCCTGTACCTCCTGATCCTATGATTTCAACAACTGACACCATGACATCAGCTCTCACTGTATCGAGCAACTCCGCTGTGATCACTGGCAGCAGTCCTTGTGTTTATGATGGACCAGGAGATGAAACAGAGGTAGTTGCGATTGAAGAAACTAATATTCAGTCTGTCAAGCCAAAGTCTAAGGCTGGTTGACAGCCCAAAAAGTCCAAGGCACAGGAAGGGGATGACATTGATAGTGGACCTGCATCTGCCCCTCGACGTGGCCGCTCAAAGAAATAGGTAGTATCACAATATCACTCCTAGCTACATCTTTTTTCTTCTATTTATGTTCTAGTTATCATTACAATTTACAAGCTTTCCACTCATCTTCTGATGTTTTCTCCAATTACAATAACACTTTGCAATCTGCACGCAGTGATTATGTCAGCATTGCAATGAACATCAGTATGTGTTTTGCTTTCTCTTTTAAACTTTGCACATTCGCATTCCCTCTCTTCATGATACAGAAGTTCATTCGACGTCGCAATCCTTAAAGCGCTCTGAACTCCATCTCTGCCATTGCTTCCTACACCTCCCAGACAGCACCACAAGTGATCTCAGTGTCAGCAACCATCTGGACATGGACAGTGGCAGCGTGTCAGAACTCGAGGACGACCTTGGTGAAAGGCACAGCAAAAGCGAAGATGAAACTAACGGAGACAATGTAAGCACTTACTTGTTCTCGACTGGTCGTAGTGGTGGTGCAGTATCTCATGTGCGCAAAAACTATCTGCAGGGACTGTAACCAGGAAGAGGACGAGTCACCATCGCCCACACTGTCGAAGTATCACACTCGTAAGCCTGTTCCACCTCCTCCCTCCTGCAGAGCTTACCTCAATTTAAAGTCCAGCCTCATGCATCATCAGTGCAACACTCACGTCGGTCGGGTAGGCCACCTGCCTCAGATGCACTTGCTTTGCCCTCGTCAGCAAGGAAAGGGTTATCGGGGGAGTCTGTCTTGTGCGTCTTTCTAGTTCTTGGAACTATCTGCCTGCTGACTGCTTCATTAACCTATTCAGAGGCCATATCGCGTCCATGATTGCCCACATAGCACTGCTAATGACACTACAGAATATGGCCTCAAGTGTCTCAAAATCAAACACGGTTTCTAACCTTACCGGTGCGTGTTGAAGAGTATCGCATACGCTTGTTTACTCAGTTTTCCTGTAGCATTCAAAAATTATGCCGAGGGTGATCTCTTCCCGGCACATACCGCATACTCGTAACTTCTGGTGGTCAAAATCAAAATCAGCGATACCTGAGCAGCAGGCGGCGTCGGGAGTGGAGTCAGCACCAGCTTCCAGTAGCAACATCGGTACCACTGTTGTGGACTTGGAACCAGCAACAACAACCAATGCAGCGACAAGGCTGGAGCTAGACTCTGCTCCGATACCAGTGACTACCACGCAGGATAGTTTAACAGCCGTTGTTGACAGTGGTGCGGGTATCGATATTCCTGCGCTTGACACCGTCATTCGACCCCTTCAATATGGTGATTTAGCAGAACTAGGCCTTGCTGGCTGGTCACTGGCTGGTATCATAAGGTGGTCATTTTGTGTATCATCAGCACAGCGCTCACCATTGCCCCACCTGCACTTTTTCTACCAAAGCCACCTCCCCACAGGCTCTTCGTGCTCTACCATCCTCCTCGAATTCCAAAAGCATGCCGACTCTAGCATTATTTTTGGAGGAGAAGCCGGTGATAACGTATGATTGTGCATTTTCAGATCTACCATTCACTTTATTACTGTAATAGCGACCGTAAAATCTACTTTTTGTTTGTGAAACCGATTGTAATGTACCATTGTAATGCGCGACACAAACAATTACAATAAAATTATAATGTGCAATGAAAACCTATTATAATTGATAGCTGTGGAAACAACTTGAATTGGGATTTGCAACACAAACCCATTATAATGTGCGAAATGCAGATCACAATTATATTACAAAATTGTTGAAAACATGCTCGAATTGGAAATGCAAGGATTACGGTGTCATTAAAATATATTTTGCAAACTGTGGCTTCTATTGCAATGAGTTGCCAATCACGTGTTATATTGGGACTATTACAAAGCATCCTAATCAGTTGAAATAGATTTCTGAGATTTCCGACAAAAGTCAATCACTTACATGTGTGGCAAGGATATTACAGCTGATATCAAAACTATGCGGAATCACAAAATCAAAACTTGCACGTCAGAAATGTCCGGACAAGGACCCCATAAGCGTGTGAGTGAGAGACTTGCAGCGCTTGATTGCGACATTGACTCTGCATTGTCCAATGCCGCCGCACACCGTTTCTGATGATTTAAAGGCTCGAATCCCTGTTTTACGTCGACGCGGGCACTCCGTCAAGCATATCTGTTATCTACTTGGAGTCAAAAAGACCCTTGTATACAAAGTTTTGCGGCTCTTTTCCCCAACTTGTAGCAGCATCCACAGCAAGAATACAGGCTGCCGTCGCACCCTGACCATCGATGATCTTGCTTTTATCACTGCTATCCTTCGTCACCGACCTACTATCTATCTCGACGAGTTACAACACGAATTGCACTCTCGCCGCGGTGTGTCTGTGTCTGTGCAAACACTTCTCCACACATTTCGGTGGTTACATCTCAGTCGCAAATGCATCTCCGCTTATGCTCTTGAATGGAACGAAGAAAAATGTGCTATTTTTATGAATAGTATTGCTGAAATTGCACCTGACCCTGAAATGTTAATGTTTGGTGACGAGGCCGCAAAAGATGAGAGAACCCTCATTCGACACTATGGCAGATCAAGAATTGGAACAAGGTATGTCAAATTTTACTTCGATTGTCCTGTAATAACTAGTCTATACCAGATGCATACAAAGGAAGTGCTTTGTGTGAGGCAAACACTACTCGATCCTGCCAATACTCACTCTTGATGGAATTATTACCTATGATATCATTGAGGGACCGGTGACAAGTGAACGATTTGCACAATTCTTGCGCGAGCATGTGGTAGGGTCTTTTGAATATGATGTACATTGGAAGTTGACTGGTTGTTTATAGCTACCTTTAACCAACCCATATCCAGGGCCACGTAGTGTGCTAGTTTTAGACAACTGCCGCATTCACCACAGTGACGAGGTTCGTCGTCTGGTCGAGGAGGAAGCCTTATGCAAGCTTGTGTTTCTGCCTCCATATTCGCCCGACTACAACCCTATTGAGCAAGCCTTTTCTGCTATCAAAGCATATTTACGACAACACTTCGATAACAAGGCTTTGATGAGTATGGTACGTGCATGCCAAAGCATCACACCTGATAAGGCAGAAGGTTATTTTCGTGTGTTGGGGTACATTGCCTAGCTATTCTAACAGTTCATAGTGCTAGTTCTAAATAAAAGGATCTTCTGTATCTGCACGATCACCCTCTGACTCGAATGTGAATCCAGGAGGAAAGATAACCCAACTCTGCCTATTTTCGCAAAAGTAGTAAAGATCATAGTCAAGATCCCTGCGCTTGCTCGGTGGACGCTCATCAGGCTTCATACGACTTCCACTGATGCGTGCTCGTCCCCCATCGTGGTATCTCCTCTCATACTGGAATTTCTTGTACTCGGGAATGTTTGAGTCAGCTGTATCGCTCCGTTGACGCTTTGAACTATTCTTTGCAAGAGGTCCGTTCCACCATGTAACACTTCCTTTCTTCAGCTGAATAATGTCACCTGCGCTGAGCCCAACTCGAGCAAGATCTTGGTCAGCCATGTCTGCAAGTATATCTGGACCTGCACCAATGCCACGCAGGGAGGGTTCATATGTTGAGGCAAATGCGACACCAAGATGGTCCTCGGCATACTTCAAAAAATGATTGAGTGTCAAGGGTGTCAGAGTGACAGGTGATGTGACAGGGAGTGACTCAGAAGTCACAGTTCAAACTGGAAGTGGTGTTGAAGGGGTGGCCTCGCGTGTGAGATCTCGCACAGTTCGTAACAGAAGCATAGATGTGAGAGAATTGATGTCGGTTGTACTGACTGATGTAGCTGCAGGTGTTGCAGCTAGTGCTGCCGCAGTCCGGTCCAGAACCACGGTTCGAACCGGACTTTTGGTCCGGTTCTCTGTGGTTCGGTCCATGGTTCCCTCACCAGCTGGAACCAGACTGGAAAGTGGTTCTGGGTTCTGGACCTTCACTAGTGGTCCGGTTCTGGTTCGACTTTCCCGAACCTTCCCGAACCGTTCCTTGACCTTCGAATTCCCTCGACTTCGACACCAACCACGACGACGTCAGTGTCCATGTCGACATCAAAACACCGTCTTCGAGATTTGCATTATTTGTTAATCAGGCTACTGTTAGCCTTTTTGAAGGTAAGTACTAATCAATTTATTCTCAAGACTCTGACATATGTTTACCTATATCACAGATATCTACTTGTTCTAGTCTATATGCTTCCTGGATAGTCATGATCCTCCACCGGTTCTCAACTCTAACAGATCTCCTTGGATATTGTCGCTCTGTAGTGTTAGGCTATGTGCCATGCATAAAACGGGGTGCCGACCAAAAACTGTGAGTTATTTGCCTGACAATGTCTGAAGACTGCTGTGCTCTGAACACTGACGGCACCCTCAAGGATGCTTCTGAAATTACCTTTTTTAATGATCCTGACGATAAAGTACCATTGCCCCAGGTCGCATCTTCTGCCCAGCCATCCTCTTCCACTACATCCGCAAAGGACGCCTTCTCCGTTCTGCTCAAGGCTGGATGCACCCCAGCAACAGTTGCAGCTGGATCTAGGCGCTCTGGCCGGCCCTCAAAACCATTGGCTCGTATTCGCGATGCTGACAATGCCTGCGGTCTGTCTTTGTCAACTAACCAAAGGAAATGTGCTTTATCTAGTGCTACAGATCATCCAGCCCCCAAAAAAACTGCCATGTGAATCTTATCCCCTCTTGACTCCGAAGATGAAGACATACCCTCTACACCTGATCTGGGAGAGTCGTCTGCTGACGAGCTGATCCCCCAACCAGAGGATGATGATGAAGTTGATGAATCTAAATCCGAGAACAGGTGCACCGCTTCGACTGTATGTACTCGTTTATTGTCTTCCTTGAGTCTCGACTAACACCTGTATTTAGCTTTCAAAAAGCAAACGCACAGCGGACGTTAGGACTATATTTACCCGTTTACCTGATGGGTGGGTGTGTACACTATGCAAGTAAGTGGTCCATATTGTTTTTGATATATCGTTTAATAACTTTCAAACAAGGTCCGCTGGTGAACCAGTGCAGAAGCACACCTTTCGTGGAGGTACTTCGACACTTCGCACACATATTGTCCACCACAAGAAGTCGCATTTTCAAGTCTACAAGGAGCGTTGTGAGGCCGCAGGCATCACAATGCACTCTTGTGTGATCCCACCTGGAGAAGACAACATCATGACACAATCGCAAACAACTCTCGACGGCAAGCTTGTTTGCAAACCACCTGCGTTCACCAAGGAAGGGTTCCTTGAATATATCATGGAACTTATCGTGACGGAAGACGACATACATTTATATATATATATTTGCATCAATTTATTTACATCACACCAGGCAATACAATTAATTGACAAGCCAGCGTTTCGGCGTTTATTACAGTATGCACATCCCACCCTGACTGAAAAGGACATTCCGCATCGCACCAAGTTAACAGAAACTATCAAGTCTCGAGCAATGACCGTGGTTGAAAACATCAAGGAGCGTCTAGCGATGAGTCTTGACCTACTTATATTATGGCATCAGTCTTAAAATATTTCATTAGCATATTGACAGTGCAGTGTCCATGACATTCGACTCATGGACATCGATAATCGGCGAACCATTTTTTTCAGTCACTGGTCATTATATTTGGAGCCCTGCCGGCAAACCGCTGCAGTGGGAGCTGAGAAATGAGCAACTTGATTTCATGCGGATCGAAGGCAACCACAGCGGCCTCAATATCAGCAATATACTCGTTAGGACAATAGACAGGTATAATATTTACAACAAGGTATGTTTTCCAGAGTCTGGCTTCAGCTGTGGATTGACTTCGATTGCATAGGTTGGATGGATGACATCGGACAATGCCTCAAATAATGATACCACTATGAATGAAGTCACAAAGGCCATAGACGAGGACGGGACCCACTGGCTTCCAGGTCCCTGCCGCATCCGCTGTCAAGAGCACATCTTGAATCTTGCGGCGCAACATTTTGTTGATGGAGTCGCACCCACCCCACAGGCCACATTACTATGCAAGATTCGTCATGCTATTGATCATGATGAGGAAACTGACATCACTAGCTTGACTGCACAACTTGCGGCATTGGAACACGACCCTGATGCTATTGTGGAGGACGGTTTCGATGTCGGCAATGCTGTTGGAAAAGCGCTGGCACTCATTGAACAGGTAAAGTCCTCTTTTTTGTCTTCGAGTTCTCATTGACGCAATCAATAATCAGATCCGCAAATCACCACAAGCTCAAGCATTTTTCAAAAAATCATGTGAGGAAGAAGGTGTTGCTGTTCGTGAGATTTTGTCATGGGTGAGAACGCGCTGGGCGTCCTTATTCAAGTGCCTCAAGCGCTTCTTGTCCCTTCGCCTGGTAAGTCAGACATACAATCACTGGTTTAGTATCTAACATCTTTCAGGCTGTCAACCGCTTTACTCTGCTTGCCGACGAAAGCCACGAAGTCCCAAAGTTGCGCAACAAGGCATATAGCGACTTCAAGCTTGATCGAGCCGACTGGAGAAAGCTACGGCTAGTGCATGATGTCCTCAAGGTATTTATTTGTATATTCATTTTTATTTTATTTACTTATTGTTATAGGAACCTGCGACTGCACAGCAATCGTTCTCTTCGGTCGCGTACCCAACAGCCTGGCAGACCATACCCACGCTAGAGTGTCTCGCTAGCACGTGGGGGGCAATGGCCGGAAATCCAGAATATGCAATCATCGTGGACGCCATTACGAAGGGTCTCAAGAACGTCGAGAAGTACTACCAGAAAGCTAGTGACTCAGACGTCTACTTTATCTGTCTAGGTGAGTATCTTTTTTTTTTGCTTAAGTCCATGTCTCATTTTGTTACAGTTCTTGACCCTAACTATAAGTTAGCATACGTCGAACAGCAATGGACTGTGACAAAGGTCGCAAACGGGAGGGCTCGTTTTGAGGCAGTGGTGAGTACTTGTTGTGCTTCGCGAGAATTATAGTCAAAAATTCAATGTAGTTGGGCTCGGAGATTTGAAAGACAAGTTCCTTGACTTTGGTAGATTTCACTTCCTTGGTTTTTGCTTTGCCATTACTTTCAGTAGTAATCTTGGTGTATGTATCAAGGTGAATAATGAAAGTAGCCTTGAATTCAGGTATCTCTGGGGAGGAATCTGATGGTGACAACATTGTCATGTAGTGAATCGCATATGTACGCTAACACTACTGCAAATGTCTCACTCAGGTGCTTATGGGGTCCTTGTCCGGACATTTCCGACGCACAAGTTTTGATTTTGCGATTCCGCATAGTTTTGGAATCAGCTGTAATATTCATCAGTAATTTCAAAGTTCAATTTAAGTATAATAAATAAGGCCTATATTAAAAAAGTGTAAAATGTGATTTCATGGAGCTGATGCATGCATCATGCTGGTGTTGCCTTGACATGAGTACTTCAAGCTACATGGTGTATCTTACAGTGGATTTGTGTGGGTGTAAGTGATGCATTGCTGTAAGCCTGTAACGTGAACACTTGTTAAAAGCCATCATCTGTTGAACTGATATCTGTGAGACCTTGTCACCTTGTGCAGATCTGTGAGGACTGAGTGTGTGTATAGAACGACAGCATGATGGGGCTGCAGTTAACATTATCAATTATCGACTGAATTGACCACCATGAAGTTGCTTTGAAGGTAAGTAGGAGGCGTCATACACTAACCGTACTGGTGCTGTTGGCGTCACTGAAGCTTGAACTTCGAGCCGCTATGATGACCTGAGAGAGATCAAGGTTTCCACCATGTGAAGCACACATCAAGGGCCAAGGTGTTGATTGTTCTGAGCCTTGCATTCAGGTATGACTTTAGTAACCGTATATATCGCACGTATAGACGCAGATACACAAACGGTTGAATGAAAATTGTTCGACGCGTCCGAAACATATCAGTCACGTGATGCAAACCTTCTGATCCTAACAACGTTAAACACACCAATCGTCCAAAGTCGACTATAGGTCAAGTTCGACCAGTACTATAGTACTAGTCACATTTTACAAAATTGTGAACAGGCCCATTGAAAGGCAGAATCTCGATGATGTCCCAGGTGTTCTTTATATTCATTCATATTAATATTGTGATAGACATCCGATATATATACCCAACAATAGACTTGAGTGTCATAGCCAAGGAGGTTGGTTCAGACTCTCCCGATGCGGAGCAGAGACTCGTTCAGCAAGATTACACAGAGAACATAACTCCAACTTTTGTAGGCGGTATTATCCTATCCTCCTCTTGTGCTGCGCCCGCATCCAACTCACCGAAGAATCCATCAATGTACAGATTTGATGCGATGATACGGTGTAAAAGCACAAATGGTGCGAAGAGGCTGTTTTGAAGCGCAGAAGCACCCAGTAAATGAAGACGTGGGCCGAGAGCAGAGAGAGGGATTCCATTTTGGACGCGCACCTGATCACGGCGAACCATGCTCAAGAGCGATGAAGATGTCCTTGTAAGTTGTGGGCATAACCGAAAGGAATCGTTCTGGTGAAATCGTACGTATACTACTCGCCGATGCGAAGTGACGCGCTGGGAAAACCATGGCAGACTAGGGAACAGTTTTGGGCAGTATCAACGTATACTTCTTGACTTGCCGTCGCCCGTCTTGAAGATTTTGCATCCAATTTCGTTCAGTAGATTATGCATCTTTCCTATAAGGACAGTTTCATGAGAGCTGTATGGCATAGGCTATGGAATCGGACTTCATCTGCGCTTACAGTCTGCTGGCATGTCCTTCCCAACTACGGGAACCTTCGAGATCGTTGCCTAGAACCCTTCAATGAGTGCAGTCGCGTCTTGATGTGGCAGGAATTGTTCCACGAATGTACATATAAACACCAAGGTGATAAAAATACAAGGACTAGCGTGAGCAGGACATATGGTCTACTGATTTTGATTCAGGGCCGGCAGGATGGTGGCATGGCTCTGCCTGCGATGTGGAAACGAAGCAAATATCTATCTAAGGCGTGTCCCTAAAGCCCATCAGGTACTGCATAATCTGGAAGGCAGCCTAAAATCATCGGTTCCTGCGTTAGGGCACATCTGCACATCAGCATTGCCGACTTACCACTGGCGCAAACTGCGGAATCCTACAGGAGACATCAGAAACGAGACCCTGTGAATTGCAGCGAACTCACATGTGTCCACTCAAGGCTACTTCGTAATATGTGAGTCCACGCTCCGAGTGTGTGGTGCCATAGGCACCCACACCATCGACAATGAAGCTGTCGTTAGCGATAGGCGTCTGGAATCCTTGCAAACCATTCCCTGAGAATATAATGAGTGATTAGTAGCGTGCATCAAACATTATGAGTCACGCACAGGTCATGCTACAGATGAATCATATCAATGAAAGTGATACAGTCACACTCAAGAACACACTTACTTTTGAATAGCAATTCTTGTTCTACATTATTGAACCGTGCGTCAGAATATACGAAGATTAGGGTCGAAAGTGAAGTCATACCCATCAGCAATGAGAATGAAGTCGGCGAGACCGTGCACAATGACGGTCCGCTGGTTCTTCTCGATAACATTCGGTAACACAGTGAAGGCAGGAGGCAAGCTGCTGTCTCCGTTGGGGAAGACATTAATATTGGAGCATTCCGACCACTGGGTCTCAACGGGCGCGTGGATAGCTTCCTTGACATCTATTCGGTTAAAGTAGATCGGAGACTGCGTCTGTCCTCTAGGTCTTCGTCAGCCGGGTTGCATTCAGTCAATGATTGAATAACCTACGGGAAACCTAAGACATCCCATAGAATCGGATACTTGCGTGGAGAAGAAGTCAACACAGTATTCATTAAAATCCTCTTGGACTCACAGTATCCCAGATGCGATAGACATCGAAAGCAGGGTTGATAATCAATGCATTATAGAAAATATCGTCCCAGACATCGCAGCCCTCAGCAAACTCGATAGAGTCTCCAGGTAGAGGAAGAGGACCTGTTGGAGGGTATGTGACGTACTGATCCATGTAGCCAGTGTAATTGCACGTCGCGGCCTTCTCGTTGAGGTAGTCCATGTACGTTTGACTAAATATCAATCGGTCAGTGACCTGCAACTAGATCTGAGTGAAATGAACAGACTTAAAAGAAAAGAGACCAGCGTATTTGTTCACGAAGTCCACTGCAGGGATCTCCTCTTGCACCACATCCCACGATATCGAAGCTGAGGAGTTTCGTGTATAAGCACTTGGGAAGAGACAGAGCAAGTCAAAATGTTACTTACGATCACTGATCCATATTCCCTGCAACGAGAGGTCTAATTGAGTGGGATTCTCGTAGATATAGTTGGCAATATCTTCATTGGTCTCTAAGTCACGTTCAAAGAAAACGACATCTGACTCACAAGGCACGTATGTTCCAGCATACTAAATACAGTCAATACAACGTTTACCGGACTCTCTGAGAACTTACACTTTCACCCGTTAGATACAGCTTTTTGCCTTTGAGCTCCGAAAAGACCTCAAGGAACTGCTGCAAGAAGCCGACGACTTGAGTAGCAACATCGTCCTCGTTCTGTGCGTCTGGGATGCCTTGGGAAAATCCCGTTCCAACGGGTTGCTCCACCCAAAGGACGGAGGATAGGTTGGTCCAGCTCTGTTGATTCACCGTCGGTTTGGCCTGACCCCAAGACCAACTGAAAGGCTTCAAACATTTCAGCCATAAATGAGTCTTGTCGTCAACAAGGAGGCTTACCCCATTCTCTTGCAGTAAACCTTCGAGGGAGGAGCAACCAGGGCCACCGTTTGTCCTTCAGGTATAAGATGTATGGTCAGCAACGAACATCACAGCACTTCTGGTGACGCACCAAAAGATTAGATCATCAGAACTCCCTTCGGGGCCGGGAGGAAAAAACCAGAAATAGAGCTGATGTCCTTAATTTCAGCAAATGGTGTGCATAGGCTACCCGTGTACTCGCCTGACGAGTCTCGTTAGGGCTGTTGCTGATAGGTAAAAGACCTGCCCAGCTGGGACCGACGTCGAAATCAACAAGAGGAAGGGATGTGCCATCGACATAAAATTCTAGGCGAAGATAGATCAGACTTATTAAAAGTCTACTTGTAACACGTTATTCACCTGAGGCCTTTGGATTCGTGAATGTGATATTCTGAACACCACTGTGCTTTACGCTCCGACTTTGAGAGCCGCTAGTTTGCCAACGCTTTGCTGCCTCCAGTTGGTGTTCGCCAATCTCGCGCTTGGTCTTCTTATGAGCGCTAGCGGCGACCACTGCGAGTAGAGCCGCATATATGGCGAGAAGACGCATTGGCACCGTCAAACAAGCGAACTTGAGTTTGTGAGGGGGAAATAGGGAGTCATCTGGTATTGTGCATGAGGCTTTTATTTAAGATATGGGTATTTCTGTACTGGTGGGAACGGACAGTTACATAAATCATTGAGTACCCATGCATGTCGAGTGATGATCATGGCGGCACCATGTGTTCTTCGGTCGCGTACTGGCAGTGGCAACTCCGGGTCGGATCAATTTGGCTGATTAATCGTGATTAGCACGTGTGTACTACTCACGGTCCTTGGTGGCTGTTGTTCAAGCTAGTCAATTTGGGCAACCCATGCACGAGTTGCAGACGCAGTGTGAATGTATCCGTTGATTTTCCCGCATTGCTCGGTGGCAGATCGATATGTCAATTAGGTGAAGTGATGGCGTATGTACAAGTTCGTGAATATCGTGATTCTGGCCGGCCTTAGTATTGCAAGTGTACCCTCGCGGCAGGCTCGGCAACAAGGTGTGCTCAATTCTAAAACATCGAAGTCGTTTCATTAACATTATTTTTATAGTAAACAGTTTCATTTCGGCTCCGTACAATACTTCCGAGGCCGGAAAAAGGACCTGTCTCCGGGTCAAACATACCGGTTAAGTCGGCAATGAACTATCATGCTGACAGTGACATTCCCTGCAGCTTCCAGAACCAAGTCCAGCATCAACAACATAATACGCCATACGGTCACATAACACACTCGGCATCAGCAACAGCGACACGGAGAAACCTATGGCGTGAATACCGTCACAACTGGCAACAAGCGTCGGCAATCAGTGTTGTTCCTGTATTTGGAGATGAAACGAACAGAACTTTTTACATAGTCGTTTGCTGATGCTATGCTAATTGTTTCATGTCCTTACACATACACTGTAAGGCTATTTCAAAGTTGATCAATGATTCTATTGTCATGTCCAACTACCTCAGCTTACCTCACCTACTTCAAGTGCTCATAGCCTTGGTCTTTACGCAGTGCTAGCTTCTAGCTAAGGCGTGTCCCTAAAGCCCATCAAGTACTGCATAATCTGGAAGGCAGGCTGAAATCATTGGTTCCTGCATTAGGACATATGTGCACGTCAGCATTGTCAACTCACCACTGGCGCAAACTGTGGAATCCTATGGAAGACATTAGAAATGAGACCCTGCATAATGCAGTGAATTCACATGTGTCCACTCAAGGCTACTTCGTAATAAGTGAGTCCTCGCTCCGAGTGCATGGTGCCATAGGCACCCACACCATCGACAATGACGCTGTCGTTAGCGATAGGTTCTAAATCATCGAACCGTGCGTCAGGATATACAAAGATTAAGGTCAAAAACGAAGACATACCCATCAGCAATGAGAGCGAAGTCGGCGAGACCATGCACAATGACGGTCCGCTGGTTCTTCTTGATAACATTCGGTAACACAGTAAAGGCAGGAGACAGGCTGCTGTCGTTGTTGGGGAAGACATGGGTCAAGGTAGACTGGTGACCAGCCCGTCTATGAGTATCGACGGTTTGCCTCATAGACGGGCTGGTCACCAGTCTAGGGTCAAGGTGCATTCAATCCATTTGGTATTCACGGGCGCATGGATGGCTTCCTTGACATCCGTTCTATTAAAGTAGATTGGAGTCTGCGTCTGTGGGAATGACCCTCTAAGTCTGCGTCAGCCGAGTTGCATTGAGTCAATAACCGAATGGCCTACGGGAAACCTAAGACATCCCATAGAATCGGATACTTACGTGAAGAAGTTAATATAGTACTCATTAACATCCATTTCGACTCAGTGTCCCAGATGTAAAAGATATTGAAGGCGGGGTTGATAGTCAATGCATTAATGAAAATATCGTCCCAGACATTGCAGCCCTCACCAAACTCGATAGTCTCCAGGTAGGTGAAGAAGACCTGTTGGAGGGTATGTGACGTACTGATCCATGTAGCCAGTGTAATTGCACGTCGCGGCCTTCTCGTCGAGGTAGTCCGTGTACGTTTGACTAAACGTCAATCTGTTAGTGACCTGCATATTAGATCCGAGTGAAATGAACAGACTTGAAAGAAAAGAGACTAGCGTGTTTGTTCACGAAGTCCACTGCAGGGATCTCACCTTGTACAACAATCCACGAGATTGAAGCTGAGCTTCATGCGTAAGTACTTGAGCGGAGAGGGCAAGTCAAGATGTTATGTACGATCACTGATCCATATTCCCTGCAACGAGAGGTCTAATTGAGTGGGGTTCTCGTAGATATAGTTGGCGATATCTTCATTGGTTTTAAGTCGCGTTCAAAGAAAACGACATCTGACTCACAAGGCACGTATGTTCCAGCATACTAAATACAGTTAATACAACGTTTACTGGACTCTCTGAGAACTTACACTTTCACCCGTTAGATACAGCTTTTTGCCTTTGAGCTCCGAAAAGACCTCAAGGAACTGCTGCAAGAAACCGACGACTTGAGTAGCAACATCGTCCTCGTTCTGTGCGTCTGGGATGCCTTGGGAAAATCCCGTTCCAACAGGTTGCTCCACCCAATGGACGGAGGACAGGTTGGTCCAGCTCTGTTGATTCACCGTTGGTTTTTGCTGATCCCAAGACCAACTGAAAGGCTTCAAACATTTCAGTGATAAATGAGTCTTACCGTCAATAAAGAGGCTTACCCCATTCTCTTGCAGCAAACCTTCGAGAGGAGCAGCCAGGGTCACCGTTTGTCCTTCAGGTATAAGCTATTATCTCAACACGAATGTCAGTGTACACCAACGCACCAAAAGATTAAATCATCAAGACTCCCTTCGGGGCCGGGAGGAAAAAACCAGAAATAGAGCTGATGTCCTTAATGTCAGCAAAGGATATGCATGGCTACCGATGTACACACCTGACGAGTCTCATTAGGGCTGTTGCTGATGGGCAGAAGACCTGACCAGCTAGGACCAACGTCGAAGTCAACGAGAGGAAGGGATGTGCCATCGACATAGAATTCTAGACGAAGATAGATCAGACTTATTAGATGTCTACTTGTAGCACTTCATTCACCTGAGGCCTTTGGGTTTGTGAACGTAATATTCTGAACACCACTATGCTTTACGCTCCGACTTTGAGAGCTGCTAGTTTGCCAACGCTTTGCTGCCTCCAGTTGGTGTTCGCCAATCTCGTGCATGGTTATCCTACGAGCGTTGGCGGCGACCACTACGAGCAGAGCTGTAAATACGGCGAGAAGATGCATCACCGTCGAACAAGCGAACTTGAGTTTGTGAGGGGGAAATAGGGAGTCGTCTGGTATCGTACATGGGACGTTTATTTAGAATATCAGTATTTCTTCTGTACTAATGGGAAGGAAAAGTCGAATAATCAAACACGTATGCATACTGAGGGATGATTATGGCGGCCCATCATGATTCTGGCAGTTAATGTCGGGGGCTTGGGGTCAGTGTTCATCCCCGTGAGTCTGGAGTTCTGCCAAGTTTTGCCACCTCCCTTCGCGTGAGAAGTTCTGCCGTAGACAAGGCACAACCAGGTTTGCCAACACCAAAATTCATATTCTTCAAGCAGCCATACGTGATACGTGGCCCATCAGATAAGCAACTTCAATGGCCGATTAATTGTTATCAATACACGTATACCTGATTTCTTTACTCACGGTACTTGCTGGTTCAACCTGGTTGCTGTCACGATTGGCCGTGAAGACTTATCCAGGTTCGCTCCCATTGTTTCCAAGGGCTAGAAATATGTCTGACTCCACTACTGGAATAGCAGTCGAGGTAATGCGCACATCGGAGTGAGGGAAGGTACACAGCGTCTGACAGGATCCGTCAATGAGCAATTCGGCTCCGAGAAGCATCACAGCTGCAGACCGGTAGTCATGCATTCATAAACCACTCGTCGAGGTTCCATAATCACGTTGTATTGTCGTATGACGTGCTTGCTAGGATGCAACCATTCGGAGGTGTTGGAATGGCCAAGACTTGGTCCGTGTGCCCTTCCAGCAGTGCGACCTGTTGCCCTGCATGTTGTAGCATCCATGTTCTAATGAAGCGATCAACTGACCCGGAGACAATGGGGTTTTTCATCCGTACGTGGTCCAATTATGAAACGCACCTGCCATCTCCGGGTCGCCCCACCCATCCGGTGTGCAAGACTTACAACATCACCACGCGTGAATCTTGCAGTCTGCACTCGCATCGCCTGCCCGTGTATATGTGGCTGGTGTGTATCAGAACGAATATTTCCGTTGGTTCCAGATGCGTTGAACTTCGGATGTGGTGGCATTGCTCAGAAAGGGAAGGCTTTGTTTTTTTTGATGCTTTAGCTAACATATCGTAGGGTGGGAATATATGATAAAACATTGAATAGGAGAGTATGGACGCTGGTCACCTAAACAGGTACTTTGAATCATGTTGTGGGTATTTTGATTTTTATACGGCCACATTGATACTCTAAATAAGTAGCCTGAACTTAAGAAGTCACTATAGAGCGATCATTGTTCACAATGAGTGTTATCCCCAGCCGACTGTTCAATCGCTTGCACACCTGAATATAAATTTACTACCTTGCGCATGAACCAGCGAATACAACCACAACTCTATTTTGAACCTCACTTACAGGACAGCGTCTGCGATTGATTGAACAGCTCTATCCTTTGTGAGAGTGAAGATCCTGGCAGGTCAGAGCGCTAAGTACTTACTTGGAGTTTGAAATGCAATTGGAAAATTTGAACAGCGGAGCGGTGCAGACTAAGATCAGGAGCCAGCTATACGAGTTCTAAAATGGAATTCAGCGTTGCATACGGAAGTCAGAAAAAGATCAACATACCGTTAGGATCTTTAAACAACCGAAGTCGAGGCAAGAATCAGTGATAAAGCTAGCATGTACAAAACTTCAGCAGGAAGAACCACAGTCACATTACGCAGCTGATGGGCAAAGGAATGTTCAGAGCGCGCAGGATCGGGAGGACGCGGAACTCAGTCAATTGGAAATGAAGTCTCTAAAACAAAGTTCAAATGGTAAATGACCGGCAGAAGCCATGTGAGTAGCTGAAGATCACTGCATCCGTATACATAGTGTTAGGACATATTCGCTATGACAGCGTGAATGGGATTGAGCAAATGATCATATGAAATTAGTGGATCTCGTGGAAGAATGGAATCTCTTATAATTAAAATACTGGCGCTGCCTCGTGGATCCCATGCTTGCGGTGCATGCAAGACTCACCTTCGTTGTTGGCTGGCTACCATTGAAGAACCAGCAGAACAACCAGTAAGTACTGTGCAACTGTTCCCGTAATTTTCAATCACGAACAGTGTCAGAGCCAGAATAAACCATACAGGCAGCTTACGGTAACGAACTATGCCTCCACTTGCGATTCAGATGCCAACCATTGAGGAAAATACGTCTTCTGTGTCTGAACCCCCTGCAATGCCGGTCACCGAGGAAACTCAACCCACCGCGCAACCCGAGAAACCAACTCCAAAGTACCAATTCAAGGGCCACGAAAATCAAATTTTGGATTTCGTCTTCTTGCGCGACAACGTCCACATCGTGAGTGGATCGTTGGACGGCAGGATGCGCAAGTGGAACTGTGACACAGGGCTTCTCGTTGGGAAACCTTGGTCAGGCGAGGGCGGAATTATACATGCACTGGCTCTTTCACCGGATGGGAAGACAATTGCATGCGGGAGGGACGACGGAAGCGTTCAGCGGTGGAACACCGAAGGAGAGATGATTGAAGGCATTTGGACAGGTCATAAGGAGTTGATACGGTCACTGTCGTGGTCTCCTGATGGAAACCATATTGCAAGCGGATCCGACGATGGAACAATCCTGATTCGAAAAGTACTTGAAAGCGGAGAAATCGAGGTAGGTCCGATCGAAACGAAGCAGGATGGTGTGCTTGCACTTGCATATTCACCTTCAGGCGACAAAATCGCATCAGGCGGGAAGAATCAGACAATTTGTATTTGGGACTCGAAGACAGGCGAGCTCGTCATCGAGCCCATCGGAGACCTTGGGCACTATGTGTGGTCTGTGGTGTGGTCCTTGGACGGCACCAAGTTGTATGCCGCCTTGGGACATTTCGCACGCGCTTTCGACAGTAGTTCAGGCACAGAACTTTGTAGCTTCGAGCACACTCATCCGCTGATTTCTGTTGCGCTTTCACCCAAACACAACGTGCTAGCATGCGTGGGCATAGGAAGTATTGCACGACTATGGGATACAAAGTCCCGTCAGCCACTCGGTCAGCCATTTAATCAAGAGGACGGAATCGCTTTGTGCGTGGCATTCTCTCCGGATGGCAAATATGTAGCATATGGAGGAACGAACAACACAGTCACTTTGTGGGTGGTAAAAGAGATAGCTCCAGAGATTACAGTACGTGCTTTTACAACCATACTTCTAAGTGACAAGCTACACAGTAGGAAACTCGTCTCTAGTCGCCACCGCCGTCTTGCCTGGAAGTCAGTACTCTTGCATTCGACTACCTTCATTCTCTTGCTCATAGAAATATCACAGGTCGACGCTACGAATCCTTTGGCACAATCGGAGAGTGATGGTCATGGCGATTTTTTTCAGGTAAGTCTCGTGTTTCGTCAAGCAGACGGTACAAGTATTGATGATGAGCATTCGAAGTCTTATCCTCCTTCGGCACCACCTGGCCCATCTCATCGTTCCCAGAATACTCAATCATCCTCCGCTCGCCGCTTTTGGAACATCCTCATCCCCTTTCGACATGGTCCGACAGCAAGTGAGTCCATTGCGCTGCAGCAACATCCCAGACGCAGTTTCTTTGGGGGCCGCTCGGGATCACGGCCTGTAACAGTCTCCGCTGCACATAAAATCAAGGTAAGCAGTGTACTAGTTGTCCCTCGGTTTGTTGCACTTATATGTAACTGATTTTTCAGAGGCGCTGGATAGCGCGTCCCCCTGTGGAGACTAATGCTCAGGCTGGTCTATCGTCCTCAACGATAACACACGCTGCAGCGCAGCCAAACTCGATGCCTCAGCTTCCTGAGGCACAGTCGACAACACAGCAACTTGCTCATAGTTGTTGGGGAAATTTTTGCCTTGCACTCGGGTGCATTCCACGCCGCCCTCTTCCTGTTGTCTCCGCTGCTCAGCCTTCTACCTCGTAACATCACATTACCAAGTGTGTTTCATTTTTTCCTACATATCAGTCTCGTTAATATTCATTTGTTTTGGTTTTTAATCACCTTTCATTCTCTACATACCTCAGATTTCTTACTATCGCTCGCATGCTGCATGCGTGTCTGGCTGATGATCAATGGTATATGCTCTACTGGTACATTCTGAAATACTTATTATTATAAATGATTTGACAAGGACTTGTAAATTCATATTTACAGTGGTGGTCCCCATTGCATCATTGCCTGAACCTATTAGAAATTCACGCAGCGCGCATGGTGACTAGGCTCGTGACCAGCCTGGCCTAATACTACCACGGTTGCACGAGTGGTGTAGCCAGGCTGGTCGATCTCGGAGTGGCGTGGCAGGGCGGAGCGAGGAGTTTGAAATTTGATAGGTGCCGGTCGTGCCGGAGGTAGTTACGATCATATGGCACAAGTTATACGTCTGCTCTCGCTCAGACTGTACTATGCTATGTTAAGTTTCAACCATGAGTTCTGTACGACCTTTATCGCTCACTGCTCGAGATACAATTGAGAATCTCCCAACGGACTTTACGAGGTCCCTCTCAACGACACAACACCAGCAAGTTCTCGAGGCTTTCTCGCGACTCGATCTTCTTTCCCAAGGATCACAACGTCCGATTCGCGAAATTGTTCCAGCTCAGATGCCTCATATCATTACTTTCTGCGAAACACGTTGTACTTCGAGCTGCGACAGGCTCTGGAAAGACCCTTGCTATGATTCTCCCTCTACTCCTTTCTCCCAACAAGACAGCTATCACTGTCAGTCACCTTTGAACTTATTGCTGCAGCGAGATCACGTACGCTAAAAACATTAAATTTGTCCTTGTAAATAATGGGTTCAGGAGTTCGAGCAGTTTATCCTAATCAATTATTAGTGCTCCAGCGTGATGTACTGTTGTATTTGAGAGGATACTGTACTTACTTTTCACGGTACGAACGAAAGAGTTTGCGGTAATGTTACCCCAAAGCGGCATACCGGCATCTGCCAAATTTCAAACTCCTCGCTTCGCCTGCCAAATCACTCCGAGTTCGACCAGTCTGACTACGTCAATAAATTCTCACCATCTCAAATTGACGCATAGTCAGACTGGTTACGAGTCTACATGGTGACGACAAATCGTGATATCGAGAGGACTTGTCACTTGTGCATGATCAACTACCCGCACGTGACTAAGGCGCTCTGATTTCAATTTTAAATTTGAATCCACATAGTACTGAACTGGCACTTTCGCTACGTAGCGTACGTGGTATTTACAACGTGTGTGCACCTTCTTGCGCCATCATCGATATCCAATACCCTTTTATTTTCTATTAAGACTTTCAACGATATCATGTGTTCATAATTCCCACTCTATCCACAGGAATGACCACTACCTGGTGGTCGCGATTAAGCAAGCAGCAAAAAAAGCACCAGGATGACCATGCTTTCGAGTCACAGCCCGGCGAAAAGTATCAGGGGATTCACAAGCTATCCAACGACGATGCTGACCTGACTCCTGGAGAATTGACCTTTGAAGAAGGTGTGGCTTCTCGCTATTCCTTCAACCAAGTTGCTGTCTGACATCATCCAGATACTGCGGGAGGCATGGGTCGTCACCTTGGTGTAATGTCTTGCACTCTCCTTATCGTTGGAAATGTTATCGGCACCGGTATATTCTCGACTCCATCTTCCATCCTCTCCAGTGTGGGCTCAGTCGGCGCTTCTCTCATGCTTTGGGTCCTCGGTTTCTTACTTAGCTTCTGTGGACTCTTTATATGGCTTGAGTTCGGCACCATGTTTCCTCGAAGTGGCGGAGAGAAGGTATACCTCGAGGCGGTCTACAGAAAGCCCAAGTACCTCGCCACAATAGTATTTTCTGCCAACGCTATATTACTTGGATTCACTGCGAGCAATTGTATTGTCAGTCATGTCTTTTTTGTGTGTGAGTATTTGGTATTAAAACTTAATTGCTCCGTCAAGGTTTTTGCCAGCAAGTATGTATTTGGGATCTTGATGAAACGACTCGACTGATATGATGTAGCATCTTAGTTGCTGCTGGTCGACCCGCAAGTCGCTGGAATGAGCGTGGAATTGCACTTGGAGGTGTGTCTTCTACCCAATTGACATGTCGCGGTCATTTCATGGCCTCTAGTCATATTCTTCGTAACTCTTCTACACGGATTGATCCCTAAGACCGGCGTATTGATCATGAACGTATGCAAGCTTTCATTTTTACACTGTCATCATATCTAACATCTTCTTTTCAGTTGCTCTCGATGTTCAAGATCGTAATTCTGGTGTTCGTTGTGATCACAGGCTGGGTAGTTCTCTCTGGAAAAACCCGCGTCGCGGATCCATACTATAATTTCAGAAACGCATTTGCGGGGAGCTCCACGAGTAGCAACGACGTGCGTTCAATGATATTCCTAGATGCCCATATGCTGATCATGATCTTCACAGTATGCTACCGCCACATTTAAAGTCCTGTACGCATATTCGGGATGGTCTAACGTGAACTACGTGATGAACGACGTCCGCAATCCAGTGAGGACGCTCAAGATCGCAGGCCCGCTCGGTCTTGGTATATGCACCGTTTTGTACTTGCTTGCGAATGTGGCATATTTCTCGGCTGCAACCAAGGTGAGAACTGCTTTGTTATCTCCACGAACGAAATACTGAATAGTATCGATAGACGGAGATTGATGAGTCTGGCGTTACTGTCGCTGCCTTGTTTTTCGGGAATGTCTTTGGTTCTGTTGCGAAGCGTGCGCTATCGGTCTTCATTGCCCTCAGGTGAGCTCGACGTCCTGAGTTTAAGGGTTTCTTGACTCATTGTCTTCATGACAGTGCTATTGGAGTGAGTCCTATGTATTTCGTATCATGATCTCTGTTTGATGATGGGACATAGAACGTTATCACTGCGGTAAGTCGAAGGATGCTATGGAAATGTGTAGCTCAGGAACTTTTTATCTAGACTTTTTCTGCGTCACGAGTAAACCAAGGTTCGTCATACCAAGCATCGTAATTCTACTTAGCTTATGCTTCAATTACAGAGCTCGCAAAGGAAGGGATACCTTTTCCATTCGGAAACAAATTCTGGGCTTCAAATTGGCCCACTGGGAAGTCCCCACTTCCGGGATTGATAATCCATTTAATACCCTCCGTAAGCGTTACCCTGGAACCATAATATCAATCTGAAATTGGTTTTCTAGGTTATCGTCATCATCGGCCCTCCCCCGAACATCGCTTATCCCTTCATTTTGGACATTCAAGAATACCCAAAGCAAATTATCAATTTCTTTATTGTCATTGTACGTCTTTGAACTCTTTTCTCGTGTTTCTTATCTCTTGATGCCGCCAGGCTTTGTTCTACCTGAGATGGAGGAAGCCAGATGCTGTTCGGCCATTCAAAGGTGAGAAAATATGTCGCTCTTCCTGTGTGGTACATCAATGCGTATGATGTAGTATGGTGGCCTCTCGCTGTATTTTTCTTAGCTGCTGCTTCCTTCCGTGAGTTACCAATCTACAACTCGAACACTTTCTTTCCCTGACAAAACCTCCACTCAGTCCTCATTGCTCCCTTCCTGAAACCATCCAATGGCGTTGGCGACACCCCACCACTGCCATATTACCTGTACGCTTCTCCCGGAAATCCTTATCCACACGTCCCTTATTCTCATCCCTCGCCTGTCGTATAGGTACTGTCTCGTAGGAATCGCTGTCATGTTCGTAGGCGTGCTGTACTGGGCTGCATGGCGAATCATGCTGCCTAAGGTATTTGGCTATGAGCTTGTACCGAGGAAGGAGAGGTTAGACGATGGGACTTTTGTCACTGTAGTGAGCATTGGCTTTTTATTCTCTGTCTCCTGGTTTAGCTCACGGATCTTATTTTCAAGTTTTCGAGTAAAAAGATGCAATGATTTGGAGGTTGATTGGAAGTGCTGGTAAGTTGGTCTTTGTATTAATTTAGTGCGATGTTGTTGTAGTGGTGATCATGTACTTGACATGCGTAGTTTATCATTCATGTATTCAGGTGTAGTACTACTAGAGTGTAGAACGGACCCTCGCCGGTCAGCTCTACTTTCTGGTATGTGCCGCCTGAAGTTCTTGCCAACACTGCGTTTTGAATATCTGACCAGTCAGTAATCCCGTTGGAATTCTGGTCTCTTATGACATTTTCTGCTTGAATTGATGGATGCAATAATGTTGTTAATGGTGAAACTGATACTATATTGGATGATATGTGCAAGTCTACGCGGTTGAGTACGTGTTCGAATCATGATATGCCAGCGCACCACACCACCTACATACGAAAGAAATATGCATATTGTACGTCCCTGCACCAAGTGGGACGCCAAGGACCGTTTTTCGGCCTAAGTTCGAACGAGGGAGCGTGTGAGGTGTCAGTCCTGTCCGACTGAAAGGGAAGTATTATTGAGGTGGTCACGGTGAAAAATGATATTGGGTGGCAGCTCTAAGGATGTGCTTGTCTAGGATTGTGTAGATGACATTGTTCAGAGGTCTTGAAATACTATGGCGCGAGTCTGTATAGTACTCATAAGTTACAAGTCGGACAAGCAAAGAAAAAAAAGGTATAGTGAGAAAAGCGAGAATTGCCAGCGCGTTTCATTATGCGAGCTTGCTCTCCCTCAGTTTCGCTTGTTGCACCTGCGTCAGGTCATGGATGTGCCCTGCATGCTAGATGCCGCCTTGTCACTTTGACTTTTAAAAGCACTGGTCAGGGCTACTGATGACGTTCACGGGGTTTGGAGGAGTCGCTGTTGTTACTAGGGATCCGCACGGGTGAACCCCCGGGTGTCGGCAGGTCAACCCGCACCCGCACCCTGAGGTAAACCCACACCTGCAGCAAGGGTACGGGTTGCACAGTGGGTAGCGAAGTAAGGACCCGGGGTACAACCCATCAAGGGTGTACCCGCGGGTCATAGATCCGCCAGTGCTTAGCACATATGTCCAGCACACGTCAGCGAATGCTGACGTGACTCGAACATATGTGGATGGCACAAGGAGGAGTGGAGGCACAGCGCGAATGACGGATGCGTCGAAATAGACGCTGATGTCATGGCAGGTGGTGTGTCGCGTACGATTGAAGTCGAAGGTGAGCGTGTCGAAATGGGAGATGGTGGTGTGGTGGCACGAGAGTGTGACGTGTCGGGCGTCGCGTCCTCGTTGCAGAAAATGGGGGCAGAGTCAGGACGGCGACTTACTGACAAGATCCTTCCTTCCTCCTCTTTTCCTTCTCACTTCCTTCTCTTTCCCTTCTTTCCTCGTCCTCGTATCCTCTGTATGTGTCCGAGCCACGCCAGCATTCGCTGGCGTGCTCTGGGCACAGATGCTCGATGCTGGCGGTTGGTAGCATGAGGTGGGAGCTGCTGGTGGCGTCCTGGATGGAGGTGGAACTAGCCTAGTTTTGTGATGCATCAAGCTTGCTCATTGTGTGATGCATCAGGGATCTGACAATGATGCATCATCTGTCCGGTACATATTTTGGCTGTGCTGTCCATATTTGGCACTCGTCCGTCCATATTGAATATTGAGCGGGTTAACCGGTACCTTGCTTCCCTTCTCCTTGCTTCCCGCTTCTCTTCTCGTTCCAGGCCTTCTTGCTTACATAATTTAATTATTTGACAGCCTGCATCGGTAGGCCTCTTACCAATCCAGTCATGCTCCACCTTGACTCTGCCCGCCTCTTTCCTTGCCCAGCCCTCCATATCTGCACTTGCTAGCAGTGTGATATAAAGTATCCTTCAAATGTCTTCACAATCCCCGTCTTAACCTCAACCTCACAGGCTTTCAGCTCTCCGCAATCACCATCTCCACCAGCAGTGACAACCCATTGACCAGCCCTTGATACTGCCGCCGCATATACATGCTCCTCACGGACACCCTGCACTTCCTCAATCTCCTCGCCTGACTTCAGATCCCATCGCCGAGCAGCCTTATCCTCATATCATTTGCTGGCCGCATCTGGTAAATGGGACAGATTGAATCCATGACCCGCTGCCCATTTTCTTTTGTTCACAGTGACCCAGATATACTACCACATGTATTGAGTATATAACTAGTCAGAAACGTGTGTGTATGCGTCATCGCGCTGCATTGTTGTCAATGTCCAACTTCTTAATACATTTGAAAGCCACTGTGTCTCCCGCATTCCATACAAACCTTCATTATGGACAGTGAATCGAAGACAGTTCCCTCTGCGACCCGCAGCTGCAACAACATTGAACGGATGTTAAGGTTTGATGCCACACTGATGTTGTTCTTGCATTCTCGTGGATTGAATAAAATACTGTTTTGGACGCGGAAATGAGATACATATTACAGGATGGTCGGACCATAACCCGCATTCAAATTTTGAACATAAGTCTAATAATTCCCAACCGTGCGGCAGCCTAGTGTGACAAAGCCATGTTTGAACTTTGTGAGGTTCCGAAATCACAAGTGCTTAAGATCATGGCATTAATGTTAGAGCAATATTTGATGTATTAGTTTTGGTCCTACCAACTTGAGTCAAAAGTCGTTGGAGTTTTACTTACACATCTGTATACTACTAGTCACTGGTGCCACCTTCTCGATCTCTCAAAATTTCAACCATCACTCGTCACTCTGACTCACTCATAGCACATGGATGCACTAAACTGCATTCATAAGCCTAATCTACAACAACCAATATATACTACTGCGCCATAAATAATCTGTAAACTCGAGCCGCCGTTATGGTCTGACCACTGCAATAATTTGATTCAGATGCAACCATGGTCCATTTTTGTCTGTGAACAACATTGTTCCATTCAACACTTATCTTCAATCTACTACTTTCTCAACCCTCATAGGTATGTTTTTAATGCAATTCCATCTTTCATTCAAATGATTTTCACACAGCTATGTCTTCCAATAGTGGGACCAAGTTGTTTGGAGTCGAGGTGTTTGTTGAGTAGTCTAATAAGGTGCGTGGTCCATCCGCTACAGGTACTATCTTCATTAACTGCCAATGTTCACTCCCTTCGCCATTCTGGACAACACCCAACACCTGTAACCGCTCCGGTCCATTACTCAGACCCTGCAAGGCTCAGCGGCACTAGGTGAATACTGCATGACAGTATTATCTGATAACTGCTAATACTACCCAATCCTATCCCTGCACCTCAGCACATTCCCTCTCACACACTTGCTGTTCTTGCTGGCTGGCTCTCGCTCGCTCACTGTCTCTCACACACCCGCTATCTGCTCTCGCCCACTGTCTCTCGCCCACTGTCTGCCCTTGCCCGCTGTCTGCCCTTGCCCGCTGTCTCGCACTCGCCCGCTGTCTGCTCTCACTCGCTGTCACTCGCTCACTTCTCATAGATATACCTTTCTCGTCTGGCGTCCAACACGCAGGTTCACTCGTGCCACATATCCGCCTGTGTGGCTGTACACTGTAGAAGCACCTACAACCCAGAATCCAGATGGGCCTGTTATAGGTAATTTTTTGCATTTTTGTGTATGCTATCTGTATTTGTGACTTGATCAATACCTGGAATATATCACATCTAATTGTGACTAGAAATGTGTGAGTGAGTGCCCTAAATGTAATATGCCCGCTCCAAACCTGCTTGCAAATCTCCGTATTTGACTCATTTGGGATATGTCATCGGTCAAGTGGCTTAAAATGAGATCCATTTTGAACAAGGAAGGTACCAAATAGAAGCTCGGCAAAGTGGAAGGCACAATGCGAACTGAGATTTGACCAACTGAATATTAGATCTTCATATATAGGTTTCTTGGTTGTCGAGGACCAAAAAAGAAATATCATTGACTGAAAGTGCTACAGTCTACAGACCATAGCCCATTAAAGGTCTGCTAACTTGCACATTCTGATGCATCAATGATGCATCGGAAAGCTTGGTAATGTACATAGTTGATGCATTACCTATCACCTATAACTAGCAGAATTGATGCATCAGCCTTACAGGGACTTGTGGACGTGACTCGAACATATGTGGATGGCACAAGGAGGAGTGGAGGCACAGCGCGAATGACGGATGCGTCGAAATAGACGCTGATGTCGTGGCAGGTGGTGTGTCACGTACGATCGAAGTCGAAGGTGAGTGTGTCGAAATGGGAGATGGTGGTGTGGTGGCACGAGAGTGTGACGTGTCGGGCGTCGCGTCCTCATTGCAGAAAATGGGGGCAGAGTCAGGACGGCGACTTACTGACAAGATCCTTCCTTCCTCCTCTTTTCCTTCTCACTTCCTTCTCTTTCCCTTCTTTCCTCGTCCTCGTATCCTCTGTATGTGTCTGAGCCACGCCAGCATTCGCTGGCGTGCTCTGGGCGCAGATGCTCGATGCTGGTGGTTGGTAGCATGAGGTGGGAGCTGCTGGTGGCATCCTGGATGGAGGTGGTTGTTGCTGTGGGAAGGGAGCTGCTAGCGATGGTGGTGGTGGTGCCGGCGTCGAGGAACGTGTGAATGGTGGTGGTGGTTGCTGGCTGAGGGTGTCCGTTGACGTGCTTAGTGGCGTTAGAACGGGTGCCAGAAGAATTGGCATGGGGGGTGTAGCGAGTGCTGCCGAACGCGAGGATGCTGGTGGTGGCGTGTTAGCAGGTGAGTGCTTGGTGGTGGTGCCGGTTGTAGCGTGCATGCGGGAAGTATCGCGTTTATGGAAGGCACGGGTATAGCTGGGGTACGGGTAAGAGCGCGGGTCTTAGAATCCCGACCCGTACCCGTACCCCAGTAGTACCCGTACCCATGACCCGCGCAGGTTACCCGTACCCATGCAGATCCCTAGTTGTTACTGCTTTGTTTGTCTCCATTTGCGGTCTTTCCATGAAACAATAGTTAATTATATGTAATTTCAGATCTTACATGAATGGAAACCCTAATTAAAGTTCCAACAGGATGAATTCTGAACTTTGATCGTGTAAGCCTCATACGTGCTACACAGCTATATTTATATTAATAATATTGCCTGGCCAATGCACGCCAAGTAGTACTAGATGCTGACTTCAGGTTGGGTATTTGCAAGCCGGGTTCACACACTGCAATTATTATAAGGCTATACCAATGCTTCTCTGTGACTCAGTCACATTTATACCTTCCCCCATGGATCCTTCAGAGATAAGAGAGAAAATCGGTCACTTTCGAATCCTCATTGTAGGAAGAGCGAATGCAGGAAAAACTACAATTCTACAGAGAGTTTGCAACACACAGGCCAATCCAGAGATATACAGCAGCACTGGAGAAAAGGTGCGTCTCATGATGGTAGTACTAGGAGGATGGTAGTGACCCATCAATATCAGATCGATCTTGCAGTTTTAACCGCATCCAGAGAGGTGGGGTGTTCTCTTAGTCGATGATATGAGCTGACTTTTTCTCAGCATGGACTGCACAATATCGAAAATGAAATGGTGTTTGAAAGCAATCCAGGATTCATCTTCATGATTCACGTGGTTTTGAGGCAGGTGGCGAATCCGAATTTAACCAGGTAAAGGCATTCATCGTGGACCGTTCTAAGGAAACCCATAGTGATGTGCTGGCCCGGCTTTGGCCTGGCTTGAGGCGGCTTTGGCTTTTGAAAATCTCAGGCCAGGCCGCGAGCCAAAGCCAGGCCAAAGCCATGGCTTGGCTTTGGCCCAGCCACGGCTCATAGTGGAGGAAAGTTAGAATATACATTTAGGCATCATGCTCGTCATCACCATCTTCTGTTACAGTGACATGACGGACTCGTTTTGCTGTTTTCAAATGAGTAAAATGTATACATTGACGGAAGCAAAGGAACGCACATTTTGGATCTGTGCGGGCATTTTCATGCTCATCGTCATTGTTTTCAATGTCAGTATCAAAAATCTCTTCAACCTGTGCCCTTTTGTTGTTCTCAGGAGCAAGTGCAGACAGTGTAGTGTTGGGGGAATGAATTTGGTTTTCATCAGCAGCAACTAGTTGGCGTTCAGTGGCAAGTTTTGCAGCTTCAGCGGCACAGAAGTCATTGATTGCTTTCATTTGGGAAGGGAGGGCCGCCTTCTCTGAATGCTGGAGAAGTGCAGCTATAGGTTTTGTTTTGCGCACCAGGCGTGCAACAACATGAAGTTCATCTTTGTTGTCTGTGTGAATTGTACTGACCATCAGAGGCTAGTGGGTAGGGACAGAATGTGGTGAAAAATGTCAATTGGGGGTGCGTGACACTGTAATGAGCAAGTACTTAGTAAACTAGGATAGAAACATAAAAAATTAGCGGATCATAGGAATAAAGATTTGCAATATAGACAAGCACAAGCCGATGTCAAAGTGTCGCTCACTCATCCTGCTTTTGGTTGTGCCCGCACAGCTTCACTCTCCCCTTGTACCTATCTCAGATCCTTCGGCCTTCAACATGGTGAATCATTCGGACTCTAGCACAGGAAAACTTGCTCATATGCAACCACTTGATGGTTTGTGTGGCGAGGGAGTTGCGAAGCACAGCTGACTCAGAGGCTTGAAAGGCAAACAAGTTGCTGGTAACAAATGTGCCTATGACATGAAAGTAAGTTATGATGATGCACTTATATTGACGTTGCAACTCACCAGCACCATTTTCTGACATGGCTTGATATGATGATGACATAGTTGTCCGGAGAAACAAAAATAGATGTTAGCAAATCATCATTAACCGTGCTGACTAAGTACCAAAAGCCGCGGCCTGGGCCGCCGGCTTTGGCTTTTCAGTACCTCAGGCCAGGCCAAAGCCGTGGTCAGGCCATGATCTTTGGCCTGGCCCACAGCCTGAAGCCAGGCCATGCACATCACTAGAAACCCAAATGAAAAATCAACTCCATGCGATCTGGTAATTGTACTAATTCGTCAATTGCGACATGCGCTAACTCACGGTTTCAACATAGGTACTGTATTCCAATGGATGAGGCAAGTAGGTCATTCACTGAAGGTGAAAGAAAAATTTTCTCTCAGTGTGACACAGGAAGCAGTAAGCTTTCACATCCCACCCTCATCGATGTTCGACTGATGCGCAGAATCACAATTCTCAGTTCCAGTGATCGTGGTGTTCACAAAATTTGATGCCCTCTATGATGTCGCATATGCACAACTGAAAAAGGAAGGAAGATCTTGGAAAGACGCTCGAGAACTGGCCTCAAAACATGCTGAAGAAACATTTCCAGATGGACCACAATGGAAATTTTTCAAGGATGTCCGATGGCCACCAAAGTGTTATGTATGCCTTCCTAGTAAGTCAGTTTATGGTTGAGTTGTGATACATGATGACCATTGATACATTAGACATGGACGAGGATGATGCGGATTGCGGACCACTTATCGAAAGCACGGCTGGAACACTGGATAATGAAGTACTGAGGCAATTATTCGTCTTAACCCAGCAGACCAACTTGGAGATCTGCATGAAATATGCAGTTGAGAGGTAAGTACCCACAGTCTCAATTACCTGCGGGGGTTAGCGACTGATGTTGTCCAGAACACTACTAAAATACATTAACTCTGTAGAGGCAACAACATCCGAGGGTCAGTGGATGATAATAGGGATATTTGGCACCTGGATTCCACATATTCGGGTAAGACTATTTCAAAGTTTGAAGGTTGCTCTCGTTCACGTTCGGTGTTTACTTGCAGGTAGTACGTCTGTTAATCCTCCCTCCAAGCTCGAGCTATGCTGATCGAAGTCGTCGCCCACCATTTGCAGGCTGTGAGTGTGTCAATCCTCCTTCGAGCTCGAGCCATGCTGATCGAAGTCGTCGCACACCATTTGCAGGATGTGAGTGTGTAGATCCCCCTTCGAGCTCGAGTGATGCTGATCAAAGTCGTTGCCCACCATTCACAGTCTGTGAGTGTGTCGGTCCTCCTTCAAGCTCAAGCCATGCTGATCGAAGTCGTCGCCCACCGTTCGCAGGGTGTGAGTGTGTCGGTCCTCCTTCGAGCTCTAGCCACGCTGATCGAAGTCGTTGCCCACTGTTCGCAGGCTGTGAGTGTGTCGGTCCTCCTTCGAGCTCGAGCCATGCTGATCAAAGTCGTTGCCCACTGTTCGCAGTATGTGAGTGTGTTGGTCCTCCTTCAAGCTCGAGCCATGCTGATCGAAGTCATCGCCCACCGTTCGCAGGTTGTGAGTGTGTCGATCCTCCATCGAGTCTAAGCCTTCTTGAATCAAGTCATCGCCCGCTGATCCGTTGATAGGACGTGAGTTCATGTATTATTTGTTGCATTCAAGCATCCCTGACTAATTGTCTATTGGATTGGCAGGAGGTCAGTACATTCATCCTCTGCTGAACTTGAGCTGCTGACCAAAGATATCGTCGATCCGTTGACAGCTTGTGAGTGTGATCATCCTCTGTCGACCTCCTGCCTTCCTTATCCATACAATTGCTGATTTATTGTTAGGATGTGGGTGTATTGATTTTACCTCTCTCTCACTGACTGAACACAACGCCGCTCCTTTAACAGATTGTGAGTTGCTTGATCCACCATCAAACTTGAGCCGTTGTAAAGAGTAGATTCTATGTGGGCGCTACAAAAGTGTTACCTTAAGACTCAGAGTGCGAGTGAGATGTTCGTCCCAAAGAGACTGCCTATAGAAATGCTCCTTGATATAAAGCAAGGGATATCTTGTTAAGATCGAAGTGAGAGAAGGAAAGTTACCAAGAGTGCACTCGGTGTTCCGAGGATGTGTCCGAAGTACTGAAGTACTCGTCCGAAGTGGTCCGAAGGTGGTCCGAAGGTGGTCCGACGTCAAGAAACAAAGGTCCGGAATTGCACGAAGCGTCCGAAGAGCTTCCGATGAACAGCAATGGTTCCGAGGCAGAAGTACGGCATGTATGTCGAAGTGTAAGACTTGCAAGGTAAAACCAAGCAAAGCCCGTCGGGAAAACTAAGAGATAGCGAGATGCGAAATGGCAGCAGTCAGGCCAAACAATTGTTCTGAATGAACAAGAAAGATCAATTGCGCGAAGTACGACTATCCGAAAGTGACTCTACTGACTATGACTCATAGCAGGGAAAGTGAAGTGGAGTGCAAGTAGCTAGCGAGGCAGATTATATCCTACAGCGTGAAAGTCCGGAAACTGCATAGGCGAAACCAGTAGCGAGATAAGACATCCGAAATGTAATAAGACTCAAGGCGAGCCGCTACAGAGATATGCATGTAATAAGGCGCAAGATGTGCTTGTTATGCATATAACCAACAGGCCGACAACATATGTGCCCCTAAACATAATCAATAACAGATAACCAAGTGGAAAACTCACCAGCGAAGTCAAACAGACACGGACGGGACATGGTACGGAGGATCAGAACTGTATACAGGCCTCAGAAATGGACGGACGACCTTCGGACGACTCGGACGAGCGCACAGAACTCTCGGAAGGTAAATGGAGTGTCGAGGAATATGTGTGTGGGATACTTATGGAATTGGCAGGATACGAGCCCAACGCCAATCCGAGTGCTACACCGTACTAACCGAAGACATCGTCCATCACAGGACGTAAGCGCATCAATCCGCAGTCGAATTGGAGCATCGCTGACCAATAAAATCGCTGATCCCTGTTGACAGTTTGTGAGTCTGTTCATCTGCCATTGAGCTCGAACCTTGTTGACTGATGACATTGCTGATCCGTTGACAGTTCGTGGGTCTCTATCCTCATTGTCATTCGAGCTCTAGCTTTGCTCACCAATGACATTGCTCATCCATTTCCAGGGCGTCAGTGTGCTGATCCTCTATCAAATTCTATATTTACTTACCATTAAAATCGCGCATCCTTCAATAGAGAGTGAGTCCATAGCCTTGCTAGCGAACGAGATCACTGATCCATCGATAGGAAAATTTCCGCGATGATCACCATGTAGAGATACAATCTAGGTTGCTCTCTGTGGTATATCTCATTGGTTATAGATTGTACACACATTCTCATGTTGCGAATCTGCTAGGCCTCTGGCTTATCACCCTTGGAGAAAATTGTTCAGCTCAGTTGTGGTGAATTTTGAGGCTATGTTGCGATGAACCTGCTTATTATTGACCATTTAGCTGTTGTCATTATATTTGAACACTCTTTCTATATTTTTGACAAGTGGTGCTATCTTCATCACCAGCAAGAGTCTGTTCCCTCTTTTTATGGCGCTCTCAAGCAGTACCTGGCATCTGTGCATGCAGATGCTGTCAGGGAAGCTGCGATTCCTGCTTGGATGGCGAAGTTACCGTTTAAACCCTTGAAAAGAAAGGCAAAAGAAGCTTTTGAACGCTCTCAGGCAAAGGAGAGAGAAGCTTTCAAATACTCTCAGGTAAAGAAGAGAGAATCTTTGTGCTCTCAAGCGAAGGCAGAGTTAATCAAGATTATTCTTGAAATCACTTTAAATCATCGCCTGCATATGTTTCACCGTCATGTTGTGGCAGCACTGCCGCTGATCCACCTGTCTTCAGCTAGACCTTAATGTCGGACAATGCAACACACCATCATGATCAATGATACTCCGGTTTGGAGAGGAGCGGAGGTGTCTGGGCTATGGAGGTTACTTGAAATGTTTGTTGAAGTAGATTCAGGATGTGGAACTGTATGAAATAGTTATATATGGCGTGTATGTGTTTAGAGAATGTTGGGCACCCTCAGTCGAGAGAGCTAACCGCCCTTGATGTGCCTCTCAAGTATCCGTGGTACGAGTACGTTGTGTTCCACAGCTTGTCCAACTTGTGACATTTTTTTCCTCAAAAGATATCCCATCTATTGTTTTAACCTTACACTCTGCGTAGACACGTGGAATCAAATGTTTCTGATAAGATCGGTAACTCCAGCTGGTGATGAATGAGATCTTTGAAAAGATCTGGCTGTGAGTGGAAGATAGCCTTCGAACTCGATGGATTTGAGCACCTTGGAAATGTCATTATTTGAGGGACAACATGCAATGTGCAGATTTATGAAGCTTTATAAGGTGGATGGATCGTTCCCTCATCATCATTCAGCGTTGGCCACTCGGCCCTGAGTCATTGTGCATGCCAGTCAAAACCCAACCTCTTATGATAGGATATCGATCGCATGGATCAGAACCTGGGGTCTAGATGCATCTTCCCGAGGGACTGATGAACAACGCCATCGTGGAACAATGGAGAAACTGACTTACAAGATGTCAGCATTGGATAATTCTGCAGCGTTGGGTGTCACCTATGCCATGGCTCCAATCGGCTCTTATTGTATCATGTGTGTCTTATAAATACGCGAGCGCGTCGAAATCGGTACAAACTAGAGATCGTAGCATGGAGAATAACAGGCGCTGGAAATCGCTCTAGGGGCGGTAGGAGTCAGAGGTCCAATGCAAGATATCCAGGATCATGCAGTTCCGCTTCTTGGAGAGTTCTTTGATGGCCTTGTCGCTCAACTCATCGAAAAAGGTTTCAAGTTGGTCCATGCTCGCTGTGAAGTATGGGAATACGTGTCCGAATCATAATATGCCAGCGCACCATGTACACCACCTACATACGAAGGAAAGATTCATATGACGAAACATATCTAACATAGGGTCACTGACCCCAAGGACTGCAAAAAAAGTTTACGCAGTCTTGAGATGTTGCACACCCCGAAGCTCTCTACTAAATGCGTAGCACCAGCGCACGATGCAGAGGACTGTCAACAGGCACAACAACGCGACAAGAGCGATGCAACCTTGCAATAGGTAATGCATGTCTAGCGCTAGCGCATTCGTTGTCGCAGTCAGGTTTTCCACGAGCAGTGCCAAAGTTGCGCCAACATCCGAGGAGAGTGTGTCGGTTTTCTGCGTGAGGCGCTCGACAACGATGGTCAGGTCTTCTACGAAGAGCGTAAAAGACGCGAGGGTTGTGGTCATGTCTGAGGAGAGGGTGTCTGTCGTCTGCGCGAGGCGCTCGACAGTAGTGATTAGAGAGTTTACGAGGTGCTTCCCGCCCAAGCTGTCTATCACTTGTTGGGCGATTTCAGCATTGAAGACATCGATGATTGCCATTGATTGAGGACGTTTGTGAACTGGTGGAGGCTAGGATATCAGCATGAATTGTAAGTGAAAACTGTATCACTTGCTCAGTGTAGGGGCCAATTGTGGGTTGATGAATCCAAGTAATTCGAACGCGGCTGGTGGGAGTCAGGGACGTCATTTCTACAGGTCGAAGCCATGCACTTACACTCATGGCCTTTGCACCGCCTCAGCCTTGACTTGAGTGTGCACTTGAATCCATATGCTTTTTGCCTGACTGGGATCAACGGCACGCATGCCTACACGTGTACCAGTAGCATTATAACCCTACGGCACTTGATTTTTTGAGATGCGCTCACTAATACCCTCGGCGTAACAAACCTGAGAAAAGTTTAAATCTTGATAGTCACATCGTCACATGAGGAATAGCCTCGGACCCCATCCTGTACATGCAGAACGCTGGCTTCCATGTACACGAGACACTGATATTAATACTAACACGCACATGACAGGGGAGATTGCGACTGATCAGGTGCTCAGCGTGTTGGACACATTATTATGATATATATACCGAGTCCTTCCCATCATGATAGCACACTAGTCCCACAATGCAGCCCACTAAACAAACACTCCCAATCGGCGGTCTCCTCGTCGACGTTTACTCCCACCCAACTTCAACCTCTAGCCCTACAAACCCCATCCACGCACTCTTCTTCCTGCATGGCCGCTTCGACAGCGCACAAGATCAATATATAATTGATACCATTAAAGTCATTTTTGATGAGAGTTATGGATCGGGTGCGGGAGAGAGGAAGAAAGATCTTATCGTCATTGCTTTTGTGAGTCACTTTTTGCCTCGTCTTCTTAGGAAAGAAAAGGTTGATGGTGGGTCGGGGAAAAGGATCACAGGAACCACGGGACGAGACTCGTGAACCAGCAGCGGAATTTCGCATGGAGCAAAGAACCGGCTGAGAATAATGATCAGCATGCGTACGTTGCTGTCCATTCATACCATGTCATAAAGTTGACAACGTCCCCTCATTTGAATACAGGGTGGACATGTATACCATCCAAAGTATGTTCAGGTCACAACCGGTACTAAACGTGAGTCGTGAATCTGACCCCACTCGAAGCTGGTACAGCACAAGACGTGTCCTTCTTAATCGACCACCTTCCTTCCTCCCTCTATCCCTCGGGTGAGCGAACGATTGTGGAATGGGGTATGGGCGGTGTGAGTCTTGGAGGACATTCGACGTGGATTGCGCTTTCTAGAGGTACGTATCCAGCTCATCTAGCAAATTCATCCACACTCACAATCCCTTAGAACCCCGCCTCACCCTCGGAATCCCCATAATCGGCTGCCCCGACTACATGAAACTGATCTCTCGACGCGCCCAATCCTCAAACATCCCCCTCTCCTCACCTTACTTCCCCACTTCCTTTATGACATACGTAGAAAGGCACGACCCTGCACAACTAGCGTACCGCGCAAAAGACGCTTCCAACCCGTTTTTAGGGAAGAAGGTGTTGGTGCTTTCGGGGAAGGAGGATAAACTTGTGCCGTGGGTGGCGTCGGCTGAGTTTGTTGAGGGTCTTGAAGTTGGAGAGGGGGGTGTTAAGAAGGTTGTGGTGGAGGAGGGGGCAGGGCATGAGTGTACGAGTGGGATGCGTAGGGAGGCTGGGTTATTTGTGAGGGAGTGGTTGAGGTTGTGAGCTGATGTTGTTTCATTTTTGGGACGAGTTTTATTGAAGGATGTATGATGATTCAGAATATGTTTGTAATTATAGTATGATCTTGAAGCAAGCTATAACCTTGAATGGTCACTCTTATCACTTCCCATGCATGATGCCATACTGCATGATGTCCATGTCGAAAGCGCGACTGCCGACGAGTTCAGAAGAGCCTCTAGAAACTTTGCCGACAACGATGAGGGTAGGAAGCGCTCTTCCACTATCTCTGGAGTTGTATTAGCGAAGGAACCACAGCGACATACATCGACACAATAGAGTTCTAGAGACGTGTCTTTATCTGCAGTGTTGGTAATTGCGCGAGCGTTGATGAAATAAATACCGTCTTCGGGTGGCAGAGAGAGGCACAAAGCCATCCATCTTCCAGAACCGTTTTCTCGCCTTCAAAGTATAAGGAGTAGAATTTGGATGAGCACGCAAAGGCCATGATGACGGTAGACGAAAAGCAGAAAACTTAGGAGAGAAAGAGGCGGCTGAGATCGAAAAGGAGACACAAAGATCGGGAGCACAGGGGTAATTAGAGTACAGGTGGCGCTCAGGTGGAAATTTCCGCGGGATCGAATGATATGTTAGATGTTTCAAGTATGTGTCCCCACTAATCATCCTAAGATCCACGCGTGTTCTGTATACAAATCCGCTGCCGCCTCTCTTAGTCTGGTGATCACAGCGTGCTCTGTAGTTGCGGTAGCTGCAAGTCCTAGAAGTCGGGCGTTAGACCAGCTGATCGAGACTCCATGTGTCATTAAATGATGATCATATCGATCTAATAACACATGGCGTCTCGAGCTGATGCTGCCACTCTCGAAGACAACCATAAACGCGAGAAAATAGAACCACTCACCTTTCCCCACAACCTGGGTCGCGACAGTCCTTTCTCCTCTTGTCCAGTATGTGTTTTGTTGTCAATGTATCAAGCTTTGTTCAACCGGGGTGGACTTACTCGCGCTGATGACCTCAGCTTTGAGCCTCTTGGCGCTGAGGAAGCAGACTGAATGTAACGATGCCACGACGGACCCGGCGGGCACTGAGGAGCGAACGGAATGGAAGCTAGCAACGCCTGCAGAACAGGGCCAACGTTCCACGCCCGAGCCACCACTAGGTCCCGACCTGGATAAGAGCGACCACCGATACTCTGAAAAGGACATGATGTCAGCAGCGGGCTAGAAGATCAAAGTGGAACGTACCCTCTTATCTCGCCCTCGAACTTACGAGCCGCGAGAGATGATGTGAACCGGGGTGCCTAGACCATGGTGCGGGCCAGTACAACCGACCGAGGAGATGCTGAGGAGGTACAGGGCGGAGAGAAGTCAAGCACCCGAGAGCCCCGGCGAATGTGGCCACCAAACGCACTCAAAGAGGGTCGGATGGACCCAGGTCCTGTCCACTGTACCGTCCACGCCGCGAGCGACGCCCAGGAAGGGCAGCAGCTATGTTATATCGTTCCATTATGATGTCTTTTCGCGTCCTTGAATATTGGAGGTTTGCCTTCAACACCTGAGCGGTTGATGTCGGTTAGTAAGGCAGATAAGAATGTGGCGAGAATAAGGCATACATTTTGTGTCCTGTGGAAGCTCGCCTTCAGACCTAAGCGCAATTGAGAGAAAGCCAGTGGTCTGGCATATACGGAGCACTATGAGCAAGAAACGTACCATGTGGCGTCAAACTGGCAAGACCAATGCTGGTGGCGAAAATAACAAGGATACCATCAAGATTGCATTGGGATGCTTCCAAGTCGCACGCCACATATCTTGCTGGAACGTCCGGAATGAGGCAGGAAGACAAGGAGCTGTGAAGATGAGAGAGAAGAAGAACCGGATGAGAGAGTGAAACGGGACTGAAGATGTTTATATAATACAGCACGGCGGCTGACATTATTTGGTTGTCGACATTCGACGCGTCTAGGACGCGCCGGTCACGTGATGTAAAGTAACAGCGTCAAACACGCATGAGCGTCTGGGATTCCAGAAATACATTCGGCCACCTGTGGTTCCTCGTGCTAGTGACATCATTATACAATGTAAGGGGGCAGTTCTGTGACGTCCCAGAACTTCTTTACACCTGCTGTTCATTGGTATTGTTTGAGTTAGTCGCTTCCGATCTAGTAGAGTACGATTCGTCGAGGTACTCTTCCATAACCCTCCTTTTGCATGCTTCTTAGGTTTTGCGCCCGTGCATTGCTCACCGAAGAATTCGGCAAAATTTGATGCGATGATTCAGTGACAATGCACAAACGAGGTAAAGGGCTTAGGGTTCGTTGCGAAGAACTGGGAAATGAGGTAGTGAGTGCAGAAGTACTGCGTCGATACCCGCACCTGATGATCGCTGTGAGCCTTTCACAAACCTGAAAATGACATAATAGATGTCTTAACAAATAACTTATTGTGACAAACGGTTTTGGATGTTAAGGCTGAAGCTGAAGCAGACCAAGTCGTTGCTGTGGCTGTCGGTCACCTGCACAGCATGGCAGTTCAGGGCAGGTTACACCGGCACAGCGACGGCCGTAGTATGGAATGGTGTACAGTCTAGCCATACAGATGTACAGGCTCAACATAATCGATCTCCACAGACTGAAGCCAAGCTGTGCTTCCACGACACTGTTCAAGGGGTTCGGGGCCGTCAAGAATCGACACTTGTCGGGAACGACATAGCCCCACAGCATTGATGGGATCACCGGCCGCACAAAATCCAGACGCATATACGGGGGAGCTTCAGTTACTTGTTTGGTTCAACTGATGGCCCCAACACTAGTACTTGCACTCGCCCTCGCATCGCTTGTATCTTTCGTGGTAGTGCAATCCTTGCAAAAGAAGAGAGACACCAAGAAGCATCCTTTACCCCCTGGTCCTCCACCTCTCCCTTTTGTTGGAAATGTGATCGGAATCGACCCAGATCATCCATGGTTAGCATACTCGAGATGGGGAACTGAATATGGTGCGTAGAACCTCCGACACGTGGATCTGGATGTACTGAATTGCGACACAGGGGAAATCGTTTACTCCCGACTCTTAAGTCAGGATATCGTGATCATCAACTCCGAAAGAGTTGCGCATGACCTGCTCGACCGTCGTTCACAGAACTATTCCACGAGACCCCCAGGGCTTGTGCACCTTCTTGGCTTGTGAGGTCCTTCTATCCTTTGATGTTCCTATTGTTAAACGAGTCCCAGTTTTGCTCATGACTACTCCTCTGTCTTTCTACCCTACTCAGACAAGTGGAGACTTCGTTAGTATATTGTCCCTTCGAGTTTTGTTATCGCACTTATCATGTCTTTACAGACAGGAGAATCTTCCATGAAGCATTCCATTTAGAAGCATTGTCATCCTTTCGTCCGATTCAAATGCGCAATGCTCACAGTTTGATACTAAACCTACTAGCCTCTCCGGAGGTGTATGGAACCCATTTACACACGTTAGCAATCTCTGTCTTCATGTATTGCGTGGCTGAACCATACTTTCTACGCAGCTTCAGCACGTCTATCATCATGTCAATCATGTATGATTATGCTATAGCGCCCGTTGATGATCCCTTTCTTGCGCTCGTTGAACGCTCACTTGAGATAGATGTAAAAGCACTCAGGCCCGAGGTCGCAGCTGTTGTAGCAGAGTTTCCCATATGTGCGTATGACTTCGATCAGCCGTAGTTCTATTCTAATGCACTGACAGTGAAAAAAGTTCCTCCTTGGTTCCCTGGAGCGAGCTTCGTAAGAGATGCTATAGTCCAGAGAACCCTCGTTCCCATGATTATGGACATGCCATTTGAACATGTGAAGAACAACATGGCAAGTTTCCAGTGCCTTTTGTATCATTTAGATTAGGCTCATGATGATCGATTCTCAGGCTGCGGGGACGGCTGCACCATCCGTAGTGTCGGATGCATTGAAACGTATACCAGTCAAAACACAAGATGAAGGGGAGGCCGCTGTTCTTGAGCAAGGAATCAAGGAATCCAGTGCATCTGGTTATGCTGGTTCGTGACAATTCTGCAATGGTTATTATGTTTTTGACGTATCTCTACTCATTTTCTCCGCACTCCCAGCCGCCTCAGAAACTGTATACTTTGACGCGATTTCTATTCTAGCCATATACTGACCAAAGGCCCAGACGACGTCCACTTTATACGTCTTCCTGCTCGCGATGGTTCTATATCCCGAGGTGCAAACACGCGCGCAAGCAGAGATTGATTCCGTCATTGGGGAAACTCTCGAAAGATTGCCCGACTGGGATGATCGCGCTTCTATGCCCTACATCAATGCCATCATACTGGAGACGCTGAGGTGGTTCCCTGTCGTCCCTCTGGGTCAGTACTCTTGACTCATGGAACTCCGGTTAGCACGGTCACTGACTGTGGATTTAGGCATTGCACATGCCACAGTAAATGACGACATCTACGAAGGTTACTATATCCCAAAAGGTCAGTCTATGGACTGAAAACCCTATCCCTCTTCTAAAACTGTTTCTTAAGGGGCTACCGTAATAGCTAACGCACGGTGATTCATCATACCAAGTGAACAAAGATCATACATAACCATTTCTTCTTATACAAGGTTTATGGCGCGCGATCCAGATAAATTTCCTAACCCAACGAGGTTCATACCCGAGCGTTACATGTCAAAAGTCGCAGTCGAAGAGCCGTCAACACAAGGCCCTGATGACGTTTCCTTTGCTTTTGGATTTGGAAGGCGCATTTGGTACGAAGTTTAGAGTTTTGCGAATAGACGGGTTTGGCTCACCTTTCAGCAGTGTTGGACGACACGTTGCCGATGCTTCTTTATTCGCCGCAGTTGTGGACATTCTAACTGTTTTCCGGTTGGAACGTGCGCCAGGATGGAATGTCGGGCCTGATGCTGAAGGAGTGAAATGGACGGGAGGCTTAACGACGTGAGTCATCCTTGAGGATCCCTATATTTTATCTGAGGCAGCCGATGCAGGCACCCTGTATTCCCGTGCATATTCACCCCTCGCCACACGAAGGAAAGGGTATCGCAGTTGCTAAAAATGCAATGTTGAGAGCTGTGCGGGGGGTGAAATCATGTATTACCTTGTTTTTTAGTGTCGCTGGCTTATGTTATCCGTCAGTATACTCAAGTTTGACGCCATCATGCATCATGCATCAGGCATCAAGCTTTATTATCTGTGCCCACCCTCGCCCGCCGTCATTTCCCCGACGATTGGGTACTTTGTTAATTGTACCAGCAGCTTTGAATTATCTCTCGCGGGACTGATAGTTGGGCTTTCGTGTAGATAGTAATACATCCTCTCGTGAATTACGCGATCACATGACCTGCACACGCAAGTCTAATTAAGCGGAGTTCGAATACCCGTACTATCACTGAGTACTGGACGCTTACAGTTCTCTACGTGAATCAATCATCTGCCCTATCTGATACCTCGCATGCAGCAAAAAAAATGAAGATACAAGGCCATTTCAGACGTTTATGCTGATAGTATCATATCCCAGGCAGTTATTGACACGGTACGTGTCTCAGTTAAAGACAACATCTAAACTATTGTTTCCGTGGAATAGTATGTACACGCATCAGCGCGGTGTATGTGCTACGAAGGAAACTGTGGAGACTCGAGAGAGACCTTTCTGGATCAAATTCAATATGTAGAAGAAGCTGGGCAGGCAAGGTAAGATAAACGTTCTACTTTGCAGAGTCAGGGAATACTAATCAATACCTTATCATGTCCGATATTCACTCAGGCTGGAAATGCCTTGGTGGCGCAATATTCCGGAAATAATCCTTCATTGCGAAAGTGCATTTATGTCGAAAAACAAGAGGGTCCTAGAGATGGAGGACGCTCAACGGGCCCGAGTCAGCATCACATACTTTATTGTATCCAGAAAGCTGCTTCTTTCAATCACAAAGCTGAGCGGAACGAGTTCATCAGCGCATAGTGGCAAACCGTTGTCTGTATGTCGTTCTTCCTTGTTGTTTATTGTGCATTACTATAATAACAACTACGACAATAGGCCATCCTACCCTCTGGAAAAACGGTGTCCGTGACAGCAACGCTAACTTTAGCAATCTAATAGTATACTGGACCTCGTGCGGTCGAGTGACTGACGTCTTCAGCAACTTCGACTTACCATCGACTCGAGATATTCCTCAATACCAGGAGTGTGCAAGGACAATACCTTTCATGGCGCTTGACCTTCTCAGTGGTATTACGGAGACGGTCATAGAAGGCAAGGTCAAGTACCTGTGTTAGCACGACGTCGAGTCATTCATATTTGTCCTCACCTGGGTCTCCTCGTTACAAAGATGGCAAGCTCCTGAGAAAGGGAAGGTCGTTCGATAGATGGCCAGAAGTGGATGCCGTTTCAATGCCACGACAAGAGAACTGGCTTCTCAACACCACATCATCATAACATGAGACCCTCGCAATCTCAAGAAATCGGGAACTTGCGCTCTCGTGTCTTCGTTCTCTCGCCTTATTTAATGCGGATGACCCTGAACGCACGGTGGATGACCAGGTCGTAACTCGGACGTGACTCAGGGAACACATACTTGAGGTAACTTTACAGCGTGTGCTAGTCACAGAGTTTGCATGCAGTCTACCCAAATTTCTTATTTTCGGGATGATATAATCCAACTCGAAGCTGAGGTTTCTTAGGACGATTTTACGAAATTCTTCTGCCGATGATCACATTATTTGATAGGGTCGCTCTCACCTGGGAGCTTACGGTTTATGCTTATCCGCGCTTATGCTTATGCCCCAATACTATTCCAGTGTCGGTGGATTATTGATTCTCGTGTCATAAGAAAGAAGGGATCGCTTCCCCCTCCTATTTCCGATGCCCACTGGTCTCTGGATATGATATGGACCTTGCTGTCAGACGTCGAGAAATACGAGAATAGGCTTGTTTTATTCAGGAAGTGGGACAAAGAGGTGAGTGACCATAATACCTCAGGTGATAAATGAGTTCTTCGAGTGTTATCTTCCTGCTGACGGTCCAAATTCAACGAATACATGATCAAGATCTGCTATAGTCATCGAACACCGATCATTTCCTGCCCAACCAGTAAGGGCCAAGGAGCAAGAGTCGATCGGGTACAAGGTGTTATACACTTGCCTGGCGGACGGCGCACAATATGACTAAAGAGCGGTAATACAACCCTGGATTTCTCTCCGTGGGTGATGATCTATCCACCCAATAACGCAATTTGCGATGGACAGATATTATGACGATGTAGCAAAATCTGGAACACGAAGATGGGCGAGTCCGCGGTGCATGCTGCTTGCTCAATCTTACACCTTTTTCATATCTTGTGTATGTATGTATGTATGTCTTCTCCTTCCATGATCGTATTCTTCTGTGATCATAGGATATCTCCAGAACATCCGACGCCTATGCAAAAGTTTGATGTGATTTGAGCAAGAAGTCATATGCATATAAGCGATGGAAGGCGCATTACCGAGTTGCAAAATTGCCACCGATTACCCCACTTCCCCGCGGTTATAAGGATGGTCGTTATATACAGTTTACTAACCCACTGCTCGAATCATGGCCCTTGCACTTGATCGTCATCTTGCCATCCTCGCTGGCATTTCTCTTTCCTTTGTCGCCGTCAAGGCACTCAAGTTGTTCATCAAAAAGCGACAGAATAATGCTCCTCTTCCTCCTGGCCCAGTGCCCCTCCCACTGTTGGGGAGCGTCTTATCTATCGACGCTTGTCAGCCTTGGCTGACTTACACCAAGTGGAGTGCTATGTATGGTACGTGAACAGATAGCATAGGGCATGCGTGGTGTGAATCATTATGTCAGGGGACTTGGTCTTCGTGCGAAGTCTAGACGAGGAAATGGTCGTGATCAATTCTCAGCACATCGCAGAAGCCTTACTGGACAAGCGTTCTCGGATTTACTCCGATCGACCATATCTAGCAACACTCGTACCGTGCGTTCGTTCAGTATTCCGTTATTCAATCAGTCTAAGGTTTTCGCAGATATGGCTTGTCGATCAACTTTGGATTCATGGCTTATGGCGATGAATGGCGTCTCTGCAGGCGACTTTTCCACCAAACTTTTCGCCCCGAGTCTGCAGCAAAATTTCGCCCAATGCAAATCAAGCGGGCTCGTGAGATTATCGTCAACCTAGTTGATGACCCTGAAAATTATTACGACCACTTCGCAACGTTAGCGAATGATTTTTACGAATTGAACCATTATTTACCTGTTCACAGATTCTCGTTATCTGTTGTGATGTCAACAGTATACGACTACAATATCAGTGCTCGTGATGATCCTATGGTGCAGACCGTGATAAAGGCACTGGTTCCAAGCTTGACCGTGTTGTCCCCAGAGAGAGCATTAATGCTCAAAACCTTCCCCTTCTGTGAGCTCAACTCTCCTGGATGAGATAGCGTTAATTTGACACGCACTTTTGTGAAATGTAGTACTAAAGGTTCCTGACTGGTGCTGGGGATCCTCGATCAAGCGTAGTGCTCGAGGTTCGACGGAGCTCATCAATGAAATGGCCGACATGCCGTTTCGATATGTGCAGCAACACATGGTGGGTGTTTATCTTTCTCTTGGTTTTAGACGTTGACTCGGCTCTTTGCAAGGCCGACGGGTCGTCGCCCGCTCAATCTTCGATGGTTGCAGAAAATTTGCAACGGATGGAGAGGCAAGAGGAGGCATTCAAACCTGCATTCGAGAATGCGTTGAAGAAAGCAGCTACTACTGCTATTATAGGTGAGTCAGCCTTTTAACGAGCAACGTTGTACTCTCGACATACACTAATATCGCACAGCTTCATATGAGACGGTAAATGGACAACTCCATCGTGTTTTCCGCTGCTTATCCTCGTCACAGAGTGCAGCAACTTTGATGATTTTTTCCCTGGCCATGGTATTATATCCTGAAGTTCAGAAACGCGCACAAGCGGAAATCGACTCGGTGGTTGGAAAAGAACGGTTGCCAACGTTCGAGGACAGAGCATCGCTACCCTACATCGAAGCAGTCCTGCGAGAGACTTGGCGATGGCAGCCTGTTACGCCTCTTGGTATTTTTCCCCGCCAAATGATCTGACTTGTGCTGAAGATGACCTCATAGGCGTACCACATGCTACCTCGAGTGATGATGTATACAATGGGTATTTCATTCCAAAAGGTCTGCTGTTTTTGTCCCGGAATCAACGCAATAATTATTTATAGTATCATGCATCAGGCACAATCATCACATACAACACATGGTCTGATATGTTCCTCCCAGCTTTTGTGGTACTGACTTGATTGTAGGGGTATTGCACGGGATGAAAAACGGTACCCCGACGCATCTAATTTTATACCAGAGAGGTTCATTGATAGCGATGGCGCGTTGACAAGTGATGACCCTGCACAATACATCTTCGGCCTTGGCCGGCGTGCATGTCCAGGTTCGTTAACTTGTCCGAATCCCATAAAAGATCCACCGACAGATAAACTGTGATCAGGGCGGTATAACGCCGATTCCTCCGCGTGGGCTGCCATTGCGACCATGTTGGCCACGTTGGATATTTCTCCTGCCAAAGATGACCAGGGCAAAGAGATCAGCTTTACTCCCGAATTCATCCCAGGATTGGTCCGGTACTTGACTTTCTTCGTGTTATTCTATCCCCTTGTTACTAACAGTTTTGTTGCTTCAGGTTTCCTGCGACCTTCCCTTGCAGTATTTCGGCACGGTCTCATATTCATTCAGACACTGTGGACAGTTGGCGAACTGAAAAGAAGGGATGACAGTTTGCCATCCGTGGTGAGGTGACGTAGCAATCGATCAAGTACTTCTTGCCAGTGTATAATAGGTCAGCAAACACGATGAACGTGTCGGTTATTCGAGGGTTATAACGTTAGGGTGACGGGGTGCTTGCCATTTGAAGGTGAGATCATCGGGGCTTGGTGGGCAGCCTGGGTGGCTGGGACATGTCACACGGTAGCCGAGGATCTGAGGGGTCTTGTTCTCGTCAAATTCGTAAAGTCTATGTACCCTCAAATTGCAAATAGCTTGAACAAGATGCATGCGGCTCTGAGACACCCCAAAAATGTTATGCGCAGTACTTTTCTGCGTCTTCCTCTGCCTCGTTGGAGTGGTTCATGCTGCACCTATAACAGATACAACAAATACTACTGCCAGCGACAGTTTCTTGGAAGCCCCATCATTCACGACCACACTGTGGGAAGTACATCAGCAAAACCCTGAGTGGCTGTACGGCACCGCACAGTGCCGCACAGTGCCGTACAGCCACTCAGGGTTCACAGGGAAGTCCCCCCATGCACAGCTGAGCCACAATACGACATAGTGTGCTTCGGATTTGTCATGCTGTGCGTTGGTTACCCAATATGGTACAGGGCGGGTAGCGCTAGGTAGCGCTGCACAGTGGATCCACATTATGTTGGTGGTTCTCACTGTACAGTGCTATATAGCGATGTATGTGATCAAATATTCTACCTTTCATGATGTCTTAGTGTAGAATACTGCTGACAATGATCAGACTCAGACTGTACTAGTAGCGTGAAACATAGTAATTATATTGCTGCAAGAAACAGTAGTACTACTGCGAAGTAAAGTGATAGTACTATGCAGGGCTAAAGATAGTAACACTAATTAAGATCAACCTCCCATTCAGAACCACCATCTTCATCTTCACCACTCATAGCGACCTCATTCCTATCTTGATGGTCAACAATGGTACTAGGAATATAAATTAGACAGAGACTCACATGCCGGTCTGTGCCCAAGACTGAAGCATCTTGTGCAGCTTCGGACCATGATACTCGTCATCTTTAACATGTTTAAACAAGCCAGCGATCTTTTTGTAGATGACCTCTGAATCCACGATGTTCGTTTGCTTGGTGTTTGCTTGGCCATGCCTGGCATAAATGTCGAGAATGTTTCGAACCTTGAATAAAGAAAAAAATCAGTGAATGTACTAGTAGTAATATGTAAATATTCACAATTGTTGCAACCAGGATGACAGCGTTGTCCGGAATAGTCTTTCGGAAGGCAGGGAATTGACGCAAAGATTTTGAGCCGCTATCATAAAACACTCGAAGGCAGACAGACCGGAGCGCGTTATGCGCGAAGTTAGACGAATGACCCTGCCATTTTGTTAGTGTAGAATACTGTCGATGATGATGAAGAGCGTACATGAGTATCGACTACCCCACATAAAAACAACAAGTGGCGAATGAGACCGGATGCCTTGATTTTGACGGCTGCAATGGTACCTCCTTGTGAGACAAGCTCATACTCCAACGGAACCACGGCGAGAGCAACTTGTTTTATTTTGCTTCGAAAGGTCGCAGCATCGTTAAAAATCTGTGTCAGCATACTAATATAAGATGTAGTAAAGCATTCAAGTTAGCAGTACATACCACAATAGCCATCTCTGCTTTGAATTTCGGGTAGTAGCCTCGATACATATGTCAGTGGGCTACAAGTAGTTGATATAGCGAGATAGACAGACCTTTCTCAAGTTGACACTTCTGTTCTTGCCAATAAATGATAGCTTCCGCAATCATTTCCCCACATACTCCGCCTTCGTCAATAGCTGATTCACGTTGGGGGAAAGGGGCCACAATGGCGAGGTGCTGTCTAAAATTGGCCTTCGCAAAGTCAAGTAGTTTGATCCAAAGAGGAGGGAAGAATCCAAGTGTGGTTGGGTTGGCGGTGCCCTTCGCGTTCTTATTCTTCTTGGTAGCACAGCTCTGAACACCAGAGTCGCGCTCGAATTCGTTGTTGTCGTCACAGTCTGAACCATCATTAGCTGGTGACGGGTCATTTTTGCGAGGGCGCTTAGGCTTTGGGCGCGGATTACTTTGCTGCTCACGGACATCAATAAGATATGAGGGTGATGGGGAACGTGGCCGGCGGTTGTTTGAATGGTGACGTTGGAGCAGATCGTAGTTGATGTTGGGCTGAAATATCATAATCATCAGACTATACTATGAGCCAATAAGTGCTTACCACTTCTTTGCCGCGTGACGGTGCTTGTTTGCTGTTGGCCTGCGGGCAGCCAGCTTGCTTTCGTGCCCCGTTGTTGACGTGTTTTTCTGCCTGTCCCGGGCGGTAGATATGATCCTCTGGGTTGCTATGGTTTATAGGGGCTGTCACCGTTCCATATAAGTCCCCATCGCCCAGGCCATCTCCATCATCGTGCTCTTCACCGCCAATAGCAGCATCGACTTCATCTTCCTCCAAGTCAATATCAATATCACCATCTTCCTCACCGTTATCTTCCTTGAAGTCAGCGTCCTGAATCTCCTCACCGTTATCTTCCTCAAAGCTAATGTCCAGGTTCTCCTCGAGGTCAGCATCCTGATTCTTCTCCATATCGAAATCTTCCATCTCCCTATCCATCTGAGTCTCTTCATTTTCGTCGTCACTTCCATCCGCAAAGACATTTTGACGGACAAATGAAACAGAACTGCCTGGAAGTGGTCGCCATATTGTTGATGGCTCCTGTTGACCACTAGTATGAAAGTTGAGGTCGGAAGTGAATGAACTTGAGCGAGAACGACAAAAACGAGCAAGGGCGCCTGTGTGCTGGACAGGACGAGCAAGGGACTCCACAGGAAGAACACGAGACTCCACAGGACGAGCCGAGGGCTTGATAATAGGCTTGACAGGATGAGCAGGGGGCTGGGCAGGACGAGCAGGAGGCTGGACAGGACGGGCAGGAGGCTGGACAGGATGGGCAGGAGGCTGGACATGACTTGTTGAGCCAGGCTGAAGAGGATTGCGTGATCCATGAGCTGTGTGATCAGTTTGCAATGGCTTTGAGCTGACATATGCCGAGGGAAGTGGATAGTCTTGCAAACCGAACCTTCCGTTTTTTGCGACATGCAGAACAGGTGCGGGACCTGCAGCAGTTGGGCCTGAGGTCTCCTGCTTGAACTCAAATGTCAATAACTACTAGTATAGTAGCGATGAAATTACTATAACAGAAATGAATCACTTACTACTACTGGAGTGACTGCAGGCTTCCTCTGACGAGCTCCTTTCTTCTTCTTCAAGTTGGATGGAGCCATCGCATTTTCGATCTTATCAGGAGGAACGACAACATTTGGTGCGTTCGGCTTAAGCACTTTGACTGGACTCTGGATGGCATTTCCAACCCTCCTTGACTGAGAAATTTCTCCTCCAGCCCCAGCATTAGCTCGCCCTGAATGACGGGGAGGTTCGACATCGCCAACTGGTACCCAAGTTGTCTTTTTCTGTTGGCCCATGGGAATAGTACACACCAAGTCACCGGCAGAGAGAGGACTTGAAGCGAACAACTGAACTTGAATGTTCAACTTGCTGCATGTTTGAAGCAGGTCGGAAGATCCAGGCTGAATGCCATACTACTATAGTAGGTACAGTACATATAGTAGTGGTAGTAGTAGTAGTAACCAATGGGCTGTAAAAGGCACTACAAATAGTATGTCAAGCCTTGCGACGTAATACTGCACAGTGCTGCCAGGACTTTCACGTCAATCAAATCAATTTACTAGTACTACTACTAGTGCTGTTAGTCTTGCCAGCGGGTTCGGGTCATCTGTGCAGTGTGCGTGTGTTTTTGTCTACTACCAACTAAAATGCCGGCCAACTGTCCTAATTGCTTGAAATCATTTCCAAGTGCCCTGGCTATTACGTGACACCTCAGTCAACCTCTTACATCCTATCTACAACGGATCAACAAACTCCAGAGTGCATCACAGATTTTACTCGAGTCAGGCCAGCACATGACTACTAGTACTGCTACCACCAGAACACCGAGTCCTGTTCACCACGATGATTTCCTGATGGACTTCGAGGTGGAAGGGCAGGATCACTCAAACGTCTACTATGAGGGTATTGTGCCTGTGAACTTGGAGAATGACCTTCCGGGGTCTATTGAAGAGTCCTGGGGTGATCAAGTATCGGAGAAGCCTTATGTTGAGCACTTTGAAGGTGCTGCAAAGGTATATCAGTGTGGCCAGACCTTCCAGGATAGATTCAACATGGATCCATATTCCCATTATCGCAAGGACAATCTGTACTATCCATTTGCATCCCTCCAGGACTGGGAGCTCGGAAAGTTTCTCTTGTGCTCATCCCTAAGTATGGCAGCCATAGATCAATTTCTGGGGCTGGAACTGGTATGTCTCGAGTCAGTGAATGTTTTCTGTTACAAGTTCTTATCTTTAAGCAGATCAAATCATTACCTCTCTCCTTTTTCACAGCGAAGGAGCTACATGGTCGTGCCGAGCTTCTGCCTTCTGTTCCGAAGTGGCAGTACTGCATCATCTCGACGACTCATCCAACAAAACAACCAGTCTGTCTTTACTGGCATGATCCACTGGATTGCATCAAATCGCTTTTTAGCCACCTGCATTTTTCCAATGAAATTGATTTTACACCTACACGTGTATACAACATGATGGAACGTACAGTATGAATGTACAGTGAATGGATGACTGGGGATGCAGCATGGTCGATGCAGGTATGTGTCTTATCAATTACTAGTACTAGTAGTCGTATTAAGTTACTATATCTCATCCTCCATCATAGTCACAACTTCCAGAGGGCGCGACATTGCTGGGTGTCATACTTTCTTCGGACAAAACCAACATCACAAATATGACTGGTGGGCGCGTTGCCCATCCGCTTCTTATCAGCCTTGCCAATATCAAGATGGCGACTCGAAACAAAGCATCCTCCCATGCTTTCCTTCTCACCGCACTGCTTCCGATTGCTGAGTTTTTGCATCCGGTGAAGTGGTTGCAGAGTGTCCTGGAAGCCCGCTTGGTCCACCAATGTCTGGACGTCATTCTTGAGCCGCTCAAGCAAGCTGCATGTATCAGGCGAATGATGTCAGACCCGGTCGGAAACCTCAGGTATTGTTTTATGCCCTTGGCTTCATATATAGTCGATACACCTGAGGCGTGCATGCTTGCATGCGTTCAGGGGAAAACCTCACCAGTAACTATGGCGATGTATGAAAATTTTGGAGATGCCTTTTGACACCCCCCACGAACCGCTATAATGACACTTGGCCAGCTTGCCAGCATTGAATGTGATCCCCAAGATGTCGAGGCTTACTTCACTGCATGTGCCCCCTTCCACCTCAGTGGCGTCGCCCGTCCATTCTGGTCTGACTGGCCACTCGCAGATCCACCTTGCTTTCTAACTCCTGAGGCTCTGCACCACTGGCATCGTGCGTTCTATGACCATGACATTCAATGGTGTCTCAGAGCTGTTGGCGCACAGGAATTGGACTTTCACTTCTTCGTTTTACAACCGCTCACGACGTTCTGGCACTTTAAGGATGGTATTTCCAACCTTAAGCAAGTCACTGGAAGAGCGCAGCGGGATCTGCAGCATTATATTGTTGCCCTCATTGCTGATGCAGCTCCTCCTGGCATTGTCATAGCTGTTCGGGCGCTCATGGATTTTTGGTACTTATCACAAGCAACAGTGATTGATGAATTACATTGTTAAAAGATTCTTAACACTCTCCAGGAATTTCATGACCACAAGCAAGACATCATTGCATGTGGGGCGCATCTAGGCGCCAAGAGCAAAAATGTTCTCGACAACTGGCATATTCCTAAACTGGAGTTAATGCAGAGTGTCGTACCCAGCATTCGTCAAGTCGGTTCCCTCTTGCAGTGGTCTGCCAATACCACCGAGCACGCTCACATCACCCTGATCAAGGATCCTGCCGACTCCACCAACAACAACAACATTGATGCTCAAATATGCCGGTTCCTCGATTGCGTTGAAAAGTGTCAAAGTTTTCAGACTACGACATCACTCATCGCTCAACTGTCTCAGTCTTCAAGTTCTCTAGTGATGGACAATGGTTCGGGGTCAGACGACAAAGATGCAGATGTTGATGAGGCAGATCCACAGGCCGCAGTTACCGATCATCTCTGGGGGTCGAAACGTCCTGTCACTAATTTCTTCAAGAAGGCAAAACAAGTCTTTTCGAACATAAAAGCGACAAGACCTCTCCGGACATTTGTTGTTGGTAGTACAGCAATTCACCTCAACTTCGATCCTTCCTTACGGCGCATACCGGTTGATGTTTTTGCCGAAATTTTTTCTTTGCCTGACTTACGGGGAGCACTTGCTGACTACGTTCAATGGGAAGGTCACAATCGCACATCTCAGAGCTTTCACAAGCTGGAGGAGCAGCGCCGTGCAGCACCCAATGCATCTCTGCCATTTAATGATCTTATGGTCTGGTTCAAAGTATGGGTGCAGCAGGCATCATACTACAACCAATCAGCTACTCCTCCTGCTCTCACTATCAACGCATCTCCTCTGAGCACAACTAAAAAGTATGGTCACTATGATGCTGCTATATTCGCTGTCGATGACACCGAAGTTGAACAATGGCCAGTTAGTGGACTTAAAGGTATGTTTTTCATCGTCAGTTTGTAGTATACTATCACTATACCTGACGTCTGAACAACTTGCAGGCCACACTGTTGTTGAGGTGCGCCTTATTATGCAACCGCTTCCTCCACGAGGAAAGACTATTCCTTGGGCTGGGCGTCTTCTCACTTACGTCCAATGCCTGGATGTCGTAACTCAGCGACGCGGAAGTGTATTGGAACGCACTATGCAAATGCATGTTTTAAAATGTGCAATGCGATCAGCAGGGGTCCCCTTCGGTGACATCCTCCCACTGGATCAACTTCGTTCTTTTGCCCATATTGTCCCCTGGTTCGGTCATATTGCTGATGTTCATCTAACAGCGCAAAATAGCGCTCACTCTGCTTGTGTTTTCTTCTTGAACAAATACATTGATAAAGAGTTTTATTATGCAATATCAAACTCATACTAGTACTAGTATACTAGTAAGTTAGTAGTATTAGTTTTTTTCCTGTTGCCCTGCTGATTACCTGTATCACAACAAATATAATAGTTGGGACTAGCTTTAAATTGTGTACTAGTAGACTCAGACATTTTCCAGTTGAAGAGCTCCATACGTATACATTGCTATTATACAGTGATGTACTGTACAAGGCAGTGCTGTACGATATAAGGCAGTGCTGCACAGTATGAGGTAGTGCTGTACAGCACTACCCATTACTATGGTAGACAGTATGGCACGTGGTTTTGGCTGACTAAACTGCAACAGCGGGCAGCTGTGGAGGTGGCACAACTTGCCCTACTAGCTGACTGATACTTGTTGTCATCACACTACTAGCTCTCAATGTCTCCTGCTGGTTCTTTCATTAAACACCCCCACATATACTCTAAGCCCTCAGTCATGAACATGGATTCTAAAGCCTCACTGGGCCTGCACTGGCTGCCATCACCCTCCAACTCTCTGTTTGCCTCCTCTCCATGTCTACAAGTCCAAAAATCAGCAAAGTCCTCCAACACTTCCCTGCCAGACAAATTACCAGACCAACAAGTGCTTGAAGATCTCAAGGCAGTATTAAAAGCAAGACTGGACCTTAAAGATAATCAAGATGACTTGAGCCTGGGTTAGGATTTCTCAGATCGCTTATCTATTACAACCTGACTTCTTCCTGACCATCATCTTTTAGGGCGCTGTGCAGTCATTCTCGACGCTCTTCAAAATCCTCAACCAAACACATTTGTAGGCCTCTTTTGCTTTTAATTGATTAGCGACTCGGGCCATTTTACTAATATCATCGAAGGTAATCACCAACGTCAGACCTGCGGAGTACACTGTAGTCTTAGCATTTATATCGGAGGAGTCAGATTGTGGGATCAGAGCAAAGTGAATATTAGTAACTTAGTTGTACATACAGGTCATAACACCACTAATATCTTTAACAGGTTCAACTACTTCGAAGACACGCAAGAGCTTCAAATCATGACCCCACTCCCTATCCACGAACAACCAGGCTCGCATCTCTTCAAGGCTGTCGCTAAGTACACCGATGGTATCCCTTACGACAAATGACTAATTGACATCACCCTCCATCTCAATCATCTGCAAAACAAAGATATCACAAATATTCCTGACTTGCAGCTGTTAGTTGCAGTCCATCCGCCGGACTCAGACGCTGAAATAGAGATTCCAAGACCCGTCAACAAATGGGTAGGCGAATGCGGGTTGTCATCCGATGATAATAGTATGATTCGGAAGTTGAGGCTGATGAGCGATAGCTCTTGAGAGACTGATTATGCGCTGATAATTTCATTGCGAGAATGGGATAGATGGCATCAACCAAAGGAAGATAGCCATGCAAGTAAAGTCCTTCGTGCAGGCCCCACCATCGACTACGAGGACTTCATCCCTCGTCGAATCAAGAAGTCGCTGAAGTTTGGGCCGGTCACCATCCACTCACATGTCTGGATCGACGTGAGCGAGGTCCGGTACACTGTGTTCAAGCGTGGCGCAGACGGTCATTTTGACTTCAACAGCAAGAACTTGGAGACGTTCGCTGAAGGGGTACATTCATTTTCTGTACCTACTAGTACTCAAATATTAATTGATATTCTACAGACTGTCTACCCTAAGATAAAGATGGATGACATTGAGTGCATGTTAGGTGGGGTTGCTGAGAGGTTGAAAGACTATATCGTATCACTGATGGAGGGGATGGGGTTAGAAGAGTCTTCGATCCGGAGTGCACACAAGTCTCATCCTGTGTGGGATCCCATGTGGGAGGCTGCTGTGAACCAGATCTCTACTGCTGTGTATCTTACAGCATACTGCCGCTACGTGGATTGGCACCACCACAAGTACGAAAAGCGCAAGTTATCGCATCAAGCAGTCACTCAGGCTACCACTACTACTTCCGGCACTTCGCTCTCATCAACCGATCCAACAGCTGGGTCCTCATCTGACCCCACTACTTCATCCTCATCTGACGAGCCACACACGCCCTCCACCGGATTATCGGTTGATGTCGAACTTGAACGTGCAGTGAAGAAAGCGAAGGTTGGCGACGACAAGTCTCCCGAGGCAAAGGCGAAGAAGTCTAGGCCCAAGAAAGGAAAGGGAAGGAGCCTCTAGTAGGGGTGAGTAGTATCTATTGTACGTTCACATTGATTGTCTCTGATGATCATGCGTATTCTACTAGTGCAAGTGTCGTCGCTGTTTCAGTCGCACTGATGCTGGGTACTATCACTGTCATTTAATGGTATGCTGTACTACTATCATTCATGGACTATTTCTTTCGTTGTCCGGCCCATGTACTTCTGTAGATTTTGCTGCACCAGACTACACACTAGTAACATACCAAATCCCCCAACTTGCAAGAGGAGGACTTTTACGGGGTACTACTAGTACTTGAATCTTTTCTGTTGTTTTCATCTAGTAGGATGTACCAGTACGAGCCCGCATTACTATACTATATTGAAGGTCATTTTGTACTACTAGTAGTAGTATGACATGTTACAATTTTGAAGCGAGTCACTGCTAGTACTAGTAGGAGTTCGTATCCGAGGTCACACGCTCTCAGTCTCAGTAAACAACGAAGTTTGAACTTTGTACCAGCCAGTATCGGCACATATGGACAGTGTCCATCCTAGTATAACATCTAAATTTCTTGAATGCGACTTACCAAAGGACATTCCACCTGGATAACCCAATTGGGAAGCCTTCTTAGGCTTAGCAATAGCATGCCTCGTCAACTATATTTAGGCTCGAAACTAGTAATATCCCAACACCAGCGTTAAATCACGCCCTAAATATTCTGATACCTTTGTACTGTAGCCTATAGCTAGGCTGGCACGTATCCCGCCTTATCCCGCCCTACACCTGATACCAGCAGTTTCCGCAAATTGCCTGTCTTGGTCATAGCGGTTTATCTGGCGGGTTCTCATGCCTCTGTCCTCCTACCCCCTGCACTGCTGCACACTGCACGCCGCTGCTGCCGCTTCTACAGCTCAGCAGCCATCACCCAGGCCACCACTACCCTCTATAACATCTGTCTCATCTTGCTCACCCAAAATTCCAGTGCCTCAGTGGTCTGTGCGCCCCCAGCTTGCAGCATCCTGCAGGCTGCCTCCCACCTTGTTCTACAATGCTTGCGCCCAGCACCAAGTGGTCTCTGTGTCCCCAGAACGCTGCCTGCACCAACCTGCTTCCCACCTCATCATCCTTGCCCACCACTGCCCTCTACAACACCTGCCCAAGTGGTCCGTGCGTCCCACTATCAAACCTGGTCTCAGCTAATCACCTACGCCTACAGAATCACCACTTGCGGATCGCACCATTCAGATCCACCAACGCCTGGTGTAGTCTACTTGCCTATGCCTACAGAATTGTCACTTGGGGATCGCACTATTCAACCGTTTGTCCACCTGGTCCATGCGGCCACTATCACCCAGTGTCTTCTTAGATAGATGATCTATAGATAAACACCTACAAAATCAAATATCTCCAGTCAGTGATTCAGACAAATACCAATGACTGATAATGTGGTTGTTCGTGGGTGGCTGTTTACACTTCCCCAAGCTATGTTCAGACAAAAAGTACTTCTGTGAGGTCAGTAGCAATACCAGTCAATCCAACAGTATGGACACAATAGAAAATAAAATAAACAGAATGTAGTCAGCCCAACGGTATGGTGATGACAAAAAGAAAATGATTCACTCCAATGGTATGGCAGTGATTAGAAAACAAAGAAAAGTCAGCCCAACAGTATGGTACTGATAAAAAAAGAAATAGATTGGTAAGAGAAACCCTTCCTTCAGTAACAATGCTTCTTGTAATAAATTTACTACAGAAAGTTGTGCGAAATTATAACAATCACCCCCTCAGCACAAACAGGTAGAATCAAAGGTCAGGACTAATCAGTGATCAGTAGAACTCTTAGTTCACTATTGAACCTGCTGCCAAGGAACTCATGATGAGTATTAAACAGAATCAGGAACAGACGTCCTTGGATTTCAGTACCAAGTCCCCTATTCAACAACTAAAGTCTAGCAGACAAAGAAAACCCTGGCTCAGTATCACTACTCAGATGAGTGAGGTCAAGCGTCACTATCAACTTCTGAAGTCTTCCCACTAAGCCAGTGCTTAGATGGTCGTAAAGACAACACAAAGTGTTACGACAAACGGTCGTGTGCGACTAGGATGATCTAAACAGCAACAACCACGACAGTGGTACCGAGTGCTGAGAGTCGTCGGCCTTTACAGACAAGCAAAGGTTGCATACTTGAATGTAGCTTGTGGTGGTTAACGAGGGGTTACGCTGAGATGATAGCGGTGAAGGTTCAACGATACAGCGAGGCATGAACAATGCTCCTGACTGTATCTATAATTGTTGTAAGGTCGTGCGTTGCCTAGTCTGCTATACTTGAGACGACAAGTGCGTTCGACCCTAAAGGGGAAGCGAGTGCAGCAAGGATCTAGAGGTATGCGCTGAAAGCACTACTGGTTGGCCAATGCGAAGCGTGGGAAAGCGCAGGTGCGCGCGAGGCGCGGGAATGCGCGAAGTGCGGGAATGCATGCGCGTGTATGCAGAAACAAGAGAGAGTAAGAGTGAGTTTGCTTAGGTGATGATATGATGTAAGACAAGAGAAGGGAGATGCAAGGTGTAAACAAATAGATTTCTACTATGTTCTGCTAGGTAAATAGTGGGTAGTAACCAGTAAGTCCTCTGTTGTTCTGGTGGGAGAGTAAGTCAGTAAGTCTGTACTGCTGGCGCTTAAGTATGGCGCCTAAGCGCTGTCATGCGGAGCCGAAGCACTACTGAGTAAGGTATGTAAAGATATATGTAAGTAAGGGTCCATGATAAAAATAAAGATGGAACGATAAGCAAATGTGAGAAATGGAAATATACGCACTAGGGAACTTGGTGGACAGTGGATGGATGCTTCCGGATGGCTGGCGCTATAGGGCGCTCAAGCGCGGGAAAGCGCGCGCGCATATACATCGTGAAGCGTGGGAAAGCTGCGCCTCATATAGAGATAGCTGCGGGTAGCACACAGAGTGATGCTACAAGTTCGTGCCATGTACTCCCCAGTGAAAACTGCCATATTGCACAATGAGATGCATGAGTCTCTACAGCGGTTTACAGACAGTGAGAGGCGTCACTGAAGGTACGAGTTGATGTTGAGCAGGTAGCTTTAGCGGGACAAGGAGTTCAAGGGTAAACCTAGTAAGATTAAAGTAAGGAATGTCTACTGTTAATCTTCGACCTTATATAAGGCTACTCTTCGTATCTAAGCTCAGCCTAAAGCTGGGTTCTAATCTGCTTATCTACATGAGTCAGAGATAGCATCCATGAGGCGGGCTTCTATCGTAGATAGGATCCATGAGGCATCCTTCTATCAGTACATGAGGCAGCACAAGGCTTGCCTTCTATCTTGATAACATAAATAGGTCTTCTAGACCTATGTCGTCACGTGCGGTCCAGACCGCTTATCTAAGCCGGCAGTTGCCGCTTATCGTCTATCATCTTCTATCGTCATCTATCATCATAGAGCTGGTGAGACTCCGGTATCGTCTATAGCCGTGCGGTGGCAGAGGGCTGTTCTGCTGGCAGGGGACTCATGCCATGTTACTGTAACACAAAGATCTTGAAACAAATTCAGACAATAACACTAAGACGTGAATGAACTGAACAGAAAAAGAGACAAATGAAAAGAAACAAAGAAACAAAGAAACAGAAACAGAAAAAGAAAGAGAGAAAGAAAAGAAAAGACAAGAAAAGAAAAGAAAAGAAAAGAAAAGAAAAGAAAAGAAAAGAAAAGAAAAGAAAGAGACTAGAGGTTCACCAGTAGAAAATCAAAGAAAAAGTTTGCTCACTGTTGAGCACAGTGAGCTCAAGATATTTCACAGTTGTTGATGATGAGCTAAAGGTATTGCTGGATGTTGCTTACAATGACCTCTCAGTTAGTTGCTTAACAGCTCTTGTCACTGTTGTTGATACTGATCACACTTCACACTCAAATTTATTTTGTGGGGCTTAAAAGTTCCCTGTATGCATATTTTTATTGGGAAAAAGTGGGGTCTTATATAGATAAATTAGGATGGCTGTGCTACTATTTCCCATGTTCTAAGGGAAATAGGCTTAGTCAGATTGTACCAATACTATTGTACTGTTAGTCATGTGCTTTATAATTTGTGTCATCAAGCTTTAGTCATCTCAAAAGGTTGCTTTGTCATGATTTGGTTTAGGATCATAGGTCACCTGACTGTTAGAGTCATATGACTTAGTATCATGTGACAAATATTAAGTAACAGACTGATTATGTTATTTGTTGGTGTCTTGTTATGATGTTACTTTATTGACCGTAGAAATGACGCGAGCCGTGTATTTAGGGTTTTAAGAAAGTTCCCACAAGGCAACTTATGCAAGAACTATTTTTCACTGTTACTTGACATGTGTGGGATTCAGTCTGAGTCATTGTTGCTGCTGACTAAGCAGAATTTACCGCAAAATTAAATATACAAAAATATTCAGCCTATCTGAGTCTATCTGAGAAATGAAATGAAAATACTATCTGAACTGCAGTCTGAACCATAAAGTAAAGGAAGATTGTTCATAATGACTTCTAGGGTATCGGGCTCGTGGGAGAGCATTAGTCATCCATGCACTGAACCGGTTTGGTGCAGGTCACCAGTCTCAGCTAATCGCCTACGCCTACAGAATTGTCACTTGGGGATCGCACTATTCAGATGTTGACCGTCAGGCCACCTGGTCTGTGCACCCACTATCACCCGGTCTCAGCTAATCACCTACACCTACAGAATCATCACTTGGGGATCGCACTATTCAGATGTTGACCGTCAGGCCACCTGGTCTGTGCGTCCCCCTTGCCTCTCACTTCATCAGCCTTGCAGTTCCCACTGACACCTCATTTGAGATATAAAATTTTAAGACACCACTGCTGTCGCCATTGCCATCCCATCAGTTCAAAGACACCACTGCTACTGCCCTTGCCATCCTGTCAGTCTGGCACTTTCTCAAGCGTGCAGACTATCAACAATGCTTAGAGGGACCGAGACTTTGAGCTAGAGGGCCGCACAATCACATTATTGGTAGTACTTGACAACTGTGTACACAACAATATATATATTTTCACGACACAACCTCCATATTAATGAGTGATGCCATACACAAAAGCTATGACTTGACACTAGGTAAGTATAAGTGAACCTCCCTCACTCCAACATTGGCGTGGGGCCAAATATTCGATCTAAGTCAGCCAATGCTTTATCACAGTCAAAGGGAATGAAGTCATCACCAGGAACAGGTGGCTCTGTATCACGAGCAGCTGGATCAGGTAACTCTTCATCACTGGCCTCGCTGTCCTCAATAGTCTCGGCACTCTTGTAATGTTTGCGATGAGTTGTTGCAGGTATTGCTGCACTGCGGCGCTTCGTCCCTTTGTCAGATCGAGTGCGGCGGCGGCGATCAATTATCGCACCACTCTTGAGCTTCTCTTCATGCTCCAGACAGAGTTTCTCGAATTCTTCGTCGCTCAAGGACTTCCAGTAAGTCGCACCATCATCTCACCTATTGCAAAGCATCTGGAGGTCCAGAAGCACACTCGATACTTGACTAAGATTTGTAAATGGAATTTGATCCGGCCATCCTTCCACAACAACCTGATACCACTGAACAACGTTGCGGAAGTAATGCGCCCATTGCATTTTTGCGCCAGTGTCACCGGTACACTCCTCTATTAATGGAATAAGTAAATTAAATGTTGTAAATGCAAAAAAAAAACTTACAAAGCTTTCGGTTGATGATGTCACGGATTTCTGCGCGTTTATCGGAGACACGCTTCTGGTGGTTTTTCGCAGAACCTGAATATAATTAGAACGATGTAGCAATAAGAACAAAGACACTAACCTTTCATCCCCTGGACGGCGAAGCCTTCCATTTTGCTGACTAAATCTTGATTATCGATACCCATTACGGTGTCCATGAAGTTGTCAACACCTTGAGTGGCAAACGCGACACCTCGGAGGGGAACATCTATAGAACCACGTGTAGTGTATAGAATAGATTCCGCGCCTGTACGACAATGGAGGCTCTTGAGCTAGAAGATGTGAGGAAATGTCAGAGACAAATTCAACAAAGAACATACCTCGTTTTCCACTGCCTTCAAGGTTTGCGTGATATTGTTGATTTTCGACTTGGCTGTAACACGAACACCAGTCTTCTTCATCTCTTTCCATTCAGTGAACTCGGCGAGAAGTTCAACTTGTTCTTCATTTGAGAGTGCGAGGTATTCAGACTTGTGTTCTCGGACAAGTGTTTGGAGCACCGCTTTACCGTGGCTATCTAAAAAAAACAATGCTTGAGCACGACAGAACACGACAACACAATTATAATAAAAACTTACTGTTCTCTTTATCTTGGTTTTTCTTCCAGCAGAACGCATTCCATAAATTAGCCTTAGAGCGCTTTGAACGGAGAAGGCCACAACCTATGTATAAATCATTTTGAACTTGGCAGATACTTTTATGGTGTGAAGACGCAGTCAATTTGGTAGCATCGTCGAGCTGCTTCCATGTGTCATCTAAAGCATCCTTGAACCAAAGAGATTTGGTGCGTCACTCGAGCCTGAGAGCAGCATGGGCTTCTTACTGAGCACAATGTTCGAACGTCGACGGGCAGGTGGCTGGATGAGTCTGGCATTTGAACTGCGCTTGTTGGCAAAGAACGACTGGGCAACCATTAGCTACAAGGAAGCAGCGGAGACTAGTCAACAATCTGCAATCATTTGTCCAGCTATTTAACACACTGAGAAGAAAATTTTCACTCCGTCAACATTGTGGTTAGGCTCAGGTATCACATCATTCTGTACTAAACAAGGCAGAAACATCTGAGATCTACAGTAATAATAAACCGAAAAGGTAAAGCGCACATATGAAAACTAAGATGCCGAGGATCTTGAGGATGGTGGTAAGCACTGATGACCGATTCTACGGATTGAAATTAAAATTAAAATGCGAAGAATGGAGAATGACCAACCTTCAATTTGGCGGCCTCAGGGTTGACGTCCCTTATACCTACCTGTAGGTCCATGAGGAGGGCATTAGACAAGATGGAAGCTTGTTCGTAAGTCAAGTCCCATGTCGGGGACCTAAACACTGCCTCCCACTGGCTGCTGTGAACTGCTGCTACTAATGTTCGGAGCTTCGGCAAATTCTCATCACCCAACTTCAACCGATCGAGTGCAGCATCTGTATATGGCCCAATACTAATAAGCGGCGACCCAACCATTGACAGATTGCAAGTGAATTGTCCCTGAGATGGCGCCACAACAAGTGGGACAGCCTTGGTGAATACATCAGCCGGTCGGCATTGACGCATCTCCGAGCATGGCGTCGATGGTGTAGTTCGGTTCGCAGATCTGGCAGCCAATTCCACACCACAATGAATAGTGGCAGAGTCCAAATGAAGGAGAGGGGACTGTAGATTGGTGGAAAAGGTGTCTGGGGCTTGTGCAGAGCATTGGATTTGAGCTCCTGTGGCAACCATAGGCGGAGGGATGTAGCGTGGTCCGGTAGTGCTGATATGAGTTGCAGGGACTTCACCTTGTGTTAGCAATGCGAAGAATACAATAAAAAGTAATTTACTTACAGCGCCTGCTGGGTTTCACCTTTTCAATGGCACAGCGGGTAGCAGAATGCTGCAAATGAGGTACTGCGAACTCTTGTGTGAATGCCTGTACTAAGACAGCAAGATCTCCACCAATTCGCTGCTGCATTTCCTGCAACTCGCGCGGCGTGATATAGACATCAATAGGAATTTGTTTGGGGGAGAGATTCGGCGGAGGTTCACTGCCAGCGCATCGAATGAGAAGGGATATCCCACCATCAAGACGGTCTTGCGTGGTGAGCTGAAAAATGTTGTGAGCTTTAAGAAAAAAAATCAAGGAAATGACTGACTGCGTCAAATACATCCTGGGTGGCTGCATCGAGTAGCTTGTTAGGTGTAATGGACCGCTCTTTTGCCTCGTTCGAATTGCTTGACCAATTGAAGCTGATGTATGATGGGTGAAGGCCCCCCACTGTCCTAGTCTGACAATGGGAGCTGTCAATATGAGCATCATGCCTGAGTAAAGCCCGTGTGGCTGCTTGACGCTCATTGTTGCTGAAACCCGGGGCAAAGGTAGAATTATGATACAGCACAGCAAGACCTGTCATGTTAAATTGGTCGAGCCGTTTGCTATCCAGAGATGGTAAAGATGCCATGGAGTGCAATGGCAAAGATTGCAATGGCTTCAAGGGTGGTGGAGATGGTGGATGCATGCTAGGTGCAGTGGAGTCGTGTTTGCGAGCTTAACAAGTGTGTGGTAAGTAGTAATTTTGATGGGCATACTATTATGTACACATAGATTACTGTACTCAGATTCTCGAATACAATCATGCCCAGCGCTCTATAGATAATCTACACTGCCTGTATCAATAATGTAGCATTTTGAAGGCGCTCGAGGGTTCTTCATATCTTCGCATGCCTTCAAAACCACACAACCACACCGATCCCAAATTATTTACGAACCCTTGGGGGTAAACAATTTTGGATCAGTGTGGTTTTGAAGGCATTCGAGGGTTCTTCATATCCTCGTGCACCTTCAAAACCACACAACCACACTGACCCAAATTATTTATGAACCCTTGGGGGTAAACAATTTTGGATCAGTGTGGTTTTGAAGGCACTCGAAGATACGAAGAACCCTTGAGCACCTTCAAAACCACACTGATCCAAAATTATTTACGAACGGTATATGGTGCTATAGATTACCGCTGTACTGTACATTACATCTCATCTGTAGCGCCATAGGGTTACAACTCAGTAGATATTCTATATAGGACTGAGATGTAGTGTACAGTAGTATACTACAGCGCCATAATGTAGCATACAACTATAGAGCGCTGGGCATTGCATTCGACACTGTACATTACAATATCTATTGAGTATCACACATCCATTGCAAGCATTTAGGGCAAATTTATGAATTGCAAAGAGATATAGAACTAAAGGTACAAGCTGTGGTATGTACGTGGTGCCTAAGTTAGTCGATGATCGACTGTAAAAAATCAGCCATGTCCTCCGTTAATGTGTCTTGCTCTTCGCAATCAATGGCTTCTATGTCAGTATCCTCAGTATCAATGGTTGGCGAGATATCTGCAAGATCATTCGGTTGACCTATGAAAACATTAGCATAACATCCGAGTTTGCTATTCAAACATACCATGGTCAGCAGCGCAGTCAGTGCGGACACCAACACCCCTGACTCCAGAAAAGCCTGTGAGACTCTCGATGTGATTCAAGCGGTAGCAATGCATTGCATTGATAGCCGCACGTGAACGATGTTGGCATTGCAGCTCGCAGCCTAGGTGCGGATCCGAAACCTGAAGTTTCTGTATGACGGTAAGCATATGACGTTCTTCATCGTGAATGGCGGTGTGCAAGCGGTGGACTTCAACATTGAGTCTAGTGATTTCTTTGTGCGCTCGACAAAGTTTGAAGAATTTAGTGGTTGCTTCTCGATGTCCTGGCTTTGACCAAGCACTGCTTCAAATATCATTGCGAGAATATCGCAGAAGATCAAATTCGGCTACAAAACCATAATCAGCGATGTCCTTCCAAGAGATCTTGGAACAGGGTGGATTTAGGGCTGCGGCCTGTGTGTTGTAGCGATTAATAGCATTACGGATGGCATCCGAATGATGTTGTAGAGCCTTGCCTAGCTGCTGGCATAGCTTGTACCCTAGAAAAAAACAGTCGTTAGTGTTGGTATTTTGGCATAAATGAACTTACCTGTGCCCGATAGCGAGAGTTTGGAGAGTTCAAATAACCTCATCACCACGAGACGCTTGAGCTCATCTAAGGCAGTGCGGTACTTACCCAGGGACGCCTCCTCCTTAAAATGTCTGTACTCTGGCCCACCAATCTCCCACCGCTGATCCACAGCCAATTGTGTCTCGATATGCACGACAAGCCCTTCAGCATGCTGTAACTTCGCATAGGAAGAGTCAACACAAATCCAGGCTTGGGCGAGGGCATTGTTGATCTCCTGTAAACTACTGGTGGGAATGCTAGTCAGGGTGGTATTGCCAACTTCCTGAGCCACGTCCCAATCAGCTCTAAATTAGTTAAATATCAGGTCCATAATAACGGCATGGAGACTTTACTTACTGTCACTGAGTGAGCTCGTCAAGAACTTCAACATAGTGTATGCAGAGTTGGTCTTGGACAGGTGGCAGCTTCAATCCATCAAGATAATCACGCTCATCTTTGAGAAATTGAACAAGATCGTCATCAGTAAGACTCAGCTCGGCTTTGATGACAGCTAGTTAAGCAGTAAGCGTCTGAATAGAGTTTAGCGCCTCACGGTAGTGATTCCAAATGAAATTGCCTGACAGAATCAGTGATAAAGTAGTAAAACTTAAGTAATAATATTTACTCACTAAGGGTCGCGTACTTGTCGGTGTCCCAGAATGAGAAATGTTCCTCGATAGTCTGACGCCAGTGGAATGGACTTGCGTGTCTCATACTATGAGCAAGCTCGTTTGATGACGAGAAGATATGTTCGCACCCTTCGCCCTCGGTGTGTCCAGTTCTGGGAATGTACATGGGATGCCAGTCTAGCTGGCACTTACGGTTATGGGCGTGTCCGTGGAATGCGCCCACCATGAGACGAAAGTCTAACTCGCGCACTCGCATACCCAAAGAACTGTTGGTCAGTGTCTTTGAAAATGAATATCATAAGCGCAGCTGCCGTTTTTCCCGTATACGGCGAGGAGCTTGTCAATTATGGCTAGCGGGTATTTCGCTCTGTTGTAAATCAGCGCTTGTCAAGATGAGCTAAGAAAGAACTTAACAATTCTCCACTCCATATCATGTCGCAAGCTAGAACGACAAATCTATGACGGCACGCTGCAATAAATATCCCGGATTCGTCAAACCCTGAAAACATTTTTTTTCGAGTCTCTGGACCAGCATTGCGCCATCGGTTGACACAACTGAATGCTGGGGTAATGCCTTCAGCTGCGATCGTTTCGTCCTCCCAGTTATCGTCATTTGTGTCCCTCTGCATCATGTAGTTAGACTATTGTTGCATGAAGAGAGGCTCGTCTTACCTCACGTGTTTTGACTTCATCCTTGAACCTGTCTACGTCGCAGGTATCAATCCAATAATCAGAACGTGCCTTGCGAGAATCAATGCGTGGGTTTGAGCCGTAAATTGTAGAGTTCCAGCGCTTCAAACTATTGTTGCCGTCGATTGATACCAGCCAATCAAATTCAAGCACTGGCTCATCCTCTAATTTATAGAAGCAAGCTGGGCATGAATTGAGCATGCGCCAATTCAGTGTGTCATGATTGAGTGCTGCACGATGACGCTGTTTCACGTGGTGAAGGATTTCTAAATAAATGTCATAAGCGGCTGAAAATTGTGCGTTAAGGTACGGTCGATAGGGTGTCTGTGCAGCATTTTTAGATCAGTCAAATGATGTAATATACACATACATCATGCAGGAAACAAAGACTTTTCACTTGGGCTTGAATGCCGAATCGGGGACATGACTGATGGATTTGACAGTATGCGGCAAGAGTGCACAGCAATATGGCAGCTGTGGGATAAAGCCGTGCACACCCGATGTACCCATGGTAGATTAAGGTCTCATTTGGGTATCTGTGGGAGGGCTGCGATCGCAGTGAAGAGTGGCTTCGCTCTAGAAATGAATTAGTGCACAGAGAATTGGAACTTTGTTAAACATACTGAAAAGGTCAATTAGTTCTATGTTAGTTAGCGAAACACTAGAAGAATCGTCTAGAAGTGGCTCTGCAGACATGTCATCAAAGGTTGGTAAGCCGTCTCCAGAATCACGGAAACGATAGTCCAGGTAAGCGTCCACCAGCAGGTCTATTTGAAGTTGCCAGTGATTCGTTTGGCTTTCTGTGCGGTCCTCTTGAGTGCAGTGATTGATATAGCGACTGGTGGATGGTATAAGCAACAATTGAGACAGACAAGAAAAAAAATACACACTAGCCACCAAGGTCCGCTATTTGACCAGCGAGTCCCTCAAATGCCTCATACTCCCCACCAGCATGACTCAGTTCCATCCCCTCCTCTCCTGGAGGCACGGTGTATGGTATTGATTCAACGTCCATTCCATAATCACTCATCATGTTCTCCACCAACTGGCGGTCCTCGCTTGACATCTCTGTGAGAGATCGCATTAGTTATATGTAAACAATAAGAATGTGAAGATATACCTTGGACTTGAGCCTGATGGCCTGCATCTGCTGCCTCCTTGCATTGAAGCTGACGGCTAGCTTTCAAGATATGAGTCTGGCAATGTCGCCCTCGAAAGTTGTGTGAGATGATAGACTTTGAGAGGCCCTTAAGCTTAGAATGACCCCCTGCACGAGACATAAGGAGCCGGTGGGACGATTCTGTAGGTGTAGGCAATTAGCTGAGACTGGGTGATAGTGGGCGCATGGACCAGGTAGACAAACGGTTGAATAGTGCGATCCCCAAGTGACAATTCTGTAGGCATAGGCAAGTAGACCACACCAGGCGTTGGTGGATCTGAATGGTGCGATCCGCAAGTGGTGATTCTGTAGGCGTAGGTGATTAGCTGAGACCAGGTTTGATAGTGGGGCGCATGGACCACTTGGGCAGGTGTTGTAGAGGGCAGTGGTGGGCAAGGATGATGAGGTGGGAAGCAGGTTGGTGCAGGCAGCGTTCTGGGGACACAGAGACCACTTGGTGCTGGGCGCAAGCATTGTAGAACAAGGTGGGAGGCAGCCTGCAGGATGCTGCAAGCTGGGGGCGCACAGACCACTGAGGCACTGGGATTTTGGGTGAGCAAGATGGGACAGATGTTGTAGAGGGTAGTGGTGGCCTGGGTGATGGCTGCTGAGCTGTAGAAGCGGCAGCAGCGGCGTGCAGTGTGCAGCAGTGCAGGGGGTAGGAGGACAGAGGCATGAGAACCCGCCAGATAAACCGCTGTAGAGACTTGTGCCTCTCAATGCGGAATATACGGCCCTATTATCCACATAATTCCCTACACGTTCCAGCTCTTATCCGAAGGATCAGTCATACGCGCTCTCACGTGCGCGCCCTACGTATGCGCCTCGTTCGCACACCTTACACGCACTTGCGCCTTTCACGCGCGCTCGTGCGCCTCCCCTTAGGCCTTCACTGTAGGGATTCATTTCTGGCTGGGCTTGCAGAGACTGTTTTTACCTTAGTGTTATGTTTGCACTTTTGTAGCTTACATAATCAAGTTACCTTTTCACCAGTTCTACTATGAGTCTGAGTATTCAGCAAGTTTCTATCATATTTCCTCTTCTCTGAGCCTTGAGCCTGGTCCAGAAACCCTTTAGGGTCGCATAGCAGCTAGGTTCTGCAAGACCCAACATTGTTCAGACTCACCATCTGAATTGTTGTACCTTCATCGCATCCTTGTCTGTCCGTCCGTCCTATGTCCTCACTGATTTACTGGTGCATTATTCTTATCCCTTTCACTGAATTGACGTACCTTCGGTCTGATCTCCGCGCTTACATACAGAAAGTCTATCATAGGCTTTAGAATATATTTAGAGTTGATATGGTTACTCGGTTCGGTACCACGCTCGGAAGCACGCCGCATAGCATAATCTCCCTTCTTAAATAGAGGGAAAGTTCCTTTTAACTGACTTCCTTCCCTTCTCCCTTATCTGAGTATACTGCAAATTGTATAAGTGCACCTTAGTACTTGAAATCCGATTATACTTCACTATTCTACCATCGCTCGCGCATCTGCTATACTTGAACACTCTCCCCCATCGCTCAAAAGCACGCTTCCGCATACGCGCGCGCCCCTCGCATCTTTCGCTCGCGCGCACCCTTCGCGCGCCTTTGCATCGCTTACTCGCGCCTACGCGCGCGTGATCTTCTCGCGCCTGTTACCACCCGTCTAGTTGACGAAGACTCCCTCCATTACATTAGAGAGGAACTTCTCTCAGTAGCTGTCCTTTGGGTCAAGTCATATTCTCATATCCTGGTCTTACTGTAGAACCCCCGTTAGCTTTAGCATTTCACCTATAGTCAAGATTCCTCACCTTCACCGCTATGACCAAGACAGGCAATTTGCGGAAACTGCCAGTATCAGGCGTAGGGCGGGATAAGGCGGGATACGTGCCAGCCTAGCTATAGGCTACAGTACAAAGGTATCAGAATATTTAGGGTGTTATTTAACGCTGGTGTTGGGATATTACTAGTTTCGAGCCTAAATATAGTTGACGAGGCACGCTATTGCTAAGCCTAATAAGGCTTCCCAATTGGGCTATCCAGGTGGTACTAGTACTCACTTAAATTTACTCAAACACTTGTGACTCACATGTTTTTAAGGATCTGTGAGCAGAATCTGAGCCTGCACAGTGGGACTTGTACTACTAGAAAATTCACCAAGCGGACTCATTGCGACGTGTACTCGCGTTATTCAAGTTGTTTATAGTATACTAGTAGTACAGGTGTCTACTACTAATACATATGTGCCATAGTACTACTAGTACTAGTATCATATTGCCAATGTTATCTTGCCAGTGCGTCGTGTTCAACGTTCTGGTGTGTTCAAATTGAAGCTGTGCTACCAGAACCAGGCTCTAAGGCAATGAGGAACTTGAAGAAGAAAATAGCACAAGTCAGATCTTGAATAAACCAGCTCACTGTATTATGCTGTGTGGCACTATGCCCGGCAACCTTATACTACGCATCTGCATCATTATATTACTAAGCCACGACCTAGGGCTACCTAGTGCTATGGGTGCCTGTGTGGCTGTAAGGCACTGTAACATGCTGTAAGCACCTGTAAGAACATACGGCACTGTGCTAAATTTAGGGTTTTGCTGATGTAGGAACCATGAAATTCAGTGGTTTGAGCGTTGAAACAATATATCTCAATGCAGGTAACACTGAATCTACCAGCAAGAGTATTCATTGTTTCAGTTAATACCATAGATTTCATTGACAGTGTTACCACTCAGTGGTGTTAACAATGATATGTGTGACTATGAAATATAATAGATAAAACAATAAAATGTGATGGTTAGGCCAATGAATTTCAATGGTTTGGCCCATGGATTTTAGCGGGCATGGCCTATGAAATGACATAGACAAAACAACAAAACATGATGGATTAGCCAATGAATTTTGATGGTGTGAGCTATGAATTTCATTGGCTCATCAAAGTAACTACAAAAACATATAGAAAAATACAAACGGGTAGGGAAGCATAGTTCAATCAGTCATAGTCACTAGTGCTCGCATCATCAGCATCATTCACCCTAGCATCAGCCCCAAGTTCCAACTCTGCAAATGTGATCTGGATGTGGTCACTAGAACAATCAATGATGCCCCAATGCCTTCGTGTGCCTACACGCCCAACAGCAGCTTTGATGTTTCGAAGGTCCGTTATAATTGGGACCAATGATCGCTTGTACTCAACACACTGAGAAGATGCATCCAGTCCATTTGTCGCACATGGAATAATGAGAGCAAGCAACAGTGTTGAGTTACACAGGTCACCATAACGAATGTTGTTGTCAAGGTGACACTCGAGGATGTAATTTAGTTGACCATAGCAGACAACATCAACATGCTGACCCGATTCTGAGATGTAGGGCAGCTCATACTGTGCAAAAAATATCTGGTCAAAAGGTTACCTTTCCTGTGCTCACCAGAACTCACCCGCACAAATGTGTTGTCTCTAAACGAGGATTTGCTTAGTTTTTGGACTGTGGACAATGTCCAGATTGAGTCCCCACATTGAGCAATGCGGAGCTTGCCCCAGCAAGGCATTGTGCATGGGAGTGCAACAATCAGATGATCCTTCTGCCCACCAATGACTGAATAAATGTAAGTAGCAATCCTGTCTCGTGTGTTGCTACTGGGCACATAGTTGTGTTGGTATGGACTACGAAGGATTTGATTTGGATCTAGTTGCAACACATTATCAGACATGTACCAAGGCAGTTAAGATCACCAGTCTTATGTGGCCGAAATCCTTTCAACTCGTTATCCAGGTCAAATTTGATGCTTACAGTGCTCAGGTAGGCAGTGTGAAGGATTCTCTGGTTCAAAGCACTCCAGGGAAAACAACGAGACTGTAATCCCATTTGCAACAAGCCGCAATATCATTCCATGTAGAACGTCCATGATGTCCAAACTGGACCACAGAAACGAATGTCCTGCGCAATGTGAAGGAGGCCATAGATAGGCAGGGTGCATGCAGATAAACAGCTCTCGTCAAATTGATAATACACTCTGCCATAGGAAAGGTTAAAAATATGAAGCACTAGCGTGATGTTAGCTCACCATTCGTATTCTTCCACCCATTCAATCAATCCTTGCTCAATATCATCGATTTCCATGTATGTCAGCTCGAATTTAATCATCACCTTCATAAGGTCCACTAATTTGCACATGTGGACATAGTACTTCTCATTTGAAAAGCATCCATGCAAGACAAATGGTGCAATGTGCATAAACCAGAAGCCCCAGGACTCTGCGGTGAAGTTGGAACGATCTTTAGCAATGTTTCCAATAACATGAACAAAGGATGAGGGTATGTCCTTGATAGCATGTGTTATTTCTTCGCCAATTTCTTCCCAGGTTGCACGCGGGATGACATAGTCTTCGACACCACTGTCGAGGTTCTTGAATGAATCAGACCAGTGGCTAACAAGGGTAGGGATAACATTCTCGAGGAATAGGTGCATCCAGTCCCATGGCGATGACCTTGCATAGTCAAGTGATCCAACTCACTGGAGAGACGGCAAGCCTTTGATCCCACTTTCCTTTGAAAGGCGCTGCTTCTGACTCTTTGTGGGTGCATTAGCAATAGAGTTTGCAATTTGAAGGAATTTATGATGTGTATGCATGGGGAGATTCCAGGGATCGAGTGATTGACGAGACTGGTGTGGTACATCTGGTGTATGGAGAGGAGTATAGTAGACTTTTCCTCTCCTGGTGATGTCACGAACACCTTGGATCTCACATGAGTGACAGGGGAAGTGAGAGTTGTGACCCTTCAGGTTAAGTAGCTTCTCGATAGCAACAATATCATTGTCTTCAAAGATTATGTAGGCACGGAGGTTGAAGGAATTTTTTGTGTGGGCATTGAATGTCAATACTCCATCTGCAAGTAATGCACACTCGTCATCCAAAGGAGAAATGAATGATGCAATATCCTTTGGCTGAGTCAGGCCAGGAATAACTCCTAGGCAAATAAGATTCTCCACGTGAGTCCAAATATCAGGGGGGGAGATTTGGATTGACGAGTAGAATGGGAGTAGCAGATGGGCCACCACGATGACATTTGAAAAAAAAGGTAGCCATCAGTGCACATAGCCAGTGCAAGATCATACTCTGAATTGAAGTACTTGTGGTTCCGATTTGTCCCATCCACAACAACATGTTTTCTCAGCAGCTTCCGGTACCAGGATGAATCAAAAACATCATGTATGCGTGTCGGGTGAGGCTCAAACTCGGAACGGTATCTGAGCAGATTGATCATAGCTTTATTCTGGAAGAATGCCTGCAGTCGAGGGATGAGGGGAAGGTATGAGAAAGTATGATGAGGTTGACGTGAAGATGTGAACCTTGCTTCATTGCAGTATGGGCAGTCCTCGCGTAGACTGTGCTCTCTTGTGTAGGCGATACACAAATTTACACAACAATCAATTGCTCGTGGCTCAATCTCTGAAAGGAGAGCTAAACAGCGAAGAATGATCCACTCTGAATCAATTGATATCTTGTGATCGAAGGATGTTCGCATTGCGTTGTACATTCGCCATGGCATGCACGATAACAATTTCAACTGAAATGCACGGATATTGTCTCGATCTTGCTCTGTAAGAATGCAATGGCCTAGTTTTACGGTTATTGTAACATGAATATGTTTGCATTAGTGGAGTAGGCTCACGTATCAAGTGAAAGTCTTCCTTGACTGTTGGTCTGGTCCATGCAGCGAGCTGCTCCTCTATCTCTTCCAGGGTGAGAAATAGGTCATCATCAAAGTCCTCGTCATGAAAGACAGGGTAAGAGAGGTTATCGGAGTGATCAAGCACCTCCATGGGTACATCAGAGTTGCCATCTGAAGATCTGAAACTTCCCAAAGTCTCTAGCATTGCCGGTCCATCATCTGCTTCATCATCTTCCGCCATCCAACCATCCACTTCATTATATTGAGAGATGAAGTCTTGGTGACCTGTTGATTCTTCTGACTCGCTTCCACTGCTCGAAGGCTCCATGATGTTGGCATTTGTATGTGAATAGTGGCTGTCACGGGTTTTCTGAGAAAGCATCTTGTAGCATTCTGGACTACATTTGCAGCGTCGTCTACCTGGATGGGATCAACGAGACATCAATGAACGTCAAGAGTAATCACACTAGCAAAGTCTAGTGACAAACAAGACAATCAGTAGATTTAGGAAAAAAAACTAGATTGATAGCAGTACCTAGTGACCAACAAGACACTAATATACATCAGTACAATGCTATGCGCTAGACGGTAAGACATACACACCTCAGTAGTTTTAGGAAACAAAACTGAGGTGTCAATGAACAGGTGTGACAATGTAAATGCGCTGGTGACAATTATCTAAGGAAGTCCGGAGAGTTTACAAGTGGAAGTGCCAATTGGTGCTGAGGATCAAGAAGCATGACGACCAGAAGAATCAAGAAGCATTGGAGATGTGTGGTGCCGAAGGTGGTCAAGATAAGGATAGCACAAAAGGGACACCGATGTAAGTTTCCGTCAGTTTGAGGCATTAATGACAAAACATCTTCGTGCTCAGTTCTGTGGATTTCTGTATATCAAAAGCTTCATAGCCTTTGGGTGAGCGTGGTATTGCGCTGGAATATGGAGACCATTCTCCTGCCCATACAAAGACTTCCCAACTCTTGCATTGTTGCAAGATGATTTCCATCAACTGAAAACAGGATCACTGACCCTCTCCATACATTATTGACAGGCTGATATCAAATATGCCAATGAGGGAGTATGCCATATCCTCGATGTGTGTGGTCGTCCTTCTTGACGCCCACCTCAACTTCTGGTGAACGTTGTGAATGCCACACGAGAATGAGACAAGATCATGTCGTTCAATCTCTGTCAAGTGGGTGATGGCAGTGAGAATATCTGATTGAGAAGGGGTGACTGGCATAGAAATTTCATCTTCAGATGGAGTAGTCAAGTCTCTAGGGTGTTGGTCATCAAGATTGTCGCTGAGGGGTTCCCAATTTTTCCCGTAGAACTTCATCTTCTCTGGTGCAAGGAGCTCCTGCAGTGTCCACCCTCTGGTGAACCAAGGCTCCCGTGCAAAGTCCGACACACTGGAAGAGCTTGCAAGATACGCAATACAAATGGCAGCATTGTGGTACCAGTTGAACATGGCCTGAATAGCTTCATCAAGTTCTGCGCTGCTGTTCTTATTGATGCAACAGGTATCTGACCAAGCCAACTGACAGTCATACTCTCTTGCCTTCTCACAAAATTTGGTCAATTTGTGATATCCGGCAGGATTCTTGGACATATCTTCTTGTAACTCTGATGTGCCCTGGAATGTGGGTTCTCTGGTGTCAAGCCAACAGTGAGAGAGCATCGCAAATTTGACCTTATTCCTGAGCACTGTGTTTAAGGTCTCCTTCCGAGTCCTTGACAGTCCTAAATAATTCTTCAGCTCATCCTCTGTGATGGCCTCGACTGCAGGCTTGTACATGTTAAACACGTCGTTCTGGTTCACAAGCCTCATGCTTGGCATGTGGATCAAATGAGCAGGCATGCCACTGAACACATAGAACAAGAACACATCCACGATGCCTTCAATGGCTGTGCTATTTGTTGACAGTGACTGAATCAATCAATTGGACTTGGACTATCCACAATATCTGATTGATGTACCGTCATTGGGCTGAGATCAAAGCGCATTGAAGTACAGAAGATTTTCCAAAAGAGTTGAAAGGTTGATTAGAGGTAGGATATAGACAAAGCGACCGTGACACAGCTCGCTATAATACATGAATTGGGAAGAGTACACCAGGGACGTTGCGACTGAGCATTGAATGATGGGACTCTTCCTCTAAGATAACAGGTCGGCTTTGAGGGACTAGTCTTTAGTCTTGCGAATGAGGAGGCTTGGACTAGCCTGAGGAACGGGAATGGGACTCAGTCTTGGATCAACTTGAAAAGATTATGATTGATTATGCCTAGAAACAAGAAATTTGGACTAGGTATTAGGGTAACAGTCAAGAAAATGTATGTATGGCCATAAACAAGAGAGCTCACCTCAATCTTGGACCAAAAGACTGAGGGATTGTTCGAGGGGAACTCGGAGGAATTAATACACTTAGTTCCCACTTACTACACCATGTGAGATGGCTGTCAAACTTTTTCTGTAAAAAATATAGTGGGAAAAGAATACATTACCTAGGGGGGAAATCATGATTTATGGATATTAAGTACACAAAATCAATTGTAAATCCAATTGAACCCATCTGGTGACCGAGCCAAGAGAGTTTATTGGCAACACTAAATTCTTCTTTTTTCGACTTTGCCCACTAAGCCAGGCACAAAGTGGTATATAAGTTGGTCAAAAGTGATCTCGTGATTTCCTGACAAACTGATTGGAAAAAAGACAACCGAAGGCGAGTCCTTGTACTACATGCCTAAGGAGATCATTGTTACATGTATGATATCACCACATATGTACAATAGTATTACTAATGTATGATGTGTTACAGATATCTAATCTTCAAAATCCATGCAACTACAATATCTCCAATGTCCTGACGTGCATCATACTATCAACAGAAGTAACATCCTTCACTTGTGTGATAATGTTGTTATCCAATGTGATTCTCTTAAATTCTCCCCCCCACTGCTGCACCAGGAGAAGTGCACCAAAAGGCTGCCCAAGGCGAACGATCAACCTCAGGTCTCCCATATCAAGCTCTGATGAAGACCCAGGCTCAGGCCCTAATGACTCGAGATCATCAAAGTCAGGCAGCTCGAGATCACGATGATTCCATGGACAGATGAGTAAGAATGACTGTCTAGTAGGCCTTGCAGGTGAGAACTGAACCAGTCTGGCTTCTGTGATGATCAGCAGGTCTTGAAGACCATGTGCCTTGACATTATAAGTGGAAAATCTGGTGACATCATTAAACCCCCGCCTGATCTCTGTGACGGGAAATGCGATGCATGGCAAATGCAGTCTGGTGTTTGCAAAATGAGGAGCGCTGAGGTTACAAAGGAGGGCATACAGTTTTGAAACCCACTGCATGACTATGGTATCTCGTAGTGTGGAGACCGATTTTTGGATATTGTCTTCAGATAGAGATGGTAGGGTGCATGGTGGATCCGCTGTAGAGACTCATGCCTCTCATTGTGCAATATCGCAGTTTTCACTAGGGAGTACATGGCACAAACTTGTAGCATCACTCTGTATGCTATCCACAGCTATTCCTATACGAGGTGCAGCTTTCCCACGCAACGTGCAACTCGCGCGCGTACCTTTCCCACGCTTCACGATGTATATGCGCGCGCGCTTTCCCACGCTTGAGCGCCCTATAGTGCCAGCCATCCGGAAGCATCCATCCACTGTCCACCAAGTTCCCTAGTGCGTATATTTCCATTTCTCACATTTGCATATCGTTCCATCTTTATTTTTATCATGGACCCTTACTTACATATATCCTTACATACCTTACTCAGTAGCGCTTTGGCTCCGCATGACAGTGCTTAGGCACCATACTTAAGTGCCAGCAGTACATACTATTACTGACTTACTCACCCATGAGAACGAGAGAGGACTGAACCACAACAATACCCATTTACTACCCAGCAGAACATAGTTGAAATCTATTCCTTGGCACCTCGCATATAACATCTCTCAGCTTGCATCTCTCACCTCTTGTCTAGTGTCTAATCATCGCTTAAGCAAACTCACTCTTACTCTCTCTTGTTTCCGCATACACGCACGCACATTCCTGCACTTCGCGCATTCTTGCGCCTCACGCTTTCCTGCGCTTCGCATTTGCCAACCAGTAGCACCTTCGGCACCTACTACTAGATCCTTGCTGCACTCGCTTCCCCTTTAGGGTCGAACGCACTTGTCGTCTCAAGTATAGCAGACTAGGCAATGTGCAACCTTACAACATTTATAGATACAGTCAGGAGCATTGTTCGTGCCTCACTGTATCGTTGAACCTTCACCGCATATGATGTAATGTAAGCTGGGAGACAGCTATTGAACATGGATGATTGTCCAACCCAGTCAAGAGTAGAAATGTCGCCTGACCGAGCTATGATCACATGTTCCAAATGCTGTGTGCGAGTGCGCCAGGCTGTGATGAAGGCAGAACATCTGATAGATAGACGATTGTGAGTGCAGAGCAACAATACCACATGAACACGGAGAAGACTAATTGTTGGAGCTCAACATTGTTGCTTTGGTCGATGCAGCATGTGTTGACCCATGCCCAGCAATAGCTGGCATTGCGAGCAAGGTTGCAGAAACTCTGCAATTTCACCATACCAATTGAATTCAACGTGTACACGTCATTGTCCTGGATGTCACGCAGCACCGGCTCTTTGTCGGTCCATCTGTGTGATAACATGACCCAGCTGAAGTACTTTGTGACCACTTCTCTGATAGACTCTGTTTGGACAGATGCACATGTCATTGCTGATGACAACCCCTTGTACTTGTTACGCACTCAAATAGATCTGTTAGGCGGAGCCCTAAGAGGGGCATCGTCCGCTAACGTTCGTGACGTAACTGGAAGGATCCGGTATAGCAAGTGAGACTGGCGACGACGAGTCGGCAGCGATCACAGTACGCGCGTGTCACGTGACTTCGTAGACGGATGTCTTGAGAAGTCACTCAAGGTCAGGACTGTCTTGTCCGGACGATGAGGTCGATCGAGGTAGACTTAGCCGCGAGGAGCGACTAAGAAAAGATACTAGAGACTGAAGCTGAGGGGGCTTCAGAGGGAAGTATGTTCCAGGGAAGATTGAGTAGATTCAAGTTAGGGAATCTAGTACAGTGTGACCGACTACTTATACTAAGTGGAGAGGGTTAAGGGCAAGGCTACCGCACAGTAGGTAAGGGTAAAGGGGAAGCGAGAATGGTATAGGTGCGCTGGCATCAGAGCCGGATTAGTGGTGGATGGTCGAATGTGGAATGAGACCGAGAAACGTTGGAACAGACCAACGGTAAGAATACAATGTGCGGGAATCCGCAGTCAGGGGAAACAGAAAGAGGAAAGCCACATTGGTGGCACGAGTCAGACCGAGTCATAGGTGCGGGACCACATTGGTGGTCGAGTCAAAGGAGGAACGTGCGTGCACGTGCATAGAGGCGGGCGATGCGAGGGACGGGAACGGTCCCGAGGATCCGATCAATGGAAAGGCGGTAAAGGAGGACGAGCCGGTAGATGGTGAGGGCGAGGATGAAGGGAAAATAATAGGGGGGCCACGTGACCGATGTTACTTGTAACAGTACTCCATGCTTCTCATGAAAGTGTTGATCTGTGCACCTCTGTCGCATAACCATCCAGTAGACGAAGCAGGGAACTTTCCAGTTGTGCAGCAATGGCTTGTTGAATAGCGACATCAGCTTCGGATAGACTGATGTATTGTTGAGGCAGCTCTGGAAAAAGAGTAAGTCATCTTCAATTTGGCATGTGAGTTATGCAGGCTTACATGGTATCTGTGGGTCAGGTGTATCATCCAACTTAAGGAGCATGAATCAGCACGATGGCTAGAATAATGACAGATATCACCGCACTTTTTGCGCAGGCTTTTTGCTTGGGAGACGCAGCCCAATTTCCACAGAAAGTGGTATCTCGATAGACCAGAGCAGCACCTCTGCGCCATTTGCACTGATGAGCAGCTTCATATTAGGACAAATTGCAACAAATGGAACCCAGGCGGAGTGTTTGAATGATTGTCCTATCTGTTGGTATGTCTCTGTACTCCATAGCTGCACCGTCTTGTCATCCAAGGCAGTGGCAATGATGGAGCCATCAGAAGATACGGCAAGCGAGACGATTGAATCAGTGTGGCCGATGCAAGGTTGGCCAATCTGGCTTCCATTTGATGAGTTCCAAAACTTGACTGTTCTGTCGCATGATGCTGAGATAAGTTGTTGGCTGTCAGGTGACCACATAACACTTCGAATTGACCATTTATGAGCATTGATCCTGAAATGAACTTCGGCATTTTTGACGTGCCAAACCCTGATGCTGTCCCCTGATCCAGTGGCTAACTTGAGACTATTTGGGCTGAATGCAACACTGCACATAACCGCTATGAGGAAGTATCGCAAGGAAAGTAAAAACATCGGCATCCCATATAATAACAGTTTCATCATCTGACCTGCTGGCGATTTTCTTGCCGTTGGGGGAGAAGCACACCAAGTTCATGGTGGCTGTATGGTGGACTAGTAGGTGGGGCATGTCCTTGCTTTCAACGTCCCAAATCATAACATTCTTATCCCATCCACCACTGACAATTCTCCTGTCATCTGGAGATACAGCCACCGATAGCACCCCATCCTTGTGCCCCTTGAATGGCCCTTCTACTAATACTCCTGTCTGCATATCCCAGATCTGCAGGGTGCAATCCGTTGAACCAGTGACAGCCCTTCAGCCATCCTTGAAGAATGCAACTGTGTACACAGTGTCTGTGTGTCCTGGTATAGTTTGCGATGGTGTCAGTTGCCCTTGCCCCGGCGGTGCCAGTGGCTCTCGCCGCAGTGAGAAGTAGGCATTTCTTGCTATGTCAAATAACCTTGGCATGACATATTGACCTGGACAGATGAATTGAAGGTCAGTAGCATTTGAAGTTGAAGGTGCGTCTTTTGGGGATATTGTTGTGTTGTGGTTCTTGTGGGACAAGTATTGACAGTTTTTTGCCCTTGACCCAGCTTGTTCACGATTTCCCCACGCTGCAGCGACATGTGTCCAGGTACTCTCTTATGATTATATTTATATCCCACCTGACCAGTTCACTTCCCAGAGCGCCATATAAACCTTTTTGATTCAAGCTCAGCAGTCTACTCTCATTTCATAGAAACTGAGAAAAATGAAGATATAGAGGAAGCTATCGGTCTCTGCAAGTAATCATTGACGGCTTTGCCTGCACTACATGTGGACAGGTGTTTCAACTATATGTCTCGTTACCAGATTTGACACGACACTGCTGATTTGTCGCTTGCAGTGGAGAACTTCAGACTAGCACCATGGTCCATGCAAGGCTTGCCATGACACCTCCTTTCATGTATTGTGTGGCTGAACCATCCCTTCTATGTAGCTTCAGCACGTCTATCATCATGTCAATCATGTATGATTATGCCATAGCGCCCGTTGATGATCATTTTCTCGTGCTCGTTGAACACTCAGTTGAGATAAATGTAAAAGCACTCAGGCCCAAGGTTGCAGCTGTTGTAACAGAGTTCCCCATATGTGCATATAACTTCGATCAGTTGTAGTTCTATTCTAATGCACTCGCAGTGAAAAAACTTCCTCCTTGGTTCCCTGGAGTGAGCTTTGTAAGGGATGCTATAGTCCAGAGAACCCTCGTTCCCATGATTATGGACATGCCCTTTGAACATGTGAAGAACAACATGGCAAGTTCCAAGTGCCTTTTGATCAGAGTATTATTTATATGTGGCTCATGATGATTCTCAAGCCGCAGGGACGGCTGCACCATCGGTGGTGTCGGATGCATTGAAACGTATACTGGTTAAAACACAAGATGAAGAGGAGGCCGCTATTCTTGAAAGGGGGATTAAGGAATCCAGTGCATCTGGTTATGTTGGTTTGTGACAAATCTGCAATGGTCACTATGTTTTTGACGTATCTCTACTCATTTTCTCTGTACTCCCAGCTGCCTCAGAAACTGTATGCTTTGACATGATTTATATTCTAGCCATATACTGACCAAAGGCCCAGACGACGTCCACTTTATACGTCTTCCTGCTCGTGATGGTTCTATATCCTGAGGTGCAAACACACACGCAAGCAGAGATTGGTTCCATCATTGGGGAAACTCTTGAAAGATTGCCCGACTGGGATGATCGCACTTCTATGCCCTACATCAATGCCATCATACTGGAGACGCTGAGGTGGTTTCCTGTCGCTCCTCTGGGTCAGCACTCCTAACTCGTTGAACTCCAGTTAGTATGGTCACTGACTGTGGATTTAGGTATTGCACATGCCACAGTCACTGATGACGTCTACAAAGGCTACTATATTCCAAAAGGTACTGACAGTCTATGGACTGAAAACCTTCTCCCTCTTCTAAAACTGTTTCTCAAGGGGCTACCGTAATAGCCAACACATGGTGATTCATCATACCAAGTGAACAAAGACCAGACACAACCATGTCTTCTTATGCAAGGTCTATGGCACACAATCCAGATAAATATCCTAACCCAACGAGGTTCATACCTGAGTGTTACATGTCAAAAGTCGCCCTTGAAGAGCTGTCAACACACGGCCCTGATGACATATCCTTTGCTTTTCGATTTGGAAGGTGTATTTGGTACGAAGTTTAGATTTTTGGGAATAGATGGGTTTGCCTCACCTTTCAGCAGTGTTGGACGACATGTCGCCAAGGCTTCTATATTCGCTGCAGTTGTGAATATTCTAACTCTTTTCTGATTGGAATGTGCACCAGGATGGAATGTCAGGCCTGATGCTGAAGGAGTGAAATGGACGGGAGGCTTAACGACATGAGTCATCCTCAAGGATTCCTGCAGTTTATCTGAGGCAGCCGATGCAGGCACCCTGTATTCCCGTGCAAATTCACCCCTCGCCACACGAAGGAAAGGGTATCGCAGTTGATAAAAATGCAATGTTGAGAGCTGTGTGGGGGGTGAAATCATGTATTACCTTGTTTTGGCTTATGTTATCTGTCAGTATATTCAAGTTTGATGCCATCATGCATCAAGCTTTACTAACTGTGCCCACCCTCGCCCGCCGTCATTTTCCCAACGAGTAGGTACTTCGTTAATTGTACTGGCAGCTTTGAATTATCTCTCGCGGGACTGATAGTTGGGCTTTCATGTAGATACATCCTCTCGTGAATTACGCGATCACATGACCTGCACACGCAAGTCTAATCAAGCGGAGTTCGAATACCCGTACTATCACTGGACGCTCACAGTCCTCTAAGTGAATCAATCACCTGCCCTCTCTGATACCTCGCATGCAGCAAAACAGAAGATGCTAGGCCATTGCAGAGGTTTATGCTGATAGTATCGTATCCCAGGGAGTTATTGACACGGTACGTGATTCAGTTAAAGACAACATCTAAACTATTGTTTTCCGTGGAATAGTATGTACACTCATCAGCACGGTGTATGTGCTACGAAGGAAACTGTCCAGACTCGAGAGAGACCTTATTGGATGAAATTTAATATGTAGAAGAAGCTGGGCAGGTAAGGCAAGATAAACGTTTGCAGAGTCAGGGAATACTAATCAATACTTTATCATGTCCGATACTCACTCAGGCTGGAGATGCCTTGGTGGAGCAATATTCCGGAAACAATCCTTCATTGCGAAAGTGCATTTATGTCGAAAACAAGAGGGTCCTAGAGATGGAGGACGCTCAACGGGCCTGAGTCAGCATCACATACTTTATTGTATCCAGAAAGCTGAGCGGAAACAAGTTCCTCAGCGCATAGTAGCAAACCGTTGTCTGTATGTCGTTCTTCCTTGTGCTGTTTACTGTATATTACTATAATAACAACTACGACAATAGGCCATCCTACCCTCTGGAAAAATGGTGTCCGTGACAGCAACGCTAACTTTAGCAATCTAATAGTATACTGGACCTCGGGCGGTCGAGTGACTGACGTCTTCAGCAACTTCGACTTACCATCGACTCGAGATATTCCTCAATACCAGGAGTGTGCAAGGGCATACCTTTCATGGCGCTTGGCCTTCTCAGTGGTATTACGGAGACGGTCATAGAAGGCAAGGTCAAGTACCTGTGTTAGCACGATGCCGAGTCATTCATATTTGTGCTCACCTGGGTCTCCTCGTTACAAAGATGGCAAGCTCCTGAGAAAGGGAAGGTCGTTCGATAGATGGCCAGAAGTGGATGCCGTTTCAATGCCACGACAAGAGAACTGGCTTCTCAACACCGTATCATCATAACATGAGACCCTCGCAATCTCAAAAAATCGGGAACTTGCGATTTCGTGTCTTCGTTCTCTCGCCTTATTTAATGCGGATGACCCTGAACGCACGGTGGATGACCAGGTCGTAACTCGGACGTGACTCAGGGAACACATACTTGAGGTAACTTTACAGCGTGTGCTAGTCACAGAGTTTGCATGCAGTCTACCCAAATTTCTTATTTTCGGGATGATATAATCCAACTCGAAGCTGAGGTTTCTTAGGACGATTTTACGAAATTCTTCTGCCGATGATCACATTATTTGATAGGGTCGCTCTCACCTGGGAGCTTACGGTTTATGCTTATCCGCGCTTATGCGTATGCCCCAATACTATTCCTGTGTCGGTGGATTATTAATTCTTGTGTCATAAGAAAGAAGGATCCGCTGCCCCCTCTTATTTCCGATGTCCACTGGTCTCTGGATACCTTGCTGTCAGACGTCGAGAAAGACGAGAATAGGCTTGTTTTATTCAGGAAGCGGGACAAAGAGGTGCACGGCCATAATACCTCAGGTGATAAATGAGTTCTTCGAGTGTTATCTTCCTGCTGATGGTCCAAATTCGACGATCGCCGTGGACGCTCAAAGTATTTGGGGTATGCTTTCTTTTACAGTGTTTTTGTATCTTTGAATTGATTCCTCAAGTAGATGAAATTGTCTCGAAATTCCCATTCTTTCCAGTCCTTCAACCGGTACCGCATCCAGATCTACTCTTGTCCAAATATAACTCCCATTGCCGCCGCCACTGGTGCCGATCCCCGTGATTACCCCACTTCCCCGCGGTTATAAGGATGGTCGTTATATACAGTTTACTAACCCACTGCTTGAATCATGGCCCTTGCAGTTGATCGTCACCTTGCTATCCTCGCTGGCATTTCTCTTTCCTTTGTCGCCGTCAAGACACTCAACCGGTTCTTCAAAAGCGACAGAACAATGCTCCTCTTCCTCCTGGCCCAGTGCCCCTCCCACTGTTGGGGAGCGTCTTATCTATCGACGCTTATGAGCCTTGGCTGACTTACACCGAGTGGGGTGCTGTGTATGGTACGTGAACAGATAGCATAGGGCATACGTGGTATGAATCATTATCTCAGGGGACTTGGTCTTCGTGCGAAGTCTAGACGAGGAAATGGTCGTGATCAATTCTCAGCACATCGCAGAAGCCTTACTGGACAAGCGTTCTCGGATTTACTCCGATCGACCATACCTAGCAACACTCGAGCCGTGGGTTCGTTCAGTATTCCTCTATTCAACCAGTCTAAGGTTCTCGCAGATATGGCTTGTCGATCGACTTTGGATTCATAGCTTATGGCGATGAATGGCGTCTCTGCAGACGACTTTTCCACCAAACTTTTCGCCCCGAGTCTGCAGCAAAATTTCGCCCAATGCAAATCAAGCGGGCTCGTGAGATTATCGTCAACCTAGTTGATGACCCTGAAAATTATTACGACCACTTCGCAACGTTAGCGAATGATTTTTACGAATTGAACCACTATTTACCTGTTCACAGATTCTCGTTATCTGTTGTGATGTCAACAGTATACGACTACAATATCAGTGCTCGTGATGATCCTATGGTGCAGACCGTGATAAAGGCACTGGTTCCAGGCTTGACCGTGTTGTCCCCAGAGAGAGCATTAATGCTCAAAACCTTCCCCTTCTGTGAGCTCAACTCTCCTGGATGAGATAGCGTTAATATGACACGCACTTTTATGAAATGTAGTGCTAAAGGTACCTGACTGGTGCTGGGGATCCTCGATCAAGCGTAGTGCTCGAGGTTCGACGGAGCGCATCAATGAAATGGCCGAAATGCCGTTTCGATATGTGCAGCAGCACATGGTGGGTGTTTATCTTTCTCTTGGTTTTAGACATTGACTCAGCTCGTGGCAAGGCCGACGGGTCGTCGCTCGCTCAATCTTCGATGGTTGCAGAAAATTTGCAACGGATGGAGACGCAAGAGGAGGCATTCAAACCTGCATTCGAGAATGCGTTGAAGAAAGCAGCTACTACTGCTATTATAGGTGAGTCAGCCTTTTAACGAGCAACGTTGTACTCTCGACATACACTAATATCGCACAGCTTCATATGAGACGGTAAATGGACAACTCCATCGTGTTGTCCGCTGCTTATCCTCGTCACAGAGTGCAGCAACTTTGATGATTTTTTTCCTGGCCATGGTATTATATCCTGAAGTTCAGAAACGCGCACAAGCGGAAATCGACTCGGTGATTGGAAAAGAACGGTTGCCAACGTTCGAGGACAGAGCATCGCTACCTTACATCGAAGCAGTCCTGCGAGAGACTTGGCGATGGCAGCCTGCTGCGCCTCTTGGTATTCTTCCCCACCAAATAATCTGGCCTGTGCTGAAGACGACCTTATAGGCGTAGCACATGCCGCTTCAAGTGATGACGTATACGATGGGTACTTCATTCCAAAAGGTCCGCTGTTTTTGTCCTAGAATCAACGCAATAATTATTTATAGTATCGTGCATCAGGCGCAATCATCACATACAACACATGGTCTGAATGTTTCTCCCAGCTTTCGTGGTACTGACTTGATTGTAGGGGTATTACACGGGATGAAAAGCGGTACCCCGACGCATCTAATTTTATACCAGAGAGGTTCATTGATAGCGATGGCGCGTTGACAAGTGATGACCCTGCACAATACATCTTCGGCCTTGGCCGGCGTGCATGTCCAGGTTCGTTAACTTGTCCTAATCCCATAAAAGATCCACCGACAGATGGACTTTGATTAGGGCGGTATAACGCTGATTCCTCCGCGTGGGCTGCCATTGCGACCATGTTAGCCACGTTGGATATTTCTCCTGCCAAAGATGACCAGGGCAAAGAGATCAGCTTTACTCCCGAGTTCATCCCAGGATTGGTCCGGTACTTGACTTTCTTCGTGTCATTCTGTCCCCTTGTTACTAACAGTTTTGTTGCTCCAGGTTTCCTGCGACCTTCCCTTGCAGTGTTTCGGCCCGATCTCACATTCATTCAGACCTTGTGGATAGTTGGCGGACTGCCGAGTTTTGAAAAGAAGGGGCAGTTTGCCATCCGTGGTAGAGGTGACATAGCAATCGATCAAGTAATTCTTGCCAGTGTATAACAGGTCAGCAAACACGATGAACGTGTCAGTTATTCGAGGGTTGTAACGTTAGGGTGACGGGGTGCTTGCCATTTGCAATATCGAAGTTCAAGTTGAAGGTGAGATCATCAGGGCTGGGTGGGCAGCCTGGGGACATGTCACACGGTAGCCGAAGATCCGAGGGGACTTGACGTATCTTGTTCTCGTGAAATTCGTAAAGCAATCGTAAAGTCTATCTACCCTCAAATTTCAAATAGCTTCAAGTTGAACAAGATGCATGCGGCTCCGATACACCCCAAAAATGTCGTGCGCAGTTCTTTTCTGCGTCTTCCTCTGCCTCGTTGGGGTGGTGCATACTGCACCTATAACAGATACAACAAACACTACTGCCAGCGACAGTTTCTTGGAAGCACCGTCATTCACGACCAGAACCATGTGGACCATCATCTCTAGCTCCGTTTTCACTCTATTTGCGTGCATATATAGTGCTATTCACCCCAATATCCCGAGTCCTGAGGACAGCCCCCTTCGTGTCCTCCTGCGGCGGCATGGCATCATGATTATGGCACTAATCGCTCCTGAACTGATCGTCACATGGGCTATGCGCCAATGGTTCAGCGCTCGCCGAGTTACAAGACAGTTCGAGAAATCGGGGTATACAAACATTCGTCTGGAGTCTGAAGGTAAGTCGTGCTTTTGGAAACTCTGTATCTCACAACTCACTATACGCATCCTTAGAAAAAGACTCTGTTCAAGCACCTGATCAATGTAAACTTCGCTCCCTTCATCTCATTGCAGTGCTTGCTAAAGCGCGCTAGTACATTTCCCTGGTGCTCTTGCAAGGTGGGTCAAAAGGTCCGTTGATGCTTACTTCTCGAAGCAATCTGAAGGTAAGCCCGATTCGTGTTCACCTAAACGTTGACTCATGTGCGTTCTTAGATTATACATGGACTCAAACACACAGCTTCTTTGTGCTGATGGGTGGTTTCATGCTTTATGTGGATGGGAAACCCTGCCTTACCCTACGCCCTGATTACATCCTCAAATTAATACACGAAGGGGTGTATCGACGTCCCTACCCTAACGAAAAAGATCCAAGACAAGAGCAAAGGTAATGCGATATCGAAAGGATTGGTCGTGTTTCAGGTGGCCTGGTTTGTCATGCAGCTCATCACCCGCGCCATCTATCACCTCGAAACCACGCAGCTCGAAGTTGGGACACTCGCTTTTGCAGTTCTCAATTTCCTGACTTATGCTGTGTGGTGGGACAAGCCTCTCAACGTGCAATGTCCACATCCAGTGTACTGGAAGTCGACCGAGTCAAGGCCAGAGGATCACATTGAGTACGTATGCGCCTTAGCAATGATATCGTTGCTGATTATGTCCGCCTTAGTGTCAGCGACAGAGACGAATTCACTCGGCTTCGGATCTTGCGTCGAATCTTCCGCCCAGTAATAGAGCTGATAGGCTGGGCTGAGATTCCCACATCTCGAAAGCTCCGAGTTCCAACATTTGATGGCAGCATCAAACTTGAAGGTTCGGATAACATGGTTCTTCGGCTCGCTGGATTGCTTATAGCCACTATCTTTGGCGGCA